TGTTGTGATACAGTCTCGAATTATTCCTTAAAGGAATTAAAACAGTCTATTTGCGAATTGAAAAATTATCATATTGATCTTGCTCGGTTGGAAAAATCACTAAACGACATTAATAAAAAGTTAGACTATGATGCCATGTAAAATTATCTTTCCCACTTCCGTTGGGATATTCTATTTAGTATTACAGATGTAAACGAGTGTTTAAATTATTTTTATCAAGTTCTTTCAATAGCTATAGAAATGTATGTTACTAAAACTAAAACTGGCAATAATTACCCATATCTGAAATGGTTTTGTCTAGAACTTATTGAAAAAGTCAAGCAAAAAAAGATCTATCATTCATTGTACAAGCAAACTCTTGATAATTATTATTATTCAAAATTTTCATCTCTTAGAGTCCAATGTAAAACACTGTCGAATATTTGCTATAAGAATTATCTTTTTGATAAAGAAAACTAAAAAAGAAATCCAATCTAATACTAAAAAGTTTTGGAATTATGTGAATTCTGTCAACACAGGCCATGCCCTCTTTCATGCGTTTAGGAAATGAATCTTCATCTAATGGCCATGACATTGCTAATCTCTTTGCTAAATATTTCTCCCAAGTCTATGACCATAGTTCTNCTTTTATATTTCATACTGTACAAAATTATTACAATTTATTTCATTTACTGGTTCAACTAATTCTCGCACTCCATCTTATTATATATTTACAAAGAGCATTATTTTCATTAAATATATACATAAATATTGTAGTTTCAATTGTCTTTCAGCTTTATTTTGTTTCCTCTGCCTTATTTGGTTAGTAATTATATCTTTCATTTTTGTTGTTCAGTTTTTACTCTTTAATTGTATTTTTATATTTATCATTTATATTTACCATTTATATTATTACCATGTATATACGTCCTTATTCTTTTTATATATATTATTTGTATTTTTACATATATTATTTATAGTTTTTGTTATTGTAAAATGTCTTTTTTTATAGTGGATTTCGATCCGTAAATAAATAAATAAATATGGTATGGCTACACGACAGTGTAACACAATATGTTGTATTCCGTAAATAAATTTAAAAAAAGTTAAATAGTCCTCTCTTTTATTTTTTGTTCCATTGTAAAGAGATCGTGAAAACTTCCTAATCCAAGAAGACACAAAAGGTAAATTTTGAAAAAAGCCACCTACTAGATACATACTTTGAAGTTTGAACTGTCGAGTGCTACAGATGCGACTCATAGACTCACTTGTGATCACCTTGAAATACTGCCTGAGATTTTAAGCATCTGACTAGCGCGAAACTATTCTGTATGTGACCTGTGGCGTTGACAGTTAGAAACATTAAACATGAAAAAATGTGCCTTTAAGGATTCATAATAATATATTCATAATTAACTATTTTTATGCTAGATTATTTTCTTTACTAATTACAAAATCAATGTCATCAAATATTTTAAACAATTTGCTTTTATTATGCTAAGTGATGATTGATTATATAAGGAAGACAATTTCGGTATATTTTTATATACCTCAAGTCAAGTTGGTGTTCCCAATTGATAAAAAGAAGTAATAAAATAAATTCGGAGCAGAGAAAAGAAATTATGTTTAATCCAGGGCCTCACGGATTTACATTTTTCCCCTAAAATTATACTAGCCCTGTGTAGTACACTAACTGCTTGATCTTGACTTTACACGATAAAAATAAAATGTAAGAACAGCTATGCAAATGATTAATCGGTTAAATAATTGAACAGTAAACATAATAGAATTATTAAATCTCTCTGAACCCTGTTAAACAAGTATGATATTTTACAAGTTATTATTTCCAATAATAACCATTTATACCAACTTATCTAGTGAAAATCCTCAAAATTCACTGTATATAGAATATCCCACAAGTTAAAATAAACTGATCTGAGTAAGTTTTAGCCTGACAAATTTTACTGGTGCATTTCTTTCTAACTCGTTTTTTTCTAAACAAAGACACAAGTATTTTTGCTAAATATGTAATTGTCTGGACCATCAGCAAACGGATTTTAACACATATGGTCTCAATCAGTTGCTACTTTAAAAATTCATGCAGAGATGCTGTACATTTTAGGCCTATTCTACACGAACGCTCAAAACAAGGCATTTGGAACCCGCTCAAAACGCGTCTTAACAAAAACAAGTGCTATACAATGCATTCGTATAGAAAAACATGGATGATCCAATCTAGATGAGTTTTTCTAATGTGTAAAATGTTGGTGTTTACTCAGCGTTAGCATTTCTAATATGGTAGGAGGTGTTAGCAATGTTAACACTCAGAACGTTGTTCAACTACACCGACGTTCATCTCGGCGATTCAAACACAATGTTAGTATTCCTTGATTTATATGTGTATTATTTTATTTATTTTTTAAGTTAAGTAAAGTTACATAGGGCTTGAAGCCCCCTTACACGTATTTTAGAAATAAATTGAGTTTTATATACATAGTAAAATAATAATAAGAGCAATTATAACTATAATAATAGAATGTATAATAAATTACTCAAAACGATAATGACAATAATATAATCTTTAAAATATTAAATATTGTATTTATAATCAAATGATGAAACCATATAATGATAGAAAAGCAGAAAGAGAAAAAAAAAGGTAAAATGAGATGGAAAAAGAAAAGAAAGAGGGTAGAAAAGGAGATGATTTATTCAAAAACTCAGATGCCATGGACCTGGAACAAGCCAGCAAGAAAACAGAACATACTTCCCAGGGAAGCAAATTCCAAAGTATTGCCCTTGCAATTCTGAACGATAAGCCTAAAGTTTTGGAGGATTGGGGGAGTGTTGAAGGCTTGGGATAATGATTGGCAGGTTGGGATAAGGAATGTGTGGAAAAGTTGATAGATATTGAGGACTATGTTTATGAGTGTATTTATATATGTGGTTATGTTCGACACTGAAAAATTCAATTGCGAGATAGAGTTGTACCCACCTATTTTCACAATTAGTTAGGAATATTCGATTAGAGAAGAGAAGGCAAAATGTGTTAGAGAAATCAAAAAAATTTTTCCTCAAGTTGCTTCAACAATAAAATCCCTGTAACACATCCTATTTTTTTTCCTTATTCAAGGTTATTACCTGGGCAGATGCCCAGGGGAGTCTTCTTTTCCATCTGCGGCGTCCTTCTCCTCGGGTCGTACACGCTGTCTGGGGGAAGTCCTCCTCGGCGACGGACGGCCGCTCCTCGCTTCGACGCCGCATGTGGTTCATCTTCCTCGGCGTGGTCAGTCCATATCCGGGAGCAGCTGGGGCAACTCACTGGCCGGCTCATGCCTGACAGGTAGCATAAAGCATCTGTCCCTGTCCATATGACTGCACGCGATAGCCAGTGAAGAGCGCAGAGCGATCAGAGACATAATGAGGAGCACCCTCGGGAGGTTTGATACTCTGAGGTCGCAAAGGGCTCTCTTGGAGCCCTCCGGAATTGCCCCACGCGCCCCGATCATGATGCCTTTGGCCGTAAAATACGGCTTCTGGCACCGCTCCTGGAGCACGTCGCGAATCATCATGTACTTTTCGCTCTTTACCTCTGCAACACGGCTTAGTGCGTCGCCAGATTCATATGCCACTGCAAGATCTAGTACATGTACTTCATCCTGATTAGTGGCAACTATGTCTGGTCGCAGCGTTTGCCCATCGTCGGTCCTTAAGGGGAGCTCGACGCTAACTGTGTACTCGGAAGCACGGAGACCGGCGACGAGGACCTCGACGCATTCGTCGTGCCTTTTTATGATCTTTTCTTTACTCGATGGACATGTGGACAGCACATGGGAAAGCGATTCGTTGCCAGCCCCGCATCTCCTACATTCGGCTGGCAAACTATTGTCTGCTCTCCTCATGGCCTCCCTCGTTCCCATTGAGTTGGTCCTTAGGCGGAGTGCCTGGACAAACCGGGACTTCTGACGGATCAGAAGATCATCAGAAAGCCACCGGTTGCCCACTGTGTCGCTGGCGAAACTCTTAACTCCGTGCCCCGTGGCACCCACCTTGTTCAGGCGCTCGTTGACTCGGTTCAGCTCATAAACCTTCCTGACCCACGGGTTGGGGCTATCCACAAGAGCCAGCCCAGCCCGCAGGTGCGCCACGCTTACTGCGTTCGCCAATTTGGGGAGGCCCAGTCCTCCGTCCTTGTTGCTGGCATAGATGAAGCCATTCGGGGTGGACTGAAACATGTGGAATACGCCTTTTGTCCACACCCTCAAAGCAGCATTACTTGCGCAACTGTGTCATAGATGGGGGGTCTATGACCAGACGGTAGAGCCTCCGCGGGAGCAAATATCTCTTGACAAGGTCCAACTTTTGCCTGGGTTTCAGGCGCAAGCGGGATACCCTGCCAAGTACCTTTTCGAAGTCCTCGAGGACAGAGGCACTATCGAGTCCTGTAAGAGGGGTGTACTTGACACCGAGGTACGTGAACGACCTGTTTGCGGGAATATGCTGCACCTTAGCTCCCTTTAAAGCCAGCAACGGATCATCCACGTACCAGGACTCTTTGTCTCTCTCTCTAATATAGAGGCACAATGACTTTCTCACGTTTAACACCATATTTCGTCTCTCAAAGAAGGCGGAGGCTCTATCAATGAGATTTTACGCCCTCGCAGGCGTTCTCGCCACGACCGTAAGGTCGTCGGCGAAGGTAAGCACGCCGGAGGGCGCATCGTCAATTCCGTGACCTGCCGCCGATTGCAGGTCTTTAATCAAAGGATCCATCACCAGGTTGAACAGCAAGGGCGACAGTGGGTCACCCTGCCTAACCCCCTTGACGATGGGAATCCTCTTCACGCCCCCCGACATGGGGATTGTGGTCGTCGATCCCCTATACAACAGCACGACTGATGAATGAAACTGTTCTCGAATGTCCCGTTTATCGGGATGAAGCCCTTTTGCCTGACGTCAAGGTTTGCCATGCACGATATTCTTTTTATCAGAATACTAAAAAGCCGAGCCATCATAGGGGCAATGGTTATGGGTCTCCATGCGCTAGGACTAGTTGGATCCCTACGATACTATTGAAGAGGGTTCATTTTGAAACTAACTCGCAAACAGAGACACTCTGTTCTTAATGCAAGTGTAGAATGGTCTCATGTTTCCTAGAATGCATTTCAAACGTTTTGTGAAGAAATAAATTAACAAGAAGCAGGAGGTGTTCCAAATGCAGCATTTTGAGCGCTCGCATAGAACAGGCCTTGGAGTATTCACCCAAGTGAACTGTGCAGTTACTGAATTTTAAAAAATTTTGGGTTTTCAAAAATGTAAACCATCCCTAACCATAAGTTAACTACATTTTGTTGTGACTTAATGTGTGATAGGTGTTAGATTGAATTATGGGAAAAAATAATCAAAAAACATGAAACATCTTTTTCCCAAGATAACATTTTTTGTCTTTAACAGTTCCTAAAATTTCTAAAAATTGATCACAGCTAGTTAAAAAATAATTTCCTAAGGAGTAAAGATATTTACGATCCCAGTGAAACAACCTATCTCAATTCAAATTTGATATATGTTGAACTTATTAGTCAATAAAACACCCCGAATGGTTTTTTAAACACCAAATTGGTACTTTCTTGCTCATAATTTGCAAAATTATAAAAAATTTAACTTTAATTATAATAAAGTTAAATGGTCGGAATCTAGTTTTTGATACTTAACAGTAAAACATCAGTCTATTCCTTTAACTATCACAATACTATGAGGTGCAATTAGTCAATTTCGATTAAGTCTAAACTACATCTGTTCAACTAATACACACAAACAGCTAAAAAAAAATTTGAAAGGGTATTGGCAATTGTAGAAGGCACGTTTGATGCAGACAGCTTACGATTTGGCGATTTTGGATGCGACCATTGCTGCACCAAAAGCAGCATCCCCTTTACCTTCGAATACAATTGGAAGCTGGTAGCAACGTTTCACCTCTTCTTGAAGTACTTTGTTTCTAGAAAGAGCAGAACCGACTCCGAGGATGCGCGAAATGTTGTTATGAAGGAGCATGTCTCTTGGCATAATCCTAATAAATGTTAAGATTTGAAGTTTTTAAGTGTCAGAAGAAAAATAAACAAATCTCTTACTCATGTAGGTTGTTAATCACACCAGTGCAAGTGGCTTTGAAAACTTGACCCAGGCTGACATTTCCAGCATTGATGTTAATGACAGAACCGAATTCTTTAGGTGAGTGCCTCTCGCCCAAAATTTTAGGCTTAACGACCAATGAAGTAGTTTCACATTTGCTAGCGGATTCAATTACTTTTTCCCAAAGGGTGCCTAAAATAATAAATTATTAATATGTAATGAAAAGCAAAATAAGAAAAGGAAAAACATACTTTGAGGTAGGTGGGAACCAAGTTCAAGGGTCCATTTTTGAAGCATAGATATAAAAGTAGCAAGTACATTTCCACCATTTAAAGCAGCTGCTACAGCTAGGTATCTTCCTTCAAAATAAGGCAGGAACTCAACAAAGGTTGAGTCTAAACATACAAAGTTAATTATTTTTCAATAATCAGCCTTCGAACATAAAATAAACTACCATCTATGTTATTAGGATCAAAGGAAGGAGCGATGAACGACATTTGAGCAGATGTTGATATATTGAGAACCGCATCGTCATCATTTTTCAAAGCGGACAAAACAGAACACTGTAAATCTCCAAGGGCAGCGACTAAAAAATTTTAAATTAAAATAACTTTGAATTTTTCTAATTGGGAAGTACCGACCAACAGGAGTGCCAGCTGGTATGGAATGCCAGGTTTCGGTCAAACGCCCTGCAATTTCACCCGAAGGGACAACCTTCGGAAGCAACTCTACAGGAAATCCTGCAGAGTCGAGAATCTAAAAATTTGTTTGTTTTACTGTACATTTGCCATAAGCAAAACGTTTTTCGTTTGTAACCTCTGTGTTCCATTCTGCAGAATTCGTGTCGAAATAGCCCCAACTGGCAGCATTTTGCACTGACATGACTGGCTTCTTGAGTTCACAGAGCATTGCAACAGCAAAATCTTGTATTGTACCCGCACAGTTGAACGTCTTTAACTTTTCTGGCCTAAAAAAGTTGTTATTTATTTTTTTAATATATATGCATCTATACATATACAAAGAAAACAAGGGGGTAACATAAGGGGGTAAAAACAAGGGTAAGCATTTTTAACTTTTTGAAATGTTAATTGAATTTATTTTCTACAGGGTCTTCTGAACAATTGTACTATATGAACAAGATTTTGAATAGGTATTTTTGTGAGATTTCTCCATGTGATCCCGTTTTCCACCCAACACAAAATGTCAAAACATATCAGACAGACCAAACCAGTGAAGAGAGGCAGACCAAAATGAATGGTAATAACCAAATTTCAGGTTTATCATCCCATAGATTACAGAAAAATCTCTCAATAAATAATGTGTAACTTTAAAAAATACAAATAAAAAACTACCTATTTTTTGATATCCAAAACAACGTATTGCACCCATAGCCCGAGCATGCCTTCAGGTGTGATTTTGGCTGTGGGAGGGAGGCAAGGAAGTCAGGATCGCACCTTGAATCCTGCCAAGTATAAAGGGAAGAGACTTTATCGCTTAGAATGTCATAACGCGATTCGTTTGCAGCTTTTTCCCAAGGGCAATCATCTTCAGTGTAGTTCCACAGCATGACACCATGCATCTGCCCACAAATTCCTATTGCACTGACCTAAAAAATAAATAAATTTTGTCTTTTTAAGCAATTTGATTTGGACAAAAGTTATAAAATTCCCATATAATAATAATTGTTGGTTTTTCAAAAAGTCAAACGGCAACGGACAAAATGCAAGAAAAGTAAGAGGAATGTTACAGAGTTAGCCATTAAAGCAATTATTATTTCTAATAATTGGATAACATGACAAATTAAAAATTTAAATATATTTATAAAATAATAAGTAAATATCAAGTAAAAGTAAAAACTTCAGAGAGCCCAGTAAACTTTTTTTATGCGTAACATTTAAGTATTTAGTTGTACTGAATTTGAGCTCAGAGTTCTTCCAACTGGGTTTTGGTTCAGACACTGGTACCCTAGGGCCTCTAATAATAAATAAAAATTCTAAATATGAATAATATGATGATATAATATATTATCATGATATTCGATATCAAACAAAAAAATAAATAAATGTGGAAAGTTCAAAATAGACTTCGGATCCATAAATTTTGTATATTTTAAATTTTTCTTTAATCTTTTTTTGGTTTATCCATGAGCTCCCTGACTGAATTAGAAAGGCAAAATAAATAAAAAATTAATCCACATCAGAAGAAATACAATGAAAATATAAACAAACTCAACCTTTGGTGCGATGTAAATCACCATTGCTTGTTTTCCATTTTTCTGCTTATAATTCTACATCTGCTGAATGAATATAAGTTTAAATTATTGCGACACATGCCAGAAGACTTTTTTTTCTTTTAATTTTATACCTGTTTGAGCAGGTCTTTCGAGAGGCGGGAGATGCAAGCATGCATGGCTGACATTATCTTAGGCGGATTCTGCTTGTTCCCTTCACAGCCGAGCTCGCTTGGCACATTCGCCTGCGTGTCTTTGCTCTGCCTGGCGATAATCCGGCCCACTTTAGCATTTAGGATGCCCACTTTGACTGAAGTCGTGCCGATGTCTATGCCGAGAATCAGCTCCTCTTGGCCCATGCCACCCATGTCTTAAAATAAATAAAATTAAAATTTCAAGCTAAAAAACACTGTATACAAGTTTTAATAATTAAAAAGCTTTACATATATGTCTCACTCGAGACATGGCTATTGGTATTTGTTCAATGATTTAATGATTTACTTCCTGGATAGGGATTAGCTCAATCCTTGACTCTTCTTAAAACAATCTCTAATGTTGTTTCTCTTAAGCCTAGTCAACATTTAATTTAAACTGAAATGTTTTTTGGACAAATCTTCTTTTTTTATGATTGATTAATTTTTAAACCAGTACAGCTTTAATATATAATAGCTGCAGCCCTTTGTTTCTTTTGACCAATTTTATTTTGTATAGAATTGATTTCAGTTTAAAATATTTGCTTTCTTAAGTAATGCAAAAGGTGGTTGAAAGTGTACTTCGGTGCCCCCCTCTCAGTCATTTATGTACCCACACTGGCAATATTTCCAATGACAGATCATCAATATAGCATAGATTTTGAACTATTTATAAACAATTATTAAATGTTTTATTTAGTATTTTGTTTTGTTTACATTGTTTTGAATTATTGTCAATGCTTTATTTTTGCAATTTAATTTATTACATAAATTTACTTAGCATTTTAAAGCTTTCAGAGCAAAGCAACCAAAGAGGAAAACTATGTATTTTGGTTGTTGTCATGCAGTATTTTTGCATAAGTAAAATTGTTACATTAAATCTCTATGTAACTGGCAGGGTTATAAACTTGTGATTCGGTTGTTATTAATTATTTTGGTCTGCCTATCCTTGCAGTGTTGGTTGAATGCGTTTTGGCAATTCGCCCCCTTTAGGGGTGGATCTGTCTGCCTCATACTGCTATCCCTGACCCTCCTTTTCAGCATTTTGCCATCTTCAGTACTTGGTCAGAGAGTAGAAATGATAAATGATGGAGTGAGTGTGGTGTTCAATACTTTTTCAAAGGATAGTTCCTACTCACAGTAAGAAGTTCTGTGTAACTGGTAACACTCTTACTGTGAGTAGGAACTATCCTTTTAAAAAGTCTTGGTCAGAGATCCAAGCAGGATGATATAGACAATACCAAACCATAAAGATGATGAATTCTGTACAGTTAGTTGGCAAAAAGTAAAGAAGTAAAAATAAGAGAACATTGTTATGTTTTTCATCTGTAGATGGCTTGAAATGTTAAATCACTTCAACAGCACTAAATCAGTGGATACAATAAAATTGTGTGCACAACCATTTTCATTTTACTCACTTAGAATTTTCAACGATTTGGCTTTAAAAGTTGTTAGTTGAACTGCCATAAGGCATAAAATATGGATTATCACAAATGATTTGCAAAAGTGCATATCACCATATTAAACAGATCAACTTTGTGGGACTTCTCTGCGGGAGATCAACACAATTTGGTTCTTACTGATCAATCTGTTCCACCTATCCTCACTATGTTGGCCTGTCGAATATGTACTGTCTTTTCACCATCTTCAGAGCTGGGTCAGGGTAAAACAGGGTGAGGCAGACAGAATCAGTAACGACGATACTAATCAGTAATGACCATATTACAAAAGTCGTTTCTTGTACAGTTCCATAGATATTGGTACAGTTAGGTGTCAGGAAATGATTATGAGTGAGAGAAAATAAGAAAAGAAATAAAATAAAATTTGTGATCTGTGGGAAATGAGGTGTAGGGGGCATTATTTTTAGCAGAGATTCAGTGGATTAAATTTGGGGTTTTTTATTGTTCCAGTCTATCGTTGTCATCATATTCTTTTCAAATTTGTAGTGTTTAAAAAATAATTTAAATGGCATCACAGACACAAAGGGATTTGCAACTGACAGACCAACCCAGCAAGGAGAGACAGACCGAAATGATCGGTAATGACCGAATAATCATTGACTAATGGTCACAAAACACCACACATTATTTTTAAAGTGATTTCTTTGTTAAACGTTTTTCCTTAGAAAATCCTTTTCTTTTAATTCCAATTAAAATTTTTCTTTTTATCAATGTTAAATCATTTTGCAAATAAGTATACATAAGAGTTCTTTTCTCTTCTATATTACTTTTCTTTTGTGTTCATCTAATTGCATAGTTTTTTGCTTTTCATGTTTTTCCCCTTTCCAATAATAATATTGCTATTAAAATGTTATTGGTTTGCAGTCACTCAAAGGTTAAATCTTTTAAATGTTTGAATTTTCAACTCAATATTTTTTTAAATTTGGGTGTTTGTGATAACTTTCATCTGCTTACACTCACTGGATTGGTCTGTCAAGACGCATTTCACCATCTTTCTCACTGAATACAGCAAAATGACAAACCGATAGGGAGAACAAATAACGACCATATTTCAAGTTCAACACACCCAAATACATGTAGACGCGGGCAGAAGATAGCTAAATGCCAAAACACATCTGACTGACCAAACAGCAAGGATAGGCAGATCAAAGTAATCAGTAAAAATCAAATTACAAAGCTTGTTTTTTCAACAGTTCAATGTAGATAGATGTAGGTACAAGTCACCAGAAATCTCATTCTTTTGGATGAATTCATCTTGGTACAGTTGGTTGGCAAGAAGTAAAGAAATATTAATAAGAAAGAATTGTCTTTGATGCTCAATACGTTTAAAGTTTTGAAGATAAGATACAAAAGCAAACATAAGAAATTATTTCAATGATTTTTGTTTCTAATTGTTAAATCAAAATCATGATTATCCATTAAAAGATATGAAGGAAGGCTAATTATTTTTGTCTGTCCTGTTTCTTCTTATTCTGACTAAAACATTTTAAATTCTCTTTACTCTTTGTGTTTCAATAATAATCTAAATCTTAATACTTCAAAATATTTCCATATCCGTTTCTCAAGGTGCAATAATTCTAGCAACTACACTCAATTCAGTTAACATAATTAAGGACCTTGGCATCTTGTTTGACCATCAGCTAAAGTTCAAAAACCACATTTTAAGTTTAATTGCTAAAGCTATAAAACTTCTCGGATTTATAATTGTTTTTCTAAAGATTTTCAGAATGTTCAGGTGTTAAAAGCGTTTTGAATTTCTTTAGTCAGACGATCAGAATTCCTTTTTGTAGTTTGGTCACCACATTATCGGTAACTAAAACATTCTTTTGAACGTGTTCAGCACAGATTTCTATGATATGTGTATCAGGTTTTCTTCTACAATTTCATTGTAAACTATACAAAAATTCTAAATGCATTGGATCTAGACACACATGAAACCAGACTTACAAAAATTATATATTTCTCCATTAATTACTAAATAATCAAAAAAACTGTCCAGAACTCCTCAAATTAATTAACTTTAGCATTCCATCTCATAACACCACAAACCCTCAAACTTTGAACGTAGCTACAGTAGGTACAATTATAATTTTCATTCTCCAATCCACTAAGTTCAGAGATAAGTCATTGACACATTTTTTCACTGATAAAAGTACAAAAATAAGCAAACTTTAAATTCCACTTCGAAATCGTATCTAGTCATAGTTATATATTTTTACATCCACTTATATTTGTGAGTTTTACCTTTATTTTAATTATAGTTTGTGTTAGCCTTGTTTTTCTGTATTATTAGGCTTCTAAGCCAGTGTTTATAATAAATAAATGTAATGTAAGCCGGTCCCTGTCTTAGAATAAGTGGTAATTGTTAAAATAAGAGCAAAAAAATTAGTTTAAACGACCACGCAAAAAAGGCTGTAAATCGGAAGAAGCGAACACCCGGAAGGGAGCAACGTGACGTCCCCATCAATCTGAGAAACATAACTCCACAATAACTAAGCAGTTGGTTGATGGGTATCGCAGACCCAGACAGGAGCCACAGGATGTTTCCTACAAGCATGTAATACATAAAGATGCAATAGTTGGACAACCGATCAAGTAAATAACTTATGTTGAGTTATTTAGTTCTGAAGGATTGTCACAAGGCCAAAAATATGGAGCGATGTGGAACATCATAAATCTAAACGAAGAGCTCAAATCAGTGAGACAAGCTCAAGGACTCACACCAGTCAGTCAAGACCAAGGACTCATCTCAGGCAGTGAACAATCGACTCCAGGGGTCGATCCGGAAGGGAAGCAGCCACACTCTATCTGGGATTCAACATGGGGACTCAGCCAGTTGTGGTGACTCATCGGGACGGTCGAGATACTGGGGAGGCGAATGGGAAGAATGGGCCAAAGGAACACCATTAAAGTCAAACTCCTACTGGTACACTGGCGGCTCCAAAACCGACAAAGGTGGGGGATCTGGAATCTTCGGGATGAACCCAAAGATTGAACTGACAGTAAACATAGGTAAATATGCTACAATTTTCCAGTCTGAAATCGTAGTGACTGAACAATGTGCCAAAAAAATAAAAAGACTAGCGGAAGATAGTCATTTTCTCTGACAGTCAGGCAGCACTAAGGGCTCTAGCTTCATGCAAGGTGAAGGCAAAGAGTGTTTGGAACTGCATGGGGGCCCTGACGGAAGTCAGCGACCCTAATGGCCTGGCCCTGGCATGGGTCCCTGGGCACTCGGGGCATAGAGGTTGACGAAAAGGTTGACATGTTGCCCAAAAAGGGGACTGTGGGTGGACTCTCTTGAACCCTACTATGGCTTAGCATCCTATAGCGCAGGTATGAGGCACATGAAGAGGTTCATAGGACCATCTGCAAAACCTACAAAAGAATTACTGGAAGGCAACCGCGACCGAACCAGGATTCCGGTGGACTCGTGGCAGAGCATTGCTACTTAAGAAAGCACATGCACCGGATTGGAGTACAAACAGAAGAAACCGCAGAACACATTCTATGTTTCTATGAAGGTCTGTTTAGGTACAGGTTCTTGCAACTAGGACATGAAAAACCACAAGCAAGATTTGACACTAAGGAGCATCTGGCAAAGCTGTAGAAGGCTGATTACGAACCTGAAGCCGGCCAGTGTTATAAATAACAGGGGAGCACCCCCTATTTATTCAGGTCAAGGTGCAGTAGGCTTTGTGGCCGCCTCTTTTATCCCTATCCCCTGGGGAGGCGCTGACGATGCTGATTGTGGCAAGTGTCGTTTGGGGTAAGTCCCTTTAATAGACTCATCCCCAGATTTAGAGTTGTGGTTGACTTATTAGATTAATTAAGAATTTGTTGTTGTATACAACAGACAGAATTGTGTTGTAATAAAAGAAATTCTAGAACTTCACCTTCCCCTAGACAAGAATAAGTAGTGAAGCGCTTACGCCAACTACTCTCTTATTGTTTACAAAAAACAAGCGAATATAGAAATTGTTCGGCTGTCATGACTTACAAAAAAATAAATAAATGACATATTATACAAAAATTTAAAGTTTTAAGGAATATTGTGAGGTTTCTATAGAAAAAAATCGGTTGTTTTTTTTCAATCTTTACTAGTCTTTTTTTAGACTGCATTTTAATTTAAATCAATTTAAAATGAGTTCAATGAATATTGACTCCAAGACATTCTGGTTAGCAACAGTTTGGTTGGGATGACACCCCAGAATTTCTGCCCCTAGCCCTTAAGCTCAGGGTCAACTCAAATTTTCCAACGTGTCTATTATAGTTGAAATTATAAATAAACTGTACAAAACGCCGGATTGATAGAATATTCCTTCGGCTGTATTTGTGCGAGAATGTAAAATTAATATTATTCGGGACCATTACCTGCGAAACAAGGAGATTTATTTAACAATGAAACAGAAGAAGTTCGTGGGCTAAAATTGACATTTTACATCACCAATTCTTCCACCCCTGGATAAAATTAAATAAACAAATGGAATGATTGGGGGATTGGCCACATAAGGAAATCTCTCGAATGTTATCAGATTTCCCGTTGTAGGATCGATAATTTTTGATAAGTATTCGATTAAAAATCCTAAGTTTCGTTTTTATGTTTTAAAGGGAAAATGAAGGATCCAGCGATAACCAATTTTGTACGTTTACGCAGCAAAAAAATAAATTTAGTTTGAAAGGATCAGGTGTGAGGCCTCTAGGAAGAAAACACAATTCTCAGTGTGTTTTCTTCTTAGAGGCCTCACGCCCCACCCTTTCAAACCAACTATATTCAACAGTAATATAATAAATAAACGCTATAATACATAACGAATAATAACAAACGATAATACAACAAATTCAGAAAAAATTAATTTTTTCCTTGATTGTTATATTCAAGTAATAGTCCTAAATATCATGGTTCAAAATCTCCATTCGTCATAAAATCTCTCGTTCTTTCCTTTTTATTTCACTTTCTGCTTTTCTTTCATAACGTGGTTCCATCATTAATATTTAAATTCTCATTATTGTTTTTTATATTTTATTATGTTTTATTATCACTATGGTTGTTATTATTATTTTATTATGTTTATAAAACTTAATTTATTTCTAATATAAGTACATGTAAGTAGGCATTAAGCCCTATTTGTACCTTTAACATAAATAGATAAATATTAATGAAAATTTAGAAAAAATTAATCTTTTTTTTCCATGGATATTTGGCTGTTATAAAGTTTCAGCGTTTAAGTTAATTTAATATAATATTGTCCTAAATATTAATCAAAACAAAATTATATTGCTTTATTATTTAATTTTTAAACATTTATTCACTTTATATTCTTGTTCAAAGAGTTGGCAATTTTTTTTTTTTTGACGCAATTTTATTGCATTCTTTGAATATCAAATCTTTCAATTAAATCCTAATGTAAATTAATTATTTGATTAATTAATTAAAACTTTTTGATTATGAAGATAAAATATTTCCAAAGATTGTAGTAAACTGAATAACAGAATAGATACCTATCACGGTTAAAGGGCGGGATTATCTAAGTACGAAAGTATACCTGAAGATGACAATTTTATTTCTGCAAGCAGGTAAAAGGATCAAATAAAAAGCTTTGTTTGAACAATGAAAACGTCTTTTTCCAGTATGACATTAGAAAAGCCCAACAATATCAATGCATGCCATAAATTATAAAAGGGACAGCGGAAAATAATTTATAACTTCTTTTTAAGTGAAAGGTGAACTTTTCGACTTCAATTATAAACCATGGATTAGAGAAAAGATTTGTTTGTGATCCCTTTTTAATAAAACAGAAAATAAAGAGTGTACACTTTATGACCACCTTTCTAATTTTGGGTTTCGTTAGAAAACACTTCTTTGAAAAATCTGTAATGTCAAAAAAAGGACAAATATTAAATTTTAAAATCTTGTCAATTAAAATAATCTGTGCTTGTATACAAAAGAAAAATATCTTAGAATACAGGGGAATTTTAGTAGAGAATTTTAACTAATTAATAATTAATTAAAAATTAAATTATAGAAAGAGATAGAAAAAACAATAAGCAATAAATAAGTTTTATAATCACATCTGTAAAATGTACGAATAAATACAATAGGGTAAAATACAAAGAAAGAAAGAAAAAACCTTACACTTCTGTATGTGTACGTATATTTCAATATATTACTTTATTTCAATAAATTATTTTTTTAAAGAAAGGAAGGTCTTGCTTGAGATGAAAAAGTAGTGTCACGAGCGGGATTCGAACCCACGACATTCGGCTCAACTTTATATTATGTGAGCCTCTCTGTTAAATAATGCTGGGAAACACCACCTAAGGAAAAAGTCTTCCCTGTGTAGGAATTGCGGGATTGGAACCCACGACCTTCGTGACATAGATAGTACAATTAATTAAAATAATTAATAGGGTAATTATGACTATGAAAGATATATGGATTAAAATTATTGTTGTGACCTGTTATTTCATAATTTGGTGAAGCTATGAGGAGCAGTCAAGAATGAGGCAGTCTTCAGGGCATAAAATGTGGTATTATTCTTGTGGTGGCATATTGGTTTGGCGTGAAAGTGTGTAGGCACACAAAAATAGCACCACACCTTATGCTCTGAAGATGACCCAAATAAAGGTCGAAACGTCCATAAAAATGAAAAAGGTGTTTTTACAAATCTCATTCTTGACCGCTCCTCACGACTTTAACAAATTATTAAGATTATTCTTTAACTTCCTCTCTCTAACACCAAATTATTAAAATGAAAGATTTCGGACACAAAATAGTAATATTAAAAACTTGAACTTAAATTTACTTCAATATTTTTGTCTTGTGCCTCGTCAAAAGCATCACGCTCACCAAACCCCAAGCCCAGTCGGCACCGCCGCGCGAGAGTAACTCAAGTAATTTTTTCCTTAGTTTCGCTTTTTATATTGTTACATTTTATATATAGTATATTTCTATATATTTTTTTTTTTACTTCAATTATTTTCATCTACAACTATACATTTATTATATACAACCAACAGATTGGATTTCAATTTGTTTGTGGCATTATGGGCATTATAGAGAAAGCTACTCTTTGGCAGCCGCTCTGGATTAATAAAATGATATTAATCATTTAAGAGCTCTTTTCTCAATATTTTTTTCAGATGTTTACGTGGGGCATGGAGTAATCGTATTTGTGTGTTAGTGTGATTTTTAATTTACTATGAAAACGTCTGTTTTGCTGATGAAAAATCTGTTGGCATGTGATGTGATCATAATCTCTTAGTCTTAAAATTTTGGATTGAAAACTTTGTAATCTTTGAATATTGGAATATTTGGCCGATTCATAAGCTTGGCACCCGTACATCCAAATAGGTTTGAGTAGGTATGTGTATGTCGAAAGTTTTGATTTGAATGGTAATTTTGATTGTCGGTTAAGTAGATAATAAAGCATTTTAAATCGTTTGTTCAGTGTCTGTTTTTATAACCGTGTGTGTGCATTGCAAGTTAGTCTTCTATCAAATGTAAGTCCTAAACAGTTATTTTTGTCGGATTGAGGAACAGGTTCATTGCATAAGTATATGCTAGGACAAGTCTCACGACGGAGGGTAAAAGTGATATGTTGTGGATTTTCGGGTTAAACTTTATTTTCCAAAGATTGTTCCATTTTTCAATTGTTGAAATGTGTTTTGAAACATAAGTGAAGTTTGTGTAGAAGAGGGATGACTTGTTAATATGGCGGTGTCATCTGCGTATGTATCGGTAAGTATGTATATTCTCATTTGTGGGTATAGCAGAAGTAAAAATTGTGTACAACAGCGTTTTTCCACAAGGTGCCTGTGGGTCATATTTGTGTGCCCTATACCTAATCGACATAGTACGACGTCGTTACGCGTGAAGGATGTTTCCCAAAACACTCTCTTTTATGTTTCGTAATTTGTTGGAAGTGGTTTGTTTCCACTGATTTTCCCAATTTTCAATTAATTTAAGTTTAAAAACCAGACTTTATATCTTCAGGATTTATTAAAACTGAGATGATGGAACTGTTATATGCAGCTTTTGCTGCGTTGTCAGCTAGCTCATTTCCCTTAATCCCGACATGAATTGGTATCCAGATGAAGGAAACAGAAAAGCCGTTCAGAGATTTTTTTTTAAGTTTTGGCAAATGTTCTGAACTAATGGATTTTTGGAGTACGGGTTCTGAATATAATTATTTAATAGTTAAATTAATTATTTTATGATGACTGCTAGAGGGATCATCTAAAGCATTTAAAATGGCAAATATTTCTGCATTGTATGGACTGAAAAGTGAGGGTAAACAAAAAAATAGAAGGGGAGCAAGAATTACCCTTGTGGCACACCTGAAAGCACTTTTTCCATCTCAGAAGTCTCTGTACCCTGGTTTACTGCGAAAAATCTCTTTAAGGTATGACAAGGGTCACGATTGTCCCAATGACTATCTCACTACCTCAAAGGTTCAAAGGCGGCATGCGGGGTAGAGCTATCCACCACCCGCGCGGACGGCCGACCCAAACGCGCAAGACGCGGGATATATTCCAGAATTCTAGTATATTTACTTCTTTTTTTTTATATATCCACTTATTTATTTATTGTACTCTTTTTCCTTCCCTCCTTCTTCATTTTAACATATTTTATTAGCCTAAAAAAGTGAAAAAGAGAAGGACAAACAGTGTGAGAAGCTCATATTTTGTCGAGTGGATTTGCTAATTTGAGAAAATTAAACAAATTACGTATACTATCGTGATTATCGCCTAGTATTTCTTGGATGTTTATAGACAAGGAATGCAGAAGTCTATGGGCTGTACATAATGTGCATGACGTAAGTATATGTTTGATTGTGATGATCTGATTGCACATTCCGCAAATTGGAAGTGCCTCTCGCGCCATCAAATGACTCTTGTGGCTTTAGAGTGTCCAATCCTCAACCGTGCAAGAACCACTTCTTATATTCCTAATTGAGGTAGGCTACAAAGTCCTTTATTTCCTGGAGTTTGTTTTCATCTATAATAATCCAGACCTGTTTCCATTGACCCTTAACTTTTGACTTGTAAACTGCAGTCATATAACCCTTTGGGACGTCCCTGATTTGAAGGCCTGTAATGGCTGCTTCTTTTGCAGCTTTATCTGTCAAATGGTCTCCCTGCAGTTGGAGGCTCCCCAGTGACGCCAGTACCTCCTGCACATTGGCATCATCGGAATAGGGGTGTTCCATGTAAGGCAGAATTGCATCAGAGCAAATTACGTAGCTACTATTGTTATCGGAACACATGAAATTTATAGACTTGTGTATTGCTAGTAGCTCGGTGCTATAGTTGCTACAGAAATGATGCAAGGTATGATTGTATAATTAGATAATAAGTCTGGGGTAAAAATAATTTTAATTTGTATAATAATCCCTCATACCATACTTTGCCGAAGGCCTGAGAAACATTTAGAAACACTACAGTTTTTCTTTTCTTATATTTACACATTTTTTCAATTGGATTAATTCCGTAAAATATATTATTATTAAATTATTAAAACAGAGTAAAAGAATTTTTTGATGGTCATATCGATTTGTGTCGAGTCGATTTAACCGCCCTAGCGGGGAAATTTCACGTCTCTCTCGCGTTCAGTTGGCCAACCTGCCTTTGGGGTAAATACGTGCGGCGAGTGTACTCGGCCATATTTGCGTCTTGTGAACTGTAACGGGGTGCAAGTGAAGTCGGTTTTGTCTGCAGCGTGACGGCACATCGTGAAAACCGCTCGGAAGGAACCGAGCCAACCCGTAAACCGGCGGATCAAAAAACGTTTTCAGTACTCGAACTACGGCAGTCATGATGGTCGACAAGGTGGACATGAGCCTTGACGACATAATCAAGCAGAACAAGCAGTTCAAGTTCCCGAGCAAACGAGGACGCGGAGGCGGTGCCACTCCGAGAAAAGGAGGCTTCCAGAGGCGCGGGGCTTCGAAACCGGCCGTCCGAGGAGGCGGCGTTCAAAAGAAACGAGTCGGCTATGGACGCGTCAAAGTCCCTGCCTTCACGAGGGTAATTTACTTTTTAATATCTTATTTATTTATTTCAAGCCTGTTAATTATTTATCTAGGAACGGAAACTTCTTTCAAACCAAATATCAAAATCCTTGAAGTACCCAGGTTCTATTCTTAAAACTAACCTGAACCCATTCTCCACCAAAATAACTCCACAGATTTAAACCGAAAATGTTAAAAAAAATACTCTTGTCTTTAAAATTCACAATTTGCCAGTTAAAAACAATCAAGTAAAACTACTTTAAAATAGTAATAGAAAAAAAAGTTTCCTGTATATCATTTCCAACAGTCGAATTTTAAGGTTATTAAGCCCATAATTTTTTTCTTTTTCTCCCTTTTGTTCAACACCACCCGTTAAGAAAATCTTAAATTTAATTGTAAAAGCTTGAATTTATCAAATTGCATCACATGTCTTGGTTTAATTTATTCGTTGTACTGGTGGGCTTTGGTTGGTGAGTAACATATCCAACGGAAATATTTGCCGGCTGCCGGTCCCGCCTGTTTTCACATTTTTGTTTTTACTTACCTTTTATCGATAAACTGTTTATTGTTTTTCTATCGGATTATCAGGTTTGTTGAAAAAAACAACACGAATTTGTTGTATTACAATGTTTTTTGTTTTACTCGGCAATGTGTATTAACGGAACTATATTTTGGGCACTTCAACCAATCCAATTTATCCTTTTTTTCTACTTTTTTTAACAGTTTTTTAAGTGTTTCTCAATATAAATAAGATTTAAATTGTTTCTTGGACAGCCCTCAGGACATATTACAAATGGTCAAACGAAAAATTTTACTACATATTGTAATGTATAAATACATATTGTTAGTACTTTTCAGTATCAGTGAGATTAGAATTGTCAATTTGGTCGAAAAGCATTCAAATAATATGGTGACCTACTTGAATTTGCTGTACTAGCGATCCTGAGTTCGAATCCAGGCATAGCATTGCTATTTTGGTTCAACCCATTGTCCGTGACTCACAACAGTATAGTCAGACATTAAGCACTGAAAATCACTCGTGAAATGGCTGTCTCTGTAAACCATAACTAAAGAAGATGATAAGCTGCATGAGACAAGCATGCTGTTCATATCGACACCTGCAGCATTAGCGTTTGCTATCATGGCGATACTTTATATTAAGTATAAAAAACAAACACAGAAAACCGATTTTCTTCCATGCATCATCTATCTTGTTCTTATTATGACTTATCTTTAGCATCCCACAAAAGTTGGTAGCTGTGATACAGTTAGGTAATTTGAATGCAGTCCTCCTGGTTCATTCTAAAGCTTGAGACATGTTTGTGTTTACATGGAGAGAAACAGAACGCGAAGCACTTCAATGCGCACTAAAACAACCGTCAGCTGGTCGGCTTTCCTGAAACATCCTTGCGCCAAAAGCTTCAGCGTCCTTGCTAGGTATCCACAACCCACAAAACAGTTGTGCGAGTAATTTTCATGCAATGGAAACCCAGCTTAAAAATGGAATTAGTTTTAATTTCTACACCAATGTTTCTCAAATAGTTTGTTTGGTTGAACAACCCTGAATCACTGAATATCACAAATAATCAAACAAGGAAAATTGTACTTCACTGTGTACTTTCAGTGTTCGTTAAAAGTAGATTTTTTTACAATTTTTCAAAATCAATGAAATTAGAATTGTCAAGTTAGTTGAACATTGAATATTTGGTGGCTGAGTGGTTAGTATGTCTGACTCGTATTTGTCATGCTAGCAGTCCTGGGTTCGAATCCCAGCATAGCCTTGGTAATTTTGTTTTGGCCTCTCATCTTCAACACCTTGGCTGTGGTTAGACTTAACCCTTCTGTATGATAGGAATTACTTCTCTTAATGATATTATTTCTAATAATATACATTATTGTCGTTGTGCTCCATGTTTTTTATTGTCAGCAATGTCTGTTAAAAGTAGATTTTGGGACATCTTTTCAATATCAGTGAGGTTTGAATTGTAAAGTTGGTTTAACAGCCTTCAAACAGTTAAGATTTCTAATAACTGGGACCGCAGGGGCCAATTGGTTATGGTCTCCAACTGGGTTTTGATTTGTTCCCTTGTCCATCAAACATTAAGCTCTCCAGGATGTCAGGAATTACTTTACGTATTATTTCAAATCATATGTGTGCGTTATTCTCAGTTTACTTCAGCATATTTGGTATTAGGAATGTCAGAAAAGGGGCTGCTTTGGCTAGGTGATTCGAAAGTCCACCTCATATTTACCATGCTAGCGGTTCTGGGTTCAAATCCCAACATATACCATGGCTTTTTAATGGATAATAATGTGAAAAAAGAATTGTTTGATCCCCATCCACGATACTCAACCAGTAGTTTGTCATTAAGCCCCCCTAACATGGAAAAAATTACTTTACTTACTACTATTATTGCAAATAATGTCTAAATTATTGTTCGTGTGTGTGAACCATGTTCGTTATTGCAAGCAAAGTCGGTAAATAGATTTTGGAACTTTTCAGAAATATCAGTAAGGTTGAATTGTCAAGTTGCTTGAACACCCTTGAAATAGTAATCATTTCTAATAATAAAAGGACCATGGTGGTTGAGTGGTTAGGGCGTCCGAATCGTATTTACCATTTAATGACTTGTGTACAAATCCCGGCATTGTCTTGGTAATTTTGTTTTACCCAGCAATATAAGTGTAATAATAAGAATTATTAAGCAGTAAGTCTTAATAAGTCAATTTTAACAATTCCTCCTTCGACTTATTTTTTTCTTCAATACAAGTCAGATGGCCACCCTTTTATTTTTATTATTTAATTTAAAAAAAAAAATAAAATAATTGTACAGGGTGATTGCATTTTATTATGGTACTAAAATTACAATAATATCCAGCTTTAGTTTATTTAATTTAAAGCGGGGGTTCTGATGTCTTTCCACTGAATGAGCTCATTTGGAAGTACGTCAAGTTTGAAATTAGGGCAACTGGATACCAGGACCAGTCACCAATCCAGTGATAAGTCACAATGTCAGTGCCTTAACCCTTTCACATTGTTTATCACACATGAAAATAAAGTTATTCAGATATCGTGAGATGCGGTCGGGAGTGATGTAGGTTTCAGAAAAACATTTTCTTTATCGTGCCAACGTTTCGATCTTTTATTGAGATCATCTTCAGGGCTCAAAGTGTTTGTCTTCTCAATAAAAGATCGAAACGTTGGCACGATAAAGAAAATGTTTTTCTGAAACCTACATCACTCCCGACCGCATCTCACGATATCTGAATAACTATCGATTAACGGTCACTAATCTCTACACATGAAAATAAAAGTTATTTAAAGTTTGAATTTATTGTTATCTACATATCGGTTTGTTACACTGGTCTTGATTTTTGTTTTAAATCCTAAACTGAAATTATTTAATTTTTTTAAATTATTTAAATTTGTTGTTTAGGGTGGTGGCGGTGGTGATATTAATGGAAGATGGCAACATGATCTTTTCGACAATAATTTTGGACGTAGGACTCTTACGACAGCTTCAGGCGGTCCTGCAAAGCTTTTGGTCTCCAATCTTGATTATGGTGTATCCAACATAGATATTCAGGTAAATTGGATTTAATTTTTTTCTATGTTATAATTTGATGTCTGTATTGGCAAGGATTTTAAATTTTCTTTTTTTCGACAGGAATTATTTACTGAATTTGGCACGTTGAAATCTGCCACAGTTCATTACGATAAATCTGGTCGTTCATTAGGCACAGCAGATGTTGTTTATGATAGAAAGGCAGATGCCATCAAAGCTATGAAACAGTACAATGGAGTTCCTCTTGATGGTTAGTATTTTTCCCCTCAAAAATACATTTTTATGTTGGCATTAGACTGTAAAAATATAATCTGTGATTTTAGGGAGGCCGATGAATATTCAATTAGCCACTTCAGATGTGCCTGTGTTTCAAGGGAGAAACAATGCAATGGTTTTGAGAGCGATGACCCAGAGGCAAAACCCAGCACGAAGCAATAGAACGACAAGAGGTAATTCCCCCTCTAATTACAAATAGTTAAAATTTAAATTATTTGTGAAATAACAACATTTTTACCTTAGGTCGAGGATTCCGGAGAGGAGGCGGAGGCGGAGGTACTGGCAGGGGCGGAAGGAGAGGCGCAGGTGCAAACAAGCCTCCCACTGCCGAACAGCTCGACGCTGAGTTGGACGCATACGTGAACAAAGTTAAATAGAAAACGCTAGTGTTTTTCTAAGAGGGGGTTGTTGTCTTTCCCCTACCGCATTTGATCCTTCCCCCCATTACGGGGTGTTTTTACCAATAAGTTTGTATGACAAAAGAAAAAATAAATATATATTAAATCAGGCAAATTGCCCTAATGAAAAACTAAGGAAGACGTTTATAGAAGTACAAGTGGTGTAAAGTCTGCATTTGAATATTAAAAAGTGTTTGTAACTAGCATTCAATTGTCTTATAATTATTTCTTTTATTTTATTTTTCTACTTTGTCCCTGAAACAAATCAATGAAAATTAGAACAGATCAAATCTTTATTAATTTATTTTTTATCTGTCTTCTATAATAATAAAAAAATATATATATTAAATGTTAAATAATTCCATCATGCAAATTTTCTAATTCCACTTAGAAAATATGTATTATTGGAATTGTAAAATTATTTGTACCATAATAAAAAGGATTAATTAGTTATTAATTTGGACATATAAATATTATGTTGTAAATAACCGATGTTTGTTGCTGAAGTTTTTCATTGATATAATTTAGTGTATGAAGTGTATAATTCTTGATTTTGTTTTTTCTTCTTTTTATAACTGTACAAAGCACATTCCTCTGCCTTGACGTATAAAAATTATGTCAAAAGGAATGAGGACAAAAAGACTGCCAATTATATTAGCTCAAAATGAAATTTTTGAAACACTTCACAGTTCAATTGATATTTTAAAGTAGGATTATGTTATGATTTTTTTATTTTAAATGTAGAGCCACTTTGTTTAAAATAAACAATTTAATAACAATTTTTTTATATTAAAAAATATCTTCTTTTTTTACTACCCTACATATTATTTATTACAAAAGAAGAATGTATATAATCTTCCCAAAAAACACCAAAATGACTGTTCATCATTTACAAATATTTCTAACAAATTTAATCTCACTGAATATAACGAAAGTTTACATTAACATACTTGAGCAAGTTGTAAATTCGAACATTGAAAAGATGTAACCGTAACTGCAGTAGAGTAACTGCAACCAATAACATTTTAATAGAAATATTATTATCAATCTATATTTGTTTTAGTGGTCAATTGACCAAGTTACTTCTTTCAATTAATTATTCTTTTAATGTAAGATGTTGGTTGAGATAAACAGCTAGTGTCACGAGCAGGTTCGAACCCATGACCTTCAGCTCAACCAATTTTTCATCTCAATTAAAAAGCTTAGATAAAAAGAATGATTAATTGGAATAATTCATAATCAAATAATGACCACTAAACAAATATGGATTAATTTAATTTAAAAAAAGTTAATTACTTCACTAATAACTCTGTGTCCATTTCATAAGTCGCTGAGAAACGAATCAATTACATTTGCAAATACGGCAAAAATAGGAAAATTGGAATGGTAGATGGAGATGAGGAGAGAGGTGTCCGATGGTATCAGTCAGCTCAAGTGGTTAGAGCAGCAGTGAATTAGCTGAAGGTCATGGGTTCGAATCCTGCTCGTGACCCTAATTTTTCATCACAGCCAAAACTAGATAAAAAGTAAATTATTTGAATTATTATCAATTATTATTTTGCTAATTTTGGAAAGGGGGAAAACATGAAAAGCATTCAGAACAATTAGAACATAAAATAAACATAATATAGAAGAGAGAACTTGATGAAAATGATTTAACATTAATAAAAATAAATTTTTAAGTATAATTGATAGGAAAGGATTATGTAAGGAAAAATGTTCAGGAATAAACTTTAAAACCAAATAGTCATTTAAGGTCAGTCTATCCTTGCAGGGTTGGCCTGTTTCCCGTCTGTCTGTTCATCATTTTCATTTTTTAAAACACTTCACGTTAAAAATGAAAAGAACGTAATGATAAAAAAAAGGCCAACTGGAACATTAATAAACCAAGACAATACAACTGAGTCTCTGATAAAAATAATGACCCTTACAAATGACACAGAAGATGGCAAAATTCTGACAGAACACTCCAGCGAGGATAGGCAGGCCAAAATGATCAGTAAGGACCAAATACTGATTCATCGCCGGATCACACATAGAAGTCTCACAAAGTGCCAATCAATTCAAAATATGGTGATATAAACCAATTTCAACAATCATTTATGATAATCCAAGTTTTATGTCTGTTCAACCAAGTTAACTTTAAAGTGAAGGGGATTCTGATAGTTGAAAATTGACAAAAATCTACTAAGCAAAATAAAATGAAAAATGTGGTACACAGTAATTTTTTTTGTACTCAATGATTTTAGGCTGTTTAAGTGATTTAACAAATCAAGCCATTTAGTGATTTTAAGCAAACAAAAAAAAATTTTTTTTGTACTTTACTTTTTTCTCTTTTATGCTTACTTCCTGCCACTCAACTGTGCCAAGATCAATGAAATCAACATAATGAGATTCCTTATGTGCCAGCATTCACTGAACTGTTTATATTGCCGACACAGCCCTGAAGATGGCGAAATGCTGATACACGTTCGACAGACCAACACAATTTGGATTAGGCAGAGCAAAATAATCAGAGTAACCAAATTAACCCGGGGTTCATTAACCCCTGACCACACAGAGAAATCTTAGTGTCAATCAATTCAAAATTTGGTCTCACCCTGAGCAAGCACCGAAGATAGTGAAATGCTGACAAAGAGGATCAGAGATATATGCAGGGTGATGCACACAGATCCAACCCTAAAGATGGTGGAATGCTGGAACACTATTGACCAACACAGCGAGGATAGGCAGACCAAAATGATCAGTAAGGACCAAATTACAGGTCCATCATACAGTAGGGTGTAGATTCTCACAATTTAAAAATAATAGCGGAATTAGAATGAAAGTAAATAGTACTTTTAGTAAGAAAGAATGAATGAAAAAACATTCCGTCAATTTTAGGAGTAAACGTATCGCTAAAAAGCATCGTGAGATTTCCTCCTGTTGTGTGTGAAGTGATGAACGTATAATTTGCTTCTTACTCATTCTTTGTATGAGACATGTTTACTGTCAGAGACACACTGAAGACGGCAAATTGTTGAAACATCTGACAGACCAAGCCAGCAAGGATAGGCAAACCAAGATTACAGAAAAAAAGTATGCTTGCAAAGAAATTATTTTAAAAAAACAGGTGAACAGAAAGTATACTTTAGAGCAGTAGGGATATTGGTTCAAAACAGCACTTTTGAAAAGGTAAGATTGGACTGAAAGTACATGGTGGAAAAAAAACAATGTTCATCAAAATGGTCGTCTAGGATTAATATCAGAAAAGAAAAATGGTTTAAAGAAATAACAATGTTCAATTAAAAATTTTCGTGTAATATTAGAAAGGAAGTTTATTGCGGAAAAAAAGCAGTATTTTTGTGGAAATACAACTTTTAGAAAAGATAACTATATCAGAGGAAAGGTTGAAAAAGCGGTATTTTTTGGAAATACAACTTTTAGGAGAAACAACTATCAGAAAAGGTTGATACATTAAATCATTTCTGATTTATGGTCGTTTCCTAACAAAGCTTGCAAAACAGTTAAAAGGAAAAAGACATATTGGCACTTTTTATAAGAATGTAAGGGATAAATAACAGACATTTTAAAAATATTATCTACTTAACATACAGTATATAAAAATTTTTATTTACGTTAATAACACAATGTAGATCCTTTTTAATTCTACTACACAAATTGACTGCATCAGAAAATTTAATTGTTCCAAATGGAATTACAAACATGAGAAACTGTGGGACTCTTCTGACGATTGTTTATAGAAAATTGCCCGTGGCCTTTTAGAAAACTAATGCTCTTCAGTGTTTATGAACTTACAACTAAATGACTTTATCCATTAGAATTCCTTTGTTTCGTGAAGCGTTAATGACGAAGGGAAAACACTAAGCACTTGAAAATAATATAAAAACTATAAATAATTTATAAATTAGCATTAGTCAGTGACAATACAATAAGAACTTCACTCCTGACAAAAATCTATTTACAATTCATTTTCTACAGAATAAATAAAAAATATAAATAACTTTTGGTTTACCATTTAATCTTTTTTTTTTCTTTTATTTAAATTTTGACCGTTCTAAAAAAAAAAAAAAAAAACAATATTTGTGCTTTTGTTATAAAAATTAAACACTGATTGCACTTATTTACAATTACAATATGAAAAAACACCTAAATTCAGTTCTTGTTTCTTCTCCACGTCGTCGTATTAAATTTTGTACTTCTCATAATCTCTTAAGATTTCTCTTCTTGTCCTTTAGTATTTTCTTCTTTTCTGCAGCTATCTTTTTATCTCCCGCATGTTTTTTCGCAATCGGTCCATCTGAGCACGATTCAAGCCCCATACTTTTTGTCGTTTTTTGAGACTGAAAATAAAAATTCATTATAATCTGATATGTTCAGTGGGAATAATTCATTTAAAAAAATATTTTCAAAAACAATGCATAACTCACCAATGCATGGATTTCTGTCATCATTTTTGCCCTTTGAGAATAATCATCATAGTGTTCCAATAGAAGCCTGCCTGCTTCTTCATTCAAGGCTGATTCAGCATTAGGGACTATCAGAAGGCATTTAATCGTCTGGAAAAAAAAATCAAAATAAATGAAACATTAATAAATTCAACACACTATATATTATTGTCATACATATAAATTGTTTGTTAAAAACAATCTCTTACCAACAGTATGTGTTTAATCCCGAGATCAGATTTCCAGTCTTTTTTCAACGTGTTGACGCAAATCTCACCATTTTTCGCTACGTTAGGATGGAATATTTTTGTTATGAAAAACGCTTTAGGGGGAACTTGGGGGAAATCTTTCCCCAAGCACAATTTCACCTTAAAGACGCCTCCTGCATAAGGTGTACCAGCTAGAAATAATATATATAAAAAAATTAATGTCAACACTGTTAATACGGCTTACTTAAAAATAAATAAATAAATAAAAAATGAAAAAATTGTTTGACTGATAACTTTCAACTTTTTGCTATGATCTACCAACTGCAAGGATAGGCAAACCCAATTTATCGGAAACGACCCAATTACGGTTCATCGAACTGTATACAGCAGCTAAAATTATTTGAAAGGTTTTGTCTGACTCAATTGTCAGATGATAGTTTAATTTTTCACTGGAAGAAACTTTTGTGGTATTTTTAATTAAGTATGAAATATAATTATAAACCTATGAATTATTAACTAACTATTCTATTAAATTGTGAAATTCTCCATGTTGTGAAGACCACTGAAGATGGCATGCCATGCTGAAACTCACCTAACAAACTAACCCCGTGAAGATAGGCAGACCAAATGATCAATAATGACCAAATTCCAAATTGATTATTATTTTTTCCTTATAACTAATTACATTTAATTAATTTCAATTTATACACTAACTAAGTTGCTTATCTTTATTAAATACACTCCAGTGAAGATTGCAGAATGAAATGGGAACAACTAAAAACATCTACAGGTGCCCTTCTTTAGATGGCCCGGATGAATTTATCTTCAACCAATGATGCTTAAAAACAAGAAAAAAAATTAACTGATTTAAAATCCAATTGCACCATTGTTTTCAGTGTAAAACATCCTTTAAAATGATGTGTCAGCATGTATAGGGTCATATTTGAAAGTGTGAAATTGAACTGGGCCTGATGAGGTCCCTGAATATTTTTTCTCCAAAAAAAGTAAAAAATTGAAACTAGACTAAAAAATATTAAACATGTTGGTATATATTTCAAGGCAAATCCTGCCTCCTTCACCTCATGTACTTCCGAAAACCTGGCCGAAGAGGAAGTTTTTGGTTGTCCCAGTTTCTTTCTGCTTTCTTGGCTGAAATGAGTTTAAATTTCAAAATTTTGACATTCATAGCGTCATCACGCACAAGGAAAAAAATTGCTTCCCAGCAGAGTTCTTGTTCTTTTCTAGAGTTTGTAACAGCAGTTTCATATCAACATTTTCCACTGAGTGTTGATTTATATTACATTTAATTGATTTAAAACTAGATTTAGACCTAGTACAGGTTTTGGGTCTACATATCTTGCACACACTTCTAGTTTATCTGCTGATTTTGTAGTTATTAAGAAGCATTGCAATGAAGTCTGCGAAATGGACATGTAGTTTGATTGTCTCTGACCATGCTGGTCTGCTAGAAGCACTTTATCATCTTCAGTGACTGTTTGTTATTTGGCCAGTTTTGTCCCTTTTTTACAATTGTAAAAAGTAAAAGGACACAAATGCAACACATCACTTTAGATGCCTAAATTCTGAAACGAAGGACAGACAAACCAGGCTTGTGAATCCTATGTCATTTTTTTAAATTCAAGTCTTAATTCCTTTATTTACCCAGGGGAAAAAATTTTCATTTATGGTTTTAGACTACTGGTATACCAAATACGAAGTTTTTGATTCAACCTATCTTAAGTATAGATGATTTAATAATTTCGTGAGAATCTTTCCATTTGAACATGACGAAACTGGAAAAACAAACTTTAACTACCTAAATCATCATATCTTTTAAAAGTTTGCTTAAAGAAATCCTGGGAAAATATTTTGTTTGTTTTTTTAAAGTATTATTTATAAGATGAATAATTTTCCTGACAAGATCGTGGTGCCAAAGCCATGCTCAGAAATTGACCTTGGCGCGTTTATTGAGTTTACTCCATAACAAAAGAATTTCTAAAATTGTTTATAGACTTTATTATTGAATTCGCTCATTGGAATATTTCATGTCGTTTATATCCCATGTTGTTCATAATAGCTGAATTGCAAAACTAAATTAAATAAATTAGATATGCTAAATAATTTCTCACTACTGGGTCCCAGGACACACAGTAGTAGAGGAAAATGAAGCAATCTCTTGCAAGAAAAGGGATTGATACACTGCTGATAGCTCTCGAACCCTCTGTGGATACTGATTCACACTATCAATGAGAATATCTAAGACAAACAGACAGGCTGAAAATGAAGAAACAGTGAAATTCAATCAGTGGACACAGACAATCCTGGCGAGTTTTGGAAGAAAGTAGGAAAAAACATCCTAACAGGATTCTTAAAAGGACACTGTAAACTGAATGAGCATTTGGGAAGATTGATACATGCAGATTCTGCAAGAAAGCAGAAGAGACCAACACACCTACTAACAAATTGGTGTTACACTCGCCTGCAATGTAATCGTAGAACAAATTCGACTACTGAAACAGGCCAAATATATTCCTTGATGAACTAGGACTCACCGGTGTGCTATAGGCACAGAGAATTCAAATCCTCTCAAAGGGCGGAGTATATTACACAGCCCAAATACTTCATACATCTATAGTTTTTATCTTTGAGTTTGTTCATTGGAATATTTTACAATGATAGTATCATTTAATATATCTGACATTTGGCCATTTCCTGTCATTTCGGTGTGCAAATCTTCTGTCTGGTTTGTCAGACATGTTTCATGCATGTAATGCTTCCCTCCCCCCAAAACTGTATTAATGTTATGCGTGGTTTGGGCCGCACTTCGTCCAAGTTTAAATTCGTACAAATAAATTTGACAAAAACTAGTTTGAGCATATTTAATTTCACAGGTTCTCACTCATATAAAATTCAATATAAACTAAAATCAATATATTTTAGCAGTTGTAATTGACCATATTAATTATTTCAATTAATTTTTTTTTTATCTAAGGTCTTGGTTAAGATGAAAAAGCTAGTGTCATGGGCGGGATTCAAGCCCACGACGTTCGGCTGAATTGCGTGTCCGATAGCTCAAGTGGTAAGAGTAGCGGGTATTGAGTCAAAGGTTATGGGCTCAAATCCTGCTCGTGATACTAGCTTTTTCATTTCAACCAAAAACCTTAGATAAAAAGAATATTTAATTGGAATAATTAATAGGGTCAATTATAACCACTAAGCAAATATTTATTTATTATAATCCATAAATCAGATTTGAGTATTTAGCTTTGTTTACACAAGCACCTGTGAAAATAGAATAAATTTTCAAAACCTGCATTAATTTTGCACCAACCCAATATGTAAACAAGTCCATTTTGTTTTGTATATTTTCATTTTATTTATTATTATTAATTTTTAACGGCATTTCACGCCCTAACATCCCAAACCTTCTATCTTAGTTTAGCTTATCTCTTCTGAGTGCTATAAAGCTCTGACTCCAAACATTCACTCATAAACTAATTTATCCTATTGCCATCCAAGCTTTAATTTATCCTTTTAAAATTCTTAATTTGGAAGGCCAAATGTATGAAAAAATCCCATTTTAAATTATATATAAAATTTATTTATTTTTTTTAAATTAGAATTTTGAATTTTTGTTCCATAATTTAAACATTTCCCATAGGCATTTTACATTCTATAAAAAAAATCAGTTATCATTATAAATGTGTGGTGTTTAGTGACCATTAGTCAATGATCATTTGGAGATCATGAGATGCAGTCTGGTGTGACGAAGGTTCTAGAAAAACATTTTCTTTATCGTGTCAATGTTTCGATTTTAATGATATCATCTTCAAGGCATGGGATATACAAACATTGTTTAAATTTTACATCCTACATTTATTTGTAAAATTTAAACAATCTTTATAAATCCCAGGCCCTGAAGATGATCTCAATTTAGATCGATATGGCATGATAAAGAAAATGTTTTTCTAAAACCTACGTCACACCAGACCACATCTTACAATCTCCAAATAATTATCATTATAAAGAAGGAGGGAAAATTCAAAAGGTGGGGTTGAGATGGGAAGTTAGTGACCGAGTGGATCGAGGTCACGATAGCTCAAGTGGTAGAGCAGCGGCGTATCTAGCCGAAGATTGTGGGCTCGAATCCCGCTCGTGCTATTGACTTTTTTATCTCAACTAAAAACCTTAATTAATTGTAATATTATAAAGAAGAGTAATTTATTTTGGCAACAACCTCAGCGAAAGGATTTTTCTATCCATTTTGTAATGCTTGTCGATTTTTTTTATTTTTATAATGTACACCAGGACTGGAGGAGTTCCCCCTGAGCACTGCAGCTGTATACTACAGCTTGTTGTGCTCTGTTTCTGGCTCCCATTTTTGGGGGGCTCGTAACATACGAGTGAATTTGAGCCCCCGGTGTTCCAGTGATCTTCCATAGAAGAAACTCATTTTTTGAAGGGGGTTGGGACCAAATTCAGGGTCACTGAGATGTGATCCCGTCCCAGACCTTCCATTGACGAGTGCCGTGTCAATTTTTCTCAGTCATCAGAATAAAAAGTCCAGATGCGACGGTAGAATCCACATCTAGCCGAGAATCTGACGCCTTAGCCACTCAGCTACCGCAGCCCCCCATATTTGTTATATATGCACTTATTTATAAATAAAAGTATGCCTATCTAAATAAAATAAATTTGTATTTTGAAAGATTAGACTTTTTAACTCTACAAACTTATGTACACAACCAACACTTGTTTTGTCCTTTATACACTACAAATGCTTAAGAAACTTCATAAATGATTTAAATCCAAGCTGCAAGTAATGTTAAATTTGCTTACATTGCAACTACCTTCACTGTTGTTAATGCAATAAAATGAAGGTCTAGTAAAGAAGAAATAATACAATTACATGCTGAAATAAGGATTGTTTGACAAACTCACCCGGGCCTTCGATGTAAGCTTGAATATCCGATATATCCTCATCGTTTACACAGACTTTAATACCCTCAGGAGGATCAGATATAAGGTCGTGAAGCTCTTTCGTTACTTGTCTGATTATTTGAGGTGAAAGGTTTTCTACATTAGACATCTGAAAAAGGGTTGTTTAGAGTAAGAATAAATGCGTAAACAAGAATGCGTTTGAGCCAAATCAAAGTATTTGCCGAGGTGGATTCAAGAGTTAACCTATATTCTTTCACCTGAATAGGAGATGGGAGAAGAAAAAGTGACTCACTGTATGCCAAAATGTTCGAGGTGAGAGAGATCCTTCGTCAGTCGAGTCGAGAACCTGGAAGAATCAGAGAGAGAAACGCACCACCGATCTGCAGTGAAGAAAAAGGGCCAGCCTGTAGAGTAATGAGTATTTTGAAAATCAACCAATGGGCGACTTTTGAAATGAGCGAGGGGAGGAGTCGAAACGAGTCGATGCGATACAGGTCTTGAGTGAAGAATCGATTTTTGAAAAATACGTTGACCTGTTCAAAAGAGAGTTTTGCTCTATTTTTCCTTAAAGTTTAATTTAAACGTTGCCACTTGTATAACATGAAGGAGACGATAACTTATCTGAGTTATATTAGCATTTAGAAGTGACAAAAATAGAGTTAAAACGTCTTTTTTTAAAGGTATCATGCAAAAATGTAAAATACAAATATAATACATCCTACCAGGTATTAATCTATGTTTAGTTTACTCTTTTGTAAAACAAATTACATTTTTTTATGGGTTACAAACCCATTTCTTAATAATAAAAAATAAAAGTTTAGAAAAGTAAGGCAATAAAATATGTACAATGCAATGTATAGTATTTACTGATAATTAGTTAATGATTATTTAGAGATCGTGAGCTGCGGCCTTGTGTGATGTAGGTTTAGAAAAAAAAATTTCTTTATTGTGCCAATATTTCATTCTTTCTTTAGATCATCTTCAGGGCCTGGGATTTACAAACATTAATTAAAGTATTTGTGCTCACTCAAAGTATAACTAACTATATTATCCTGCGGTCATGGGTTCGATCCCCACCGTCGCCTCTGGACTTTTTTTCTGACACCTAAGGAAAAAATTACGGTGGCCGTAATTGAAAGAAATTGACACGGCACTCATCAATGGGAGGTCTCGGGTGGGATCAGATCTCAGCGACCCTGAATTTGGTCCCAAATTCCTTCAAAAATGAGTTTCTTCGATGGAAGAACACTGACACACTGGCGGCTCAATTCACTCGGGTGTTGCGAGCTCCTAAAAAATGGAGCCAGGAATAAAGTACAATAAGCTGTACAACTGCAGGAAAAAAATAAAAACTATATTATAATAATATAAATAAGTAATATAATATTTATTTAAATATTATACTAATATACATGACACATCTGCACAGAAAACACACATTTTGAGTGAGTACAAATACTTCAATTAAACCTAAAATTTCTACTTTGTGTACATCATCGTATAAATTCATTTTCACATCTTACATGTATTTGTATAGTGTAAACAATGTTTGTAAATCCCAGGCACTGAAGATGATCTAAAGATTCAAACGGTGGCACAACAAAGAAAATGTTTTTCTAAACCTACATCACACAAGACCGCATCTCACGATCTCCAAATAATACAATAACTTATAACTAACTAACCATTAATAAAGAATAAAGCACTATATTAGGCATCAATGAAAAAGACAATAAAATCCTTATAAATAAACAACATAAAGATTTAATTAAACACACTGTATATATAATTATAACGACTAGGAATTATAATATAATAAAGCATTGCAACTATATATATAGTAAATTTTTAGCTTTTTTAACTAAATAAAATTATGCTTTAAGTAACTAACGTTTTAATGAGGAAACAGCAGTATCAAATATAAATCAATGGTATTGCGTATGTACTTACATTCTATCATCATATGATGCATCGGGGAGTGTAGTGAAAAATTTGTTCCTTTATATTCAATAAAAAATATTTTATGATTTCTGAGGTAGCAAGGAGGTACATAAAATTGGAGGTTACCAAGGATTTCTGGGGATTCTATACAATTATTAATTAATTTGAAAAAAAAGTAATCTCGAAATATTTTTTCCTGCAGCTAAGATCAGAAATATTAAAGTAAGATTTAATGGGAGCATGAGAGGATTTATCATTGTGACAGTTTAATTGGAAATATAATGTATGAAGGAATTTATTTTGAACAGTTTGATGAAGATTTGATATCGTGTGGATTCCTGATGATTGAGATATTCAAGCAGCATATTCAAGAATAGGCCGAACAAGTGAATTATAGGATTTTTGAACTGATAGGTACTTTGGATGATGAAGCCAATCATTTTAAAGGAGTGATATTTGCTTTTAATCAAATGCAGCTTAAAAGTAAGATTACTATCAAAGATGTCGCCAAGATCTCTAATACATGTTACTCTGTTTAACAAGCTGTGATTAATGGTGAAAGAGTGGAAATAGGAGCTCATTAATAGAATTTCCTGCTGGTCCAGCAGTGGTACAGTTGACTCTTGGTATTTGAAACCCAAGGGACCTCAAAAATAATTTGAATTATCAAAAGGAAAGAAAAAAAAACAGTTGATAGCATTTTTCCAAGTTATTTTAAATTTAAACTTAAATTGTACATATATAAAACATAATGAAAAAGTGGAAATACATCAACTGTAAAAGTGAATGTTATTGCATTATTAAAAAAATTTTGAAGCGGGTTTTGTTTCAATGTTGCTTGGTATCCTTTGTTTAAATGATTGTCCAAAGTGACCAGTGCGAGAACACATTGACAAAATACTGACAGCAGTACATAACAAACTAGAGAAATAGAAATTGAGAGAAATATAACAAAGAAAAATTTCAAATTATAGAGATGGGAAGTGGCTCTATTTTGATCTATTGCAAGCTTTTTCTCCCCTATTACACAATATTTCAAATTTCTGAGTATATCAAAATACATAGAATTTTTTCAATTTACCAAAGAGACTTGCTGAGGAGTTCATATTATTTGTTTCGAATTTAGAAGAGTAGACTGTAATTGGTTTGATGACCTTAAAAAGTGCCTTAGCTCTCTTAGGGTGTAAATCCATTTCCTACAAATTCAGAATGCCTTTTAAGTAGGAAAGATGATATAGTTTTTTCTTTTTCTCTCATTTCTCAGCTGAGAGGTGGAAGAACAATATATACTAAAAAGACATTGATAAATGCCTTAACTTGAAATTTATCTCTGGGTTTAGAATAATATCTAGTTTAACTTCTGCAGAACAATATTTGTTTTTTAGTTTAGCCATTAAGAAAATAAGGTTACTAGTTCAGTGAAGGCTAGCTAATTGCGAAACATTAAAAATATTCTACAATGGCAGCTATTATAAAATCAATACAAATGATATTTGTTTAGTTTGTAACATTCATGTTAAAGAAATGTTGCAATTTTTGAGTGTCCACTATACAACCCTCTAAGAAGCCATTTGTACATTCGCACAGTTTAATTATGAAACTATAGATAATATATTATGCTATGGTGCAAACCTACAAAAAACAAATGATTTATTTCTATTTTTTCAGGGGTTTTAAGGTGAGAGCCTTTGTATTATGAGAATGAGCATACTATTGTAGTACTATTGCTGCAGTAACTGAATAGTAATATGTGTAGTTATTGGTAATAATTAAAAGTAATAATTACATATCTATTTAAGTTAATTATTTTATTAATCTGTTCAAGTCCAATTTATTTTGTGTTTCCAGTTGCTTATTTATGTATTTTGCTTTTTCAAATTGTTAAGATCTTGTATTTCAAATTATGTTTTAAATTGTTATGATAAGTGACATTACCCTGTTGTGTATGTCATACTATAATACAAAAAAATGGTAAAGTCATTTTCATAATGCAAGGTTGAAAAATTCGTTCTTTTCTTATTATAAAGTTACATTTTTAAAAATTTTATATCAATTTACTGTAAGAATTTTAAATTTGTTTCATGGTATATTTTACATGTAATGTTTATCTGCTTGTTTAAAGACGTTGAATTTTTTTTAAATATTTAAACCAGTTTAGGAGAAAGCATAATAGAGAAACAAAAAATGTATCTAATTGTTTATAGTCAAAACTGAGAGTTTAAAATTAAAAGAAAATATAATTTGTTTCATTGTTGACTTGTGCTTTTGAATTTTCGCTCCTTTACATATGTTAGTACTTTTCGTCCAGGAATTACAAGCCACGATGTTTTAGAAACACTGATCAAATTTACAAAAAAAGTAGGCAAAATCCGAGGAATAGAAATGAAAGAAATTTGTTCAAAAGTTAACAAAATTGTCTGAAGGCGTTTTTAAAAAAAAAAGACATCTGTAAATTCCGTAGTCACTTTTTTTGCGCGTTAACCTATGACAATTTAGTCAACAGAGGGAATGTTTGTACCTGTCTGGAAAGTAATGATTGCCCTCTTTTGAACAAATTCCCCAATTTAACGGTTGTTTATCGGGTTACATTTCAAGATTTAACTTATCCGACTCGGAAAAGCCGATTGCACCTCACTCGGACATTTATTTTTTTAAAGCTTAAAAATATTCCTTAAAAAAACCTACCCGTCTGGAGTGTTGAAAATATAAAAATTCGACAATGACAGAAATCAACTCGCTGCCGTCGTTGTTGGAAGCCGTAAGTATCAGAAAGGATTTTATTTAAAAAAAAGCCTTATCAAAATTTTTCTTTTGAATTTTTCAGGACACCTACTCAAAGAGGATCAAACGGGCCCTCGACAACTCGAGGGAGTTCACTCTTTTTGTTAATTCTGTCCTTCTCTGGAGGAAAACAGCCTACCCATGGGCGATATTTGCAGTCATTTCTTTTCTCTTCATGTAAGTTTATCGCATATATTTTTAAGCTTGAGTTGAACAAGTTTTAAAAACCGACACTCATGATTTTTATATGCATTTAAAAATACAAATCGAGCAGTAAGTTCTTTGGAATCTCACATGTCAATTAGGTTTTGAATATCTCTATGAAACATTTATGCGATCATAGGTTTATAATGATCATCGCTCGATTTGTGAGTATACAAAGTAGGTAACATTGTTCAAGAGAGACACTATCATTGTTATATGTATAAAGATCAGGTCCTTGCCAGAATCTAAAAGTTCCATTTGTTTTGTTTTTATTCTTTTTGGTAAAAAATGGAAATAATCTATTGAATCAATAAAAAAAAATTGTTGATTGGTTAAAAGGGCTAATTTTAATATTAGTGTTTCCACTAACAACATAAATGTAACTTTTTAGAATTGGTTTACATCAACAGAGATAAATACAGCATCAGTTACAGAACAGACACATGTAAATTCAGTTGCAGCTACGCTAATATCATAAATCAATAACATACATAAGGGGGGGGGGTCAGTGGCCACAATGGTTTAAGCATTGACAAGGCGCTCATGACTGTAAGGTAAAGGTTCCGGGTTCGAAAGCAGGGCCGCTACATTTGAACTCAACATACTTACAAATGCTTTTTTTCAAAAATACCGGCACCCTGAAAGTTGATATGACTTCTGCTGTTGCGAACTCTTGTTTAAAAAACAAAACAAAAAACAATTACACTCCACACATCAAATAATTCTACATTTATCTTTCCTTTCTCTAATAATCCAGGCTAACTAGGCCTGAAAGGACAAACCATTACCATTTTTTTCTCATTGTCGGTTCATTTCATCTCAAAGAAGCCGACTCCTCATAGAAAAATGAATTTCTCACTTCCTTCCCCACTTCTTAAAAACCCAACATATATAAACAAAAAGCATTAATATCTCACTAACACTCTCAACAGTGACACATCTGAACAGAAAACACACTTTGGGTGATTAAACCTAAAATTTCTATATTGGGTACATTATTGTATAAACTCATAATCACATCTTAATTTGTTTGTATAATTTAAACAATGTTTGTAAATCCCAGGCCCTGAAGATGATTCCAATAAGGATGGAAATGTTAGCACGATAAAGAAAATGTTTTTTTAAACCTACATCATACAAGACCGCATCTCATGATCTTTAAACGATTGTTTATACATGTCTCGTATTCTTTTAACTCTTTGAAGAACATGATCTACTGTGGTTGTGGTACTTGTAAGGGATGTGGGTATCTTTTTGGTGGAATATCAAACAATCTGGTTTCTTTTTTGTGCATACAGTTCGGGACAACCTGTCCCCCTCTTCAGCACATTTGACAACTCTCAAGTTTCTGGGAGAATGTGAGAAAAGAAAATATATAATTGTCTAAATAATATAAAATAGTAGAAACGCTAATATTAAAATTAACCCTTTTAGTCAACTGAGTACCAGGTATGGGGGGGAGACCATACCAAGCAGTATAATAAAATACATATAAATAATGTAAGTATAATCTCTATTGATTTCAATTACCTTCTCCCAGGAAGAATTGAAACTCTTATTTTTGGAAGTCATAAAACTAGTCAACTCAGATTGTATGCGAATCAAGGCTCCACAAAAATTAGGGTATTCCCAACTTTAATATAGTTGTTACCAATTTTCGACAAATAACCCCCTCACAATGATGGAAGGATGTCTCCAAACTAATTATTGAAGATTTAATATAAACCATATATGGATTTGCTAATAATGAGAACAGGTTTAAATTTATAAAATGAGGTACAATGTTAATACAAGTTGTAATTAAAGTATAAAAATATTTATAAAGAACAAAACAAAAAATTCTCAAGGATTGCATGCAATTATAACTTCCTTTATTGTAATAAAATTAATAGTGTCAAACTAAAAGAAGATATTAATATGATTAAAAGTTATATACAAAAAAAGGAACAATCTGACAAAGTGTTACAGGGCTAGTGTCCAAGATAATGCCGCCGGCTGGTTGGAGAAGGAAAAGATGGAACTGTATGCTGGAATGAAGAGATGTTCCGCGAAGTCGGCGGATTCTATTGACTCTCAGTTACGCAGATAATAAATGAGTGCAAGAAATAGCTCGTGAAGTGAGCTAGCACAGACGTACAATGTGGCTCTGTCTCGAAGAAAAGATGGAGAGTAGATGCCAAAAAATGGCCAGAAGGAAAGGAACGCTTTTGCAGGCCCGCACACTCCGTGTTGTCTACTCGTTGCACTGATTGGCACTTGTTGCCTCCCACTCACCATGCTGATATATCAAAACTCTGTCTAAACTAATCCTAACTATTTAAAATTACCTTAATATTATTATACATAGACTATAAATCCACCCGAGTTTTCAGCAAATTATTAGATTAAAAAAAATAGCCTTTTAAAAATAGACAAAAAATTAAAAGAATTCCTGATTGCCAGTAACACTTTGCTTTTCAAAAATTTTCTACCCAAGATTGAGAGCTCAGAAAAGGTGGCAATCTGTCAGCGACAGGTTTGAAGAGTAGAGGATATGATATAGTTTCCCTTCCAATATCAATTAATTTTGCTTTGAAGTTTGCGTAATGAAAAAGCAGACACACTTGCCAGAGGAGGATCCGCAAGACCATGTACAGGCCCTGAACCTGTTCTTATGATAAAAAAATAAACAGAATCCTCCTCACAATCCTCAGTTTTATCTGTATTTTAGACAGTGTAAAAGTAAAGCAAGTAAATTCTTGTCATAAAGGATTTAAACATCCAACTACTCATGGCTGTCACATACGAGGGCCCAAACCACTTTACAATTTTTCCTATTAAAGTGTTATGATATTTAGAGGTATATTATGAATTTGTATGTGACTAATCATGAAAGATAGTGATTGTTAATCTTGTAATTTTTCACTCTTGCATTAGGCTCTTAACAACATTGTTCAACCTAAAAAAAAAAACAACAAACAAAAAACCGATATTAGAATAATATTGAGTTATTTTTGTCATAAAAAAACTAAAATATTGCTACCACTTTAAATGAGCGAATAAATCGTAGCCAATGATTATTGAAAAACATTTTATTTTAGAAACAACCAACCAACTTTCTTAGAAAACGTTGGAAAACTGAATAATTCTTATTTTTAAAGTTTGAAATGTAAAATTTGAGAATTTGTATTTGAAAATAAGCATGTTTTTATCAATTGCAGGGAGCTTGCCTATTACGATCCTTCATTCCTCACTATGATCAGCTTGGTTTTCCTCTTTTTTAACCTGTTGGACTATTTCGGGCCACTCGTCATCTCAACAATTTGGAAACAAGAGAATTGGTCCGCCGCCAAAGAAAGAGAGTTGGAAGATATATGCAAATCGCTCGCTCATTGCTACTTATCATTTAAACACTCGTGGAATTCACTTATGGAAATTAAAACAAAGAAACCTAACTTGGTAAAAAAATATTTTAAATTTGAATTACAAGTATGTGGTGTTTAGTGACAGTGGTTGGAGACTGTGTGATGCGGTCTGGTGTGACGTAGGTTTTAGAAAAACATTTTGTTTATCGTGCCAATGTTTCAATCTTTATTGAGATCATCTTCAGGGCTGAATAAAATCAAAACGTTGGCACGATAAAGAAAATGTTTTTCTAAAACCTAGTCACACCATACCGCATCTCATGATCTCAGAATAATCTTTAATTACAAGTACTTTATCCATGGATTTTTTTTTTAGTACTATCCTTCGGCCTTTATTTCATCATGCATGCTGGCTTGGGTTGGAAACAATGTAAATAATTTTTTCCTGACGTATCTCCTAGGTAAAGTATTTCAAGCCGTATAAATTCTCTGTATAATTTTACATAAGTTAATTTAAAACAAAAATATTTCAGTTCTTTTTGTTTTAATGCTCCCGGCTCTTTCTCACTACGGGCTGATTCACAAATACTACAACATGGGACTCGCCTACGCCATGAATTCTCTCAAAGGTTATTCAGGAGCGAAATCGAAAGTTCAGTGAGCGCCGGCGACAAATGTGACAAGTTGGCGAAACTTTATAGGGGAAAAAGAAAGGAGTATAATGGGGATATGATTTTTATCATTTTGCATAGCAGTATTGGGTTGATGTGAAAAAAAATCTGGAAAAACATAAAAAAATCCACCAAAAATTTTTTTTCTTTCTTTTATCATGACAGTATTTTTTACTTATAAAGTCACAGAATCCTACACAACCGAACATAATATTGTTCATTAAAAAACAAAAAAGAAAAAGAAAAAAAAAAGACTTATAAAGAACATTGCCAAATATTTGTGATTTGTTTTAATATTTGTTGGAAGTGATGAATTTTGATACGATCATAGGCTGTGTTCATTGTTTTCAGCATATCTTTAATTTTTCTAAAACAGTCATGATCAACATTATTGTACGATATTAAAAATAGGTTTTATTGTTTATTTTTCATTTTTACTCCATTAAAAAAACCTGATGTTTTAAATTGTACGCATACGATAAAACGTTAAAGTTTATCTTTAAACAAGTCTTGGTTTAATTATTGTACTGTACAATTTAACTGTCATACAATTTGTTTAACTTTTATTTTGTTGACATTATTTATAGAATTAAAAAAATATATATATTACAGTTCCCAGAACACCATCACTAATTTACTTGTCCAAATTTTTGTGTATGAGTTAATTTTTGGCACCGTTAACACATTTAGTGCACAAAGCTTTTATTTTAAATTGTATACGTGGATATGTATTGTCTTGTTCTGTATTAATTATAGTTGTAAACACTAGACTGAACGTTTTTGTCTTTAAGTCCATGTTTATTTGCTTTTAAGATTAATTTAGATGTTTGTTCCTTGATGAATCAAAACCAAAGTGACTTTCTTTTTGTGATGCCTTTTTTTTTTTTTTTTTTTAAATTAAACTGAGTACTTGTGATTAGAAACAAAGGTCAGCAAAAGTAAAGTTTTTTACCAATATTTAATGAATATAATGTAATTAAGAATTGTAATAAAGGAAAAAAAAGTGTTAATTCTTTTTATCTTTTAACCAGAAGTTTCTAGAAGACAAAGTTATTTGGTGTTATTTAATGGTCTCTACGACGTCTGAATTGATTTTTCATGCATTGTAAAAAATCATAAATCATTGTTATGCCAACCTATCAAAACCTAAAACTATTAAAAATTCCCAATAAAGTTTTTCTTAAACTTTTATTTATTTTATTTCTATATTGGCCCTTGGCATTATAGAAATTTTTTGTTTCAGACAAAATGCAAAGTTCAGACGATCTAAAACATTTTAAGGGTCAATTTTTTACTTTTGTTTGTTTCTCACATATCAGTCTTTCAGTCTTAGCGTTGACAGAAAGGCTTAAAAAAAATTAGTTAATATTTTATATAGTTTAAATAACAAAACAAAAACTGTACAGCTGTTTAAAATTTCCCCCCTTATCTCATTTATTGTCAATGTTAAGAGTTTTTGTTTTAACCTTAACCCTTGTATCGTCTCTTGTTTTAAATAAATTTAAACAATTTTTCAACCATATGGGACCCGATACCTCATTTCTGGTGAGTTTTTTTTTCATGGTGGCCTAGTTTTAAACTGCCAGCAGAGCAAAATCGCAACCCATTCCAGGCAAAAATAGTTGTCAAAATTTCTTTGCATTTTCCACTTTGATAGGAATGTTTTCTTTAAATGCTTTTTTTTTCCTGAAGGGATAAACAAGAAAAGAGTAAGCTAAATTTAAAAAAAAAATCTCTTAAGGCAAAATAGTACGTAATTAAGTTCTAATTAAACATTTTTACCTTTGAATGGAAAATTTTAAATAAAAACAGCTGTGTTTTTTATAGTTGGTATATTACATTATTTCTTCTGGCTGTGGAACATACAATTAAAGAAAAATTTATAGAGATCAATACAAATAAAACTCGAACATAAAAGACAATTTTAAGTATTTGATTTAAAATACATTTTGAACTGGCACTGGGTCATTTATTTGCGAGTGTAGATGGACCCAGTTAAACATGCATTTATCTACTCGTAGTCCAATAAACATAATCAACCTTAAAATAAATTACAAATAACTTTATTCTTTTACTCTACTGTAGAAGTCCTGCTGACCAGTTATAATTATTTTGCAAAGCTGAAAGAACAAAATGATCCAATTTTATAAAAATATGTGAAGAAATAATAGACGATGTAAACAAAAATAATTCAACTTTTACTCTGCAGTGTACGATTGTTTAAGGATGGTGACTGAGATGACTGATTGGTAACAAATGGGTAGAATTTGTCAATTGTGCATGAATTCCAATGTACAAGATTGTTTTCTAATTCACCACAAGAATTCTTTAATATTTGTTGCTGGAAAAATAATTTTGGTGTTGATTGTACATTTCTGTTGGAAATCTTTGTAATTAACAGGCATTTGTTCTAATTCTAAGTTGTAATTTAATGTTATAAATTTATAGAATAAATAACTAATAAAATAAATAATATTAAATATAAATTTGTGTGAATGATGTTATGAAAACAAAAGTGTTCAATAAATTTCTAGTGGCATTTCTAATTGTTTGCTTTATGTATTACTTTGTTTTGTAATTGTAAAAAAGTAAGGGTTGTACAGAAGGGCTTAAGGTGTAACTACCCGTTAGTTGTCATGGACGAGGGATCAGAATGACTTTACAAAACCTTTTTTCAAATTAATCCCATATAAAATTACAACGGATATGCAAAGATTTGAATTTGAACCCAAAACCGCTAAAGTGGAGACATTTTATTTACAAGTCGAACGCATTAACCACATGGCTGCTGCTGTCCCTATGTTTTTAATTATTGCAATAATATAATACAATTATTAATAGACAAACTGTCTACACCTTTCTGAAATTTTGGCCAACATAAAAACAGTGCATGTCCAGTGGATCAAAATTGCCCCCATCCGATCCCAAAATTTATTCAGAGGGAGAGTTTAAATAGAGTTGGGTCACTTTTTTATTTTTGTTATTATTTTGTAGGTTTTTTTTTGGGGGGGGGGGTGTGATGCAAAATTATGCCTCCACTGTGACTTAAGCAGATCTATCGTGGAACCTGATGTTGGGTCATATAATTTAGTATTATTAAATTCTTAGCATTATTTATGAATCAACCAGCAATTCTTTTCTTTTGGATGTAGATCAGTGTCAAGTAATCCTTTATCATTATATATTTTATCTTTTTTTCTTACTCGTTTTTTTGCATTTCTTCCACTGCTGCAATGTTGTATGTTGCAATTTTAATGCATTTCATTCACAAGTCAAGTTAAAGTTTAGCATTTTGTATGTGGATTTGTCTAGTAAGCAGTATCTTCCACTATAGGACGATGGGTAATGGGAGAACCCAAATACATTAAAAATTATAGTAATTCATTGTTTACTAGATCTTATTTTTCTTTCTAGTGTAAGGTATCTTTTATTGGTAAATAGATCCAATTTCAGAAATTTATTAAGTAATAAAAGATTAGCACTATTGATCATTATGTAGACTCACCCATCATATTTAGAGGTCTGATTGACCAAATTACTTCTTTCAATAAATTATTCTTTTTATATTAGGTTTTGGTTGAAATAAAAAAGTCAGTGTCACAAGCAGGATTCAAACCTAAGTGAAGGTCATGGGTTCGAATCCTGCTTGTGACACTGACTTTTTCATTTCAACCAAAATCTTACATTAATTGAAAGAAATATGTAGACTATTTAATTTTTTAAAGGTAGAGTTCACACAAAAATAGTATCTGTATACTGTAGTAAAATAATGATTTTGTGCAATTTTTCTGTATATTGCACCCATGTGGTAGGTTTTCTCAGTTCTTATTTTGTTTTTATTATTATTTTTAAGTATAACAAGATATTATTTTTTTAAAACGATTTTGCAGTTTATTATGCGTTTATTTTATGTCGTTCAAGTTATTTCAGTGAGGAATAGTTCTTGCTGAGTATTTGAATTCTAGAGGTCTTCACTAGTTCCTTGTTTAGTTTTCCCGGTTCGCACCAGTGCAGTCTAGATTCGACAAGAGTTCTCTGTGGAGGATCAATTCAACATTCCTCCACATTTAAACCCCAAAAACGTTGTTTTTCTTTGAAAAGACAATGGAATTAATATCGAGGGTCGTTTTATTTTCAATCAGAGGCTTTTTTGAAGGGTGATTTTTTTCTTGAACAGTATTCAACGAGCGTCGCAGTAACAGTTGGTACCCGTACCAATGGTGAAGTTAGGTTTTTAGTTAAGGATTTGTTTTTCGGCCGAGTTTAGGGTTATATTAGCCGAGTAATTCGACCACCCGGGAGACGTCTCCGTGGAGAAAGGTGTCGCCCGAGAGGCCAGCTAGAATCCACAGTGTTACGCGAGAAGCGGACGTTCTCTCGTCTCCGTTGCGGCCTGCACTCTGCAATCCGCACTCCGCAGTCTCGGCCTCCATTGCAGGCCCTGCCCTGCGTTTATCCGCCGACGAGGAGTTGCTAAGGGAAAATGTAAGTGGTCACGATTTTCAACGGGGTCTCCGGTTTGATTTTCCTCGAGTCGGACCGTCGCCGCGGCTAGACGTACATTGACGATTTCCCACCCGATGCCGGATTGTCAATAATGGCCATCGTCATTTCCAGACAAATATAGCCGTTTTATACCCCTTTCTACACAATATTCATTCTACAATCCCAAAGATGTTTATCTCATTTCAACATTTTTCAACTACTGTCTATCTTTATTCTATAATTTTAATTTTTAATTTATCTTAAAAATATATCCTTATTAACAGAATATCTAATTACAATTATATACCAGCTCCTCCAAAACGTCCTGTCGTTTTTGATTTGATTGAAATATATAAAAAATATAGAAAATGATATTTTTTTGGTATTTTAAAATATTTTATTGAACGTTGCATATTATAGTTATTACTACTTTTTTAAAAACTAAAATACATGGGAGATTCTTTCATGGGCTCTGTAGAGTAATGAACCTCCAATTTAGTCGGTTCTGACAGTATCGGTCTGCCATTCCTTCCTGTTTTGTCTGTTGGATACGTTTTGGTTCACCATCTTCATCGGTGGTTTTGCTCGGTGAAAAACTATGCGTTCATTACCATTTAGACCTAAAGATCTCTCAATAAATTGTTTAAGTTTGTGGTTTGATCGGTCTGCGAGTGTGAAAGCGGTTTTATACAGAACTAAGTACATTTAGTAAGTTTAGTAGTAGTTTAGAAAGTTCTCGATTATGATGGTATAGAATATAGCAATTAAAATATAATAATTATATATATTTTTTAACGAATATACATGGTAGATTTGTTAATAGGGTCTGCAGAGTAATAAACAGTTCAGTCATTTCTGATCGGAATGGTCTGCCATTGCTTGCTGTTTTGTCTGTTGGATATGTTTTGGCTCATCTTGATTGGTGGGTTTGCTCCGTGAAAAACTATGCGTTCTTTAACATTTATACCTAAAGAAGATCTCTCAATAAATTGTTTAAATTTGTGATTTGATAAGTCTGTGAGTGTGAAAGCAGTTTTATACAGAACTAATTTACTTTTGGGTTTTTATGTCAAGTTAATAATAATTATTTTATATATTTTTTTAAACTAAAACACATGGTAGATTTCGTCATGGGGTCTGCAGAGTAATGGACCTCCAGTTTGGCATTTCTGATCGTATCAGGTTGTCTTTCCTTGTTGTTGTCTCTTGGATAAGTTTTGGCTCACCATCTTCACCGGTTGTTTTCCTCGTTGAAAAACTACGCATTCATTATCATTTAGATCTAAAGAAGTTCGTTAAGTTGGCGGTTTGATCGGTGTGCGAGTGTGAAAGCAGTATTATACAGAACTAATGCATTTTTTTGTTGTTTGTTCTTGTTCATGATGGTATAGAAAATAGCGATTAAAATATAATAATTATTATATATCTGTATATTTTTTTTAACTAAAACACATGGTAGATTTGTTCATGGGGTCTGCCGAGTAGTGAACCTTCAGTTTGGTCATTTCTTGTAGTATCGGTATGCCTTTCCTTCTTTTGTTTCTCAGATGAGTTTCCACTTATCGTTATTTATTCAGCAGTGGCTTAGCGAGGAGAAAAAACTACTTCATTATTCAGACCTATAGTGTATTTCTCAATAAATTGGAGGAAATCTCTCGATAAATTGCTTAAAATGGTGGTTTGGTCATCAACAAGTTTAAAAGTGGTTTTGAACAGAAGCAATGTACATTTGGGGTTTTTATTTTAAGTTCCTGTTCATAATATTATAGAATATAGAGATTAAAATACAATAATTATTTTGTATATTTTTATTGAAATTTAGAAAATAATATTTTATTCATATTTTTAAATATTTTATTGAACGTTGCACATTATAGTTTTTACTAATTTTTTAACTAAAACACTTGGAAATTTCTTCGTGGGTCTTCAGAGTAATTAACCTGTAGTTCGGTTGGGTCTGATCATTTTGACCTGACTTTTCTTGTTATGTCTCATATTTGTTTTGGCTTCTCGCCATCTTCAGTGATGGGTTTACGAGGGGACAAAACTACATCAACAGGGAGACTTCAAGAGTATATCTATGAATAAATTGTTTAAGTCGGTGGTTTGATTGGTCATCTCATGCGGTTTTGTACATGGTTTACACACTTGGGGTTTTGTTCTTCCTATTCATAATGGTATAAAATATAGCTATTAAAATATAATAATTTTTTAAAACTTTATTGTATGTTGTACATATAAAAAATTATTAAATTATCTTCTTTTTTTTCTTATCTAAACCGCTCATGGGGTGTGCAGAGTAATAAACCTGGTCATTTGATCATTTAGTGCCTTTTCTTGCTATTTTGCTGTCGGGTGAATTTTGGCTTTAGGCAGACCTCAAGAACATATCTCAATAAATAGTTGAAGTCTAGTGTTTTGATCGTCTGTGAGTCTGAAGGCAGTTATTTACAGGAGTAACGTTCATTCAGGTTTTAGTTCTAATTTACTTTATAACTGAATTATTATGAAGTAAGAAAACCACCCTAACCATCCTGAAATAGGTACATGAAGTATAGAGAATACCGGGGGGGGGGGCGTGTGGATAGTAAAGATCCTGATAATTATATTGCACATGAATTATACACTTATCTGGTTACTGTTCAAGTGTCTCTGCGAATGATACTAATTAAGTAATTAGTCTCAGTATGTGATTTTGCACATAATGTACTCTTTTGATTTGTGCCGCTGAGGTGAACACTAGATGGAACACCAATGTCATGATATGTGAGTTTGGGTCCTTACTGAGTCTACATACACCCTGTTAATTTTTCTCAGATGGCTATTTATTCTACATGTACCTTGTTATGATTCAGTATCTCTTTGTGCTTCTTTTGATGCATTATGTCGTTTCTTGGATTGCTGTCCAGTCAGTGATTCTTGTTGTTTCCATGCTCTTACTTTGTCTTCTTTTCTAAGATGCTCGCTCCTATGGGTCCCAATAGTGTTTTTCATTTTATTTACTTATTTATGTAAAAGTAATTTGCTTGTTTGATTCCTTCTTTTCCCAAGTGTTCTGGAACCCAATGTAATTTGGAATTTGTTAGTTTTCAAATTCTTTATGTCTAAGAGCTGATAATACTCACATGCTGGTAGTCGGTTGACATGTTCCCATCCGTATTATATTTTTATCGGGTAATTTTTGAGGGATGAGTGGGCATAAATTCATCCTGAAGCTAAGCCTGGCTCGAAATGTTTAAATATTTAATGGCACATTAGGTCTTTCCTGTGATAGTTTGTAAAGTTCATTTTACACAGTACCTTTTGGCAGTCTTAGTAGATTTTTTGGATGGAGTTCGTCTTTGGAAATTTCCAAGATTTTTCATCAAGACAAACCATTACGACTGCTTTAAAATATATTCTACAGGTCACATTTTGTCATCACAAGCGATAATTCTATTCCAAAATGAAGTTTATTTTTAAGCGGAAAACTAAGATTTAAAAAAAATAAGAAGCAAGATATATGATCTCAATTTGATAGTGCGGTATTCATTTATCTTGCTTTTTGTAAATAATTTTTTTTTTACTGCTGTTTTTGTTAGATTTCCAAGTGGTTGATTCAGAGGTATTGAGTAGTCTCACGACAAGTTTGGCAAGGATTTGATTCAATTACTGGCTTAATCTGTAAGGGTCACCATCACAATATTTGGGCAACAAAAAATTGAGCAAATTCAAACACTGAAGCTCAAAACAAACAAGAATAATTTTAAAAATGATAGGACTAGAGGACTTGGTCATTTTCTCATGATTTTAGTCAAATAATGATCTTGGATCACTGTTTAACTGTAAATTGATCACAATCACTTTAGAGAATTGGTGATGAATTTTGTTAAATAAGAACCAGTTATTTAAAAAATAAAAAATTCAATATAGTGAGTGATTATTTGAAGATCGTGAGATGCGCTCGGGTGTGACGTAGGTTTATAAAAACATTTTCTTTATTTTTAGACTCAATTTTAGAAATTTTAGACTCAATCAAAGTATTTGTCCTCACTCAAAGTGTTTGTTTTCTGTGTGGATGTGTCATTATTGCGTGTTGAGTTGAAAGTGCCAGTGTGATATTGATGTTTTATGTTTATATAATCTGGATTTTGAAGGGGTGTAGAAAGAGTAGGGATAGAAAAACATTTTTATTTGAGGAGTCAGCTTCTTTGAGGTGAAAGGAGCAGACAATGGGAAAGAATGGGTAATGGTTCGGCATGATTATCCTTTCAGGATTATACAGACGGGGATAATTAGGGAAAGGAAAGCCAAATTGTCGAAGAATTAGACTATGTAGAAATGTTTGATGTGAGGAATGTAATGGTTGTTTTATATTTGTTTTGGATGATGTTTTGATGATGTATGTATGTTATCGATATTGAATTTCATTAATGATATTACCATACCTGCTACTGTGTTTATCTCTGTTGCTATAAACCATTTCAAAGAAGTTGCGTTTATGTTTGTTTGTTCTGTGTGTAATATTTTTGGATTGTTGAAGTCGAAATTGTGTTTGTGTTCAAAATGGTGGGTAGCGAGTGCTGTAGGATTTTGCTTGGGTTTTTGCAATCATAGATATGTTGCTATATTCTCTTATCCACATATTGGGATGTAATTCCGATGTAATGACAGTTTAAACAATTGATTTTGTAAATTACGTTAGACTTATTTGTTACTGGTGTAGGATCTTTAATTTTGGAAAAAAGTGTGTGAATTGTTTTATAGTTTTTGAAAGCTATTTTAAATTAATCAGAAGAGAGAAATGTGTTTAATTTTTCTGATAGGTAGTGAATGAAAGGCATGGATTATGTATCTTGGTTTCTCTGTATTTGATAGATTTGATGTGGTATTATTAGTAATAGCAGTTGGCGTTAGTGTTGAGTTGTAGTTGTTGATTATTTTGTTGATTATGTGTTTAGGGTAGTGATTGTTATGTAGGATATGTTTGTATATATTTATGTTCTTGTGGTGAAAAGATTATAGAATATAGTCAGTATTGAATGTATGAAATTGTAGGGTTGACAAATTTGTTGTACGATTATGTCAATTCTTGGTCTGCCTATCCTTATGGTTTTTGCCTGTTGGTGGATGCAAGATTAAAAAAAAAACACCCTTGGGCAGACTAAAACACCAAATTTATCGAAAACAACAAAGGTAGGTTCATCACCGAGATGACCTCAGGAAGAACTTTATAAAAGTTGAATTTGTCCAAAGTAAAATATGAAGGCTTTAGCCTTTTTTCATAATCTTGTTAGTAAAAGACAGGCCTTTTTGAGTTCAATTTTGCTATTATGACTATTTTATGGTTTAAAATTCAACAGGATTCTGCGGCTCTTCGGAGTTCGAACATTCTTGGAAGTACAGCTCGATTTAAATACTGATTAGCTGGTCAAATCTGCATACATACATAAGTAACAGAGTTACACCTCACTTCTCGCAGTCCTCCGGCAAATTCAGCTTTTGTAAATCACAATAAATTACTGGCAGACTTCGAGAATCACCCATCACTGGAGTTGGCGAGGTCGGACCTCGGTCTTATTTGTTGAGCTGCTGAGGTTGGACTCCAGCGGATATCAACAGCTACATCAACAATATATTCCTCCATCAAAAATTTAGCTTTACATGATTTTGTAGTTTTTATTGTTTTATTGTTATTTCAAATTTAAAAGTCAATTGCAAGATATGGTATATCACTTAACAGTTTGTTTCACTTCTAAATTAATTCAATAATTTTATGGGTTTTCACCATTAAAAACTTTTGTACTTTTAAGTTGTTTTAGTATCTATAAAGATCAACCTTGTGACTCATGGTAGTCTCTTTGTGGTCATGTTCATCGTTGATTAAAAGATATTTCTGTTATTTCAGCTCCACAAGTTGATTTTGGATCTAATAGGGTCAATTATTTTTTATTTGTTTCTGTGAAATCATGATGTTCATTTGGTATTTGTGTTTGTATTTTCTCAAATGCTTTAAAGTTCAGCTATGGCACTGATGGATGAATCATTGATAAGTGTTTAAATTCATTTATTTTTTGGTTTATGTTAGAAAACGTTTCCATGTGGTTTCTTCAATAAAAAAGTAAATGCATTACTTATTTATAATTAATTGGACTTTAGGGGGATTAAACATTCTTTGCCATGAGGCTTGTAGGCAAATGCAAATTGTCATATCTTTAAAAAAAAATTAGGGATAATAATAAATTATAAATTTAATACAATATGAGATGGTGATGATGAGTTTAATTGCCATAAACGTCCAAATAAATGTAAATAAGTAATATATTTAATTTTTTATAAAAAAAGTTTTCTAACCAAAAAATTTAAATAAGACAAATTGATCTTAAAAACTCCATGTTTAAAATAAAACACCTTTAAATTAATTTATTATCTTCTGGAAATAAATCCCTTGGCTTAAAATATTTTTACAATTGTCTAAGAAGCAGACAACCCATGTTGGTGGGTCACGAGCTTGGATCAAACTTTTTGTTTGGTGATACTACACTCCAAAATATCGGAAACATATCTGCCACTTCTTGGGAATAGGCCCTGGTTTAGCAGTTTAGAAAAAACAAAAAAAAATTAAATGTGGTGTTTAGTGACCATTAGTCAATGATTATTCGGAGATCGTGAGATGCGGACTGGTGTAGGTTATAGAAAAACATTTTCTTTATCGTGTCAACATTTCGATCTTTATTGAGATCATCTTCAGGTCCTCGTGTTGTCTGCATTTCAACAAAAAAGTTCTCTGATTAATAGCCGATGCGAGTTTCTTCTCATTGTTGGCGATGTCCTTCAGAATACTTTTTGCTTGGTGTCCATATGTAGATGAAATGTGTTCATAGAATCCCATGTTCTTCGTTCTTCTCGTGTAGAAATGTGTGGTGTTTAGTGACAGTTAGTCAGTGATTATTCAGAGATCGTGCATTTTTTGTTGTTGTTTTGTGGGTTTTTTCCATTTGTTCTCTTTTCTTCTCAGTCTTGATTTACGATGGTCACTTATGCCGTGTTTTGAATTACTACAGTTAATTAAATATTGAAGCCTAATGTTAATTAATAATATTTTCTTAATAGGATCAGTTGGAATTTTGCCAGAAGGAGAATTGAAACTTCGTAACAAGCAATGAGTCTTACAATGGCAAATTCTATTGTCACTCCAGAGGAAAACTATGGTTTTAATTTGGAGTGGATTGCTGAGGGCTCGGGAATCGGAGAAGAAATATGCGGTGTTGACAAAGACTGTATTGTGGTCCCGTCATCCCCGGTCCTGCCAAAAATCGAGCCAGACGACCCAATGCAGCCGCAAATTGATGAATATGTTGAAATTCAGGTTACAGAAGAAGAAGTTGTCACTGAGCAGTGGCAGACTCAGCACAATGGGTGAGAAGTTCTATTCTTTGACATTTGTACAAAATCAATTATTGTTGCTTTAACAAGCTTATTACTAAAATTGCTGCTAAATGTGAAGTTTTCTTTTTAACCGATTGTGAAGTTTACAACCAATTTTTACAGTATTTATTAAAAAAATAAATAAATAAATGGACAAATAGGGCACAGGACCCCTTTTATCTTATCAATAATAATAGTTGTAGCATACATAACTTTTTTTGTACAAACATTTCTATAAAAACCCTTTTAGAACAGTTGATTTATAATGGCGCAACAGTTTATTCGATTTCAGTGGAGATGTAGAAGGGCTAAATTTCCGGACAGGGTCAGAGGATGATGGGATAGTCCCTTTACCTGAAAACCAGGATGAATACTCAAGGCTGCATCCATACCCTTGCGATTTTTGTAGCCGGAGGTTCAGCAAGAAGGCCGCGATGACTGTTCACATGCTATCTCATCAGATAGAAAGGCCCCACGACTGTAACATGTGTGGAGCCACTTATAAACGAAAATTTGATCTTGTGGAACACATGAAAATCCACGCTTACGCACCACCACCTCGGGAAGAGGAGGATTATGAGAATCTCTCAACAGTCCCTGAAGCGAAAGCAAAGTTGAAAAAAAAGAAGAAAAGGGTGAAACAAACACTCCACACAATGCTAACCGATAAAAAACAGAAGAAACAGACTTTCTCAAACAACTACGATTCAGCTTTACAGGAAGAAATGAGGCTGATGGTGGAATCGGTTCAACCGAAGTTTCCTGTGATAGACCCAGCCAGGCCTTACGTCTGCCAGCACTGCGGAGTTGGCTTTGCTCGTGAGAAAGCCCTCTTATCCCACAACATGATCCATGTCGGAGATTCCGCATACGAGTGTGATAGATGCCATGACATGTTCCAAACAGAAAGACAATTATCGGATCATATGAGCAATAAACATGGGAAGTACAACACCAACACAGTCAGCAAGAAAAAATCAACCAACCACGCCCCTCCTATAGAGAAGTATGAATTTTACATTCTTGCAGTCTCTTTCATTAAATATATCATAATAATCATTATTACAATTTCTTTAGCATTCAGATTAAACAAGAAACTATAGATCTGACAGAAGAGCATATGTGTCAGCTATGTACAATAATATTTAACACTGCTGAAGAACTTGCCTGTCATAAGGAAGATCATGACCCAGATATTGGAGTCCACTCGTGTTATCTTTGTACAGAAGTATGAAAATTATACACATTTATTTTATAAGCTATTTATCAAATTGTTAATACCTATTATTTTCAGGTTTATGAAAGCTTGGTCGATTTAAGAGATCACATCAAGTTATCACATAGTACTACTCATTGGTGCCATCAGTGTGACAAGGTTTTTAAGGATCACGTTACCTTGAGTTATCACCTTGTAAACCATGAGTCTAAAATGACATGCCCACTCTGTAGTAGGAAATTCACGAGCAAGCTGTCATTTAGAAGGTAATTAGTTTTTGTTTGATTAATTTTGTATGGATAAAAATTAACGGAATATTTAATTTTTAGACATATAACAACTCATGAGGACAAACAAGTGTTGATGTGTTCAGAATGCGGGAGCCATTTTGCGGACGGCAGTTCCCTCCTTTACCACAAGCAAACGGACCATGGATTGAACATGGCAAGGCTCTTCCCTTGCCTGGAATGTGGGAAGACGTTCAACTCCAGGTCATCTCAGCAAATTCACATCAGGATTCATACAGGAGAAAAGCCGTACGGTTGCAGGTTTTGCTGGAAAGCTTTCGGCGATGGTGGCACATTAAGAAAACACGAAAGGATACACACTGGAGAAAAACCATATGTTTGTCCTGTCTGTTCGAAAGCATTTAATCAAAGAGTATGTTTATAGTAATTATAATTAATAAAATATATTAAATGAGTAATTGTTACAATTCACTGTACAATTATTCTTTTAGAAGTTTCCATTACTTTTGTTATGTTTCAGGTGGTTCTTCGTGAACATGTTCGAGCTCATCATTCAGGAACTGAAAGTAGACTAAGTGAAAATTGTTACGAGTGTATAGTATGTGGTCAATTGTTTGTAAATTCTGGTGAACTGTGTGCCCATTTGGTACAGCACAGTGATGAAAACACGGCTAAGCATAGGCTGCCGACTACAAGAAAGAGTAGTAAAAAGCGAAAATTGAACAGTACACCCGGTTTTGAAAAACTGACCGGCATGAATTCAACAATGATGACCACCTCAACAACGACAAACTTCACCCAGTCATTGTTTTCGATGGAGCCCGATTTTGCCGAAGTCACTAATTTTTTTACACCCCCGACTCCGAAAAAGAAATTAGCTTCTCCCGTTCGCCATCCTAAACTACATGAAACTAGTTTGGACAGTGTTATGAAAGCAGGGGAATCAGCAATAGAAAGTATGAATTCCATATTGGCGAAGTCTAGTCCTAAGAGGGCAAGAATAGTTAGATCGGGAAAGAAAGGTTTCCACAAAGGCCAAAACAAGCGATTTCAAAAAGGTAAATCGAAAACGACTCGGTTATTGAGTAACTCGAGCTACGCGAGCAAATATGTTGTGAGTCAGCCGGATGAATTTTTTGTTGCTGAAGGTGAAAGTGGAAATTTGGGTTTAGATTCCAGTTCAGACCCTTTGTTGACAAACGGCAGTGATTCAATGCCCAGAAGTAGACCCAGAACAAAAAACGTTAGCTATCATAACTTAAAGACTGAGCCGAGATTTGAATTAGCAACTTTTCCAGTCGTTGAGGAGCAGGCCCCCCCTGTACCATCAAAACCAAAGAAAAAGAAGTCAAGTAAATCAAAATCAAAGAAAGAAACGTTACAAAATCACCGTCACTCTCAATTTTCAAAACATCGGCCGCAAAAACAGCAAAAAGTGCAACAAAACAAAGTGCAGCATCATCTTCATCCGATCGATACCCAGTATGTGAACGGTATCGATCCGAGTCTCTTTGAAGATCACCATTCTGGGGAACCGATCGAAACTTGCATTGTTGACGATATTGATGTCGAACTGAAGCTTGAAGATCGGACTACAGACTCAGAAATAATTATTCCAAAAATAGAAGATATGGAAATAAAAACAGAAATTGTTTCTTGTGATATGTGTAGTGAAGTATTCAACAGTCGGTCTGACCTTTTCAAACACATTCAGATACATATTTAGTACTTCAGATTTTAACTTTAATCAGATACGAGAAACAAAATTTTTCAACCGATTAAGGCTTTACTAGTAAAAGTTCTTTCGTTTTTCTTTTTCTTTTTTTTTTTTTTTTAAAGTCAAAAACTAACTAAACAAGGATGGAATTGCAAATTCACATTTTTAAGGAAGTTACCTTGTATAATCTTTGGCCTCGGTATTTTAGTTTTCTTAGAATTGTGATAGTTTGTACATTTATGTGCTGTAAATATAATTTAAATTCTTTAATTCCTCCTACAATTTCTTAGATTGTGAATGTAATTGTACACTTCTGATTTTGAAAATACATGCTTATTTTGTTTTATGATACTGTATTATTTGTGTCATTTTTCTCAAATGACAAATCATTTAATTAAATTTAAGTTAAAACTTAAGTTGGTATAAATATTTTTTTATATTGTAAATAGAGTACATTTAAGTGCCGAATAATTATTTAAAATTGATTTTAAAATGCTAGGACAAAATTAAAAAAAAATATTTTTGGAGTCATAATACTTTAATAAATTGCAGTAAAATGCCTAAGGAATTTTATTTATGCACCTTAGGAAGTTTTAATATAAATATTTATCTAGACCAAATAAAAATAACAATTTCAAAACAAATATAATAACAAAGTATTAAAATAAGTCTTTACCTTCCTAAAAAAAGTAACTATACCTTTGTTGGCATGCCTGTACAGTGGTTTTATTTATAGTTAAATTGTTCTTGCAGTTTATTATTCTACTTACTGATTGCTCAGTTTGGTGTAAGATAAATTGGCATTTTTTAAAAATCTGTTAACTTTCAGTAAGTAGCTGAAGAATTAAGGTTATTATATATATATTGTAGCTTGCACGCATGTTATGTAAATAAAGAGAAAATATATTATTTTCCTTACCTTTTGTTTTGTTATTCATCAAAATCAACAGATTTTTTCAAAATTAATTTTAAAAAGAATTTAAAAAATATACAAGGGATTTGAAAAATTCTTATTTCATAAGTTTTAACTGTTAACGTTTATTCAATACTTGGTTCAAAATTTATGTTTACATCTGTATTGTATTTTTAAAGTCAACATATGTTTTGTAATTCATCCAGGCCCTGAAGATGATGCGAATAAAGGTCAAAACGTCGGCAAAAAAATGAAAAAGGTGTTTTTCTAAAATAATTCATTCTTGACTGCTCATCACGACAAATGATTTATTTATAAAAGATTAACCATAAATCAAAGAACAGGTAAAACAACGTGATCCATGCAACTGGTGTTAAAAGAAATGAAGTTATAAAAAAATTGGTATCATGAGAAATAAAGAAGAAACATCCTAAATTAGAGTAGCTCACATTGCTAATTGCTGATGGGCCGGGCAAGCTGTAGTGAAAATTTTATGTTCTTAATGAAGTTTTATGCCATGTTTTTGGGGACCCTGATAGCCAAGTGCTTAGCGTGAGAGACGCAGAAATGGGTTCAATTACCACCTTCGCCTCTGGCCTTTTTTTCATGATTCCCTCTCCCCCCCTATACACAATAATCGTCCCCTTAACTAATATGCATAGATCATAAGGCCATTAAAAAAGTTTCATGTCCTGGTTCTATATAAAGACAATGCCATTCGGATATGAGAGACCAATAAGTTTCTGGATCCCCTGACCTTCCAGCGTATGTCTCTTGTCTCAATGCTTTTTGTTCAATCTGTTACTGATTTTTTTAAAATTATTTTTATCAACTTATTCTTAATTATATATCTACTCAATTAATTATAAAGAATTTTTTTCAAAGTGAAAAATTTGTGTCACAGGCGGGATTCGAACCATGACTGCAGGGTTTAACGAGCTGAGTCTCATACTAAGCACTATCACGGTTCCCAAAATCATAAAAAACACGGCATAAAACTTCATTAAGAACAAAACTTTTGGCTAAATACTCTGCTGCTCTACCACATGAGCTACCGTGACTTTAAACGCCCGAGCCATAAAAGTGCCCTGTCTGTGACATAAATGTTTCATTTTGAAAAAAAATTGTGTATAATTAATTGACTAAATCTCTAACGGTCATTAGTAGAATATTGAAGACTGCGAGGGCCGAGTTGTTAAGGCTTCTGACTCAGATTTCCCACAGGTTTTGGGTTCGAAACCTGGCAGAGGCCATGGCTAATTGATCAACAGTATAAAAAAATGTATTGTTAAATGTCTTCGACACCCAACGCTAGTTGGATGTTAATCCCTCCTGTATAACAGGAATTACTTTATTCTTTACGTTAGTGGAATGATTAAGTTCATATTTTGTATAAAGAATATGTATTAAGGAATATTGTTTCAATCAAATATTGTTAAATAAAAAATGCTCCCAATTTAATGGTTAAACAACGTTTATGCCTCAATGTTTTTGAGTGAGTGAATGTATTTATTAGAGTGAATGCATAAGTTATAGGGCCGTTGGCAGTAGGTTAAGTTATTATTATTAGTTAGTTTATTATTACTTTATTTATTTATTGGTTATTATTATTAGTTATTAAAACTTATATTGTATATAGGGATCACACTATAAAATATATGGACAAATTGGTTTTAAAAGATGTTTAATTATTACATCTAAATGACATGTGGTGAAATTCATAAATATTAATAACCACACGTTTTCTTTTAGAATTTTATTTTAGGCAAAGAGGATGTTATCACTGTGATTCCCGAAATTCTTCAGCACAAACCGTGTCTTGTATATGCCATTATTAATCATATTTTCTTTTTGAATTCTCAATGGCAATCATCAATCAATCAGCAATCAATAATGTCTCAAAAGGGACTCAGAACGTAAAGCCGGCTATGAAAAGGGGGAAACAGACCAAACGGGCCAAAAGAAAGCCATACGGAAAGTTCAAAAAACCCAAGAAGAAGGTATCCAAAGTTTCCGACAGCAATGTCAGTGCAGATCAATCCATTCCCGAGAAAGGCAACTTGATTTACAAACAGGGCTGTCTCCAGTCGCAAGGGAAGCAGTACATCATAAGACCTTCAAGGGATGATTCTGGAATGGCTGTTATATACGATAAAGGAACTGCCGACCTGCTGTCAGATTCAAACAAACTTCAACAGTGGTCAAGTAGACAATTGATCAAGTATGTTCTTAATTTATAAAGTAGAAAAAAAGATACATACATAATCGAAAAAATGTGACAATAGAATTTTCTTATGGCAGCTTTTGTAATTCTAACAAAAATTATGATTTTTCATTGTATAAAACTTAACATTTTTTCTTTGTCATAACAAAACAATTAGCTAACAATTATTAAAAATTACAAATCATATGAGGAAATAAAAAAAATATAAGCTTTGCATACAAATACAGTACAGCTGTGTTGGATTTTCAAAGTCTAACTTGCTAGTTACTAGAAAGTTAATTGACAAGTAACATGTGGGAGCACCACCCACAAACTTCTTTCTTTTGAAAAATAATTTTTTTTTATGTTAAGATACTGATTATAAATTACTACAACTTTTTGAATTTTTAACATATTATGTTTGCCTCATCAGTATTTATTTTTATTTTGAGACATCTCTGAGGTCTATTGAGTTCAAGGATGTCCGTAGGATGATTTAGGAATGGTGTTTGAAGATTTCTCGAATAACCACTTCTTCGATGTACAGATTCTGTTACAAACAAAGTATCACCAGTTACAGCCATAAAATGGCACCTTTTTAAATTTTGATTCAGCATATGAATTCCTTATTCCGCCAATATAAAGGTGATAGGTTGAATCACTAATAGATAAACTTTCTTTTTAAATGTACGGGACATCTGGCAATACTGGATATGAATGGCTGAAAAACTTAAAACAAAAAATAAAATAAAAATAAAAATAAATAAATAAAAATGAAATTAAAAAATACAAAACAACATACATAATATTATAGATTTTAGAAGGCATGTTTTAAATAAATATAAATATTAGACATTTTGGCATCTTGTACATTTTTTTTTCTTCTAAACTAAAAAAAATATATTTTAATTTTACATTTTTAAGGAAAAGAATAATGTAATATTTAATTTTGTAAACCACTCACTTAAAAATAACAGAGAATGCTGAAATATTCCTTAACCGCTTGCAAAATAGACCTAAAAAGAATTCATTAGAATTAAAGAAATTCATAAAATTAAAAAAAGGACAACAAAAACGAAGAAAAGAAATATAAATGGCCATTATCAAAAATATATACAATTTTTCTTTATCTGAACGTATTAGTGATAAAAATAGTTGTAAGCATGTGAGACAGAAGTACAAAACCACAAAATGACCCCAAGAAATTTTTTGTAACTGACTGAAATCTAAAAAACAAATTTACCAATCTACAAAAATTTTAAGGAGGATACTGTTAATATTTTTCAGTGTCAGCAGCAATCAACTAGATGTTGACATGTAGAAAATACAAAAAACGACATTTATTTATGCACATACATTTATATACGCACAGGATCATGGTTATGGTTTTTTCTAAACTATACTAAAAAAATATATTTTAATTTTACATTTAATTTTAATTTTTAAGGAAAAGAATAATGTAATATTTAATTTTGTAAACCATGGACTTAAAAATAACAGAGCATGCTGAAATGTCCCTTAACTGCTTTCAAAAAAGGCCTAAAAAGAAGAAAAATTAAACCATTCATAAAATTTAAAAAAAAGGACAGCAAAAACAAAGAAAAGCTTCGAGCTTAAGCTTCATCTACTTTTGAGTTTTCGTGGTCCAGGGTCAGACCAAGTTAGGCTCTAAGAGTCCACGCTAGGTCATTTCAGACCCCTCCCCCCAATATATATATATATATATATATATATATATATATATATGTGTATAATTTTTAAACCTAGACACACTTTCTCATTCATTCTTAGACACACATTCCTCTTAAAAAGTATTCACTCAAGTACTTGATATTTCTCCATCACCCTTGCACATACTATACATGGTGTTTGGCTCAAAAGTGTCTCCATGCCAACCTAGTCTGGCCTATTCTTAGTATGATCAACCTTCTTCAATTCAGAAACTCAGAGGGCCGTCTATCAACCTTGCCCTTGATGAGAGCTTCTCTGCTGATCTGGCTTAACGATGCTGCCACTTTCTTTGAATAATGTTTTTATATGTTCAGCATCAGAGGGCTGACATTTCTTTTTATTTACTATTAATAAATTGAGGAAAACATTGAAACTATGTTATTAAAACACAACACTTATAAATAATTACTCTAAAAAAAGAGTGATTCAATGATTTGAATTATTGTAAAGCAGTTTTTTTTATTGTTTTTGAAAATAAAATATTTTATTTCAGGGAACTGCCTAAGAAAAACATAGATTTGTCAAATGAAAACGTAAGATATATTATTTAACAAAAATATACATTTAAATAGCTTTTTCTGAACTGTATATTTATTGGAAATGAAGTAAAATTCCATAATAAGCATAAAAAGCCCAATAATAAACATGATTTTCAGACTAGAAGTGTACTGCCTGACGCTCGAAAGAACAGAGAATGGGATATTCCTTCAGTTGTAAACTGTATACTTATTTATTTTAAAAACAAATAAAAGCTGTAAAATTATTCATATTTTTGTTTATAGACATAACAAATGTTAGGCATAAAGAAGATTTTATCGACCCTGCTACTAGAAATCCATTTGTTGCGCCTGTCAGCGTTGAAGTAAGAGGGGTCTATTAGTTAAATAGAGGATGAAGGTTTGTAAGGATTGGTGCATTAAACCTACTAAATTTCCAGCCAACAGGAAAGCACAAATCAATGAAAAGGGGATCAAGAGCTTCAAGAGCATCGAAAGAACAGACAGCGGGTAGTATGACAAGCCTGCATAGCAAAGGTAGTGTCAGAAATCACAAGATGAAACTAAGAAGTAATGAAGTAGGTGAGTTTACTAACCCATAAATATATTATTTGAATAATTTTAAAAAATTGTTTTTTTTTTTGCACAATACAGTTTTAAACTTAACTTTTTTCAGAACAACCTATTGTACCAATATACCAGCTATCAAATTCTAAATATTTAAAAGATGGATGGACTAAAGTGAGGCAGCCAAATTTTAAAATAACTGAAAAGCTGTTTACTTTTCAAACATCCATGAGTCACCCACATATGAATGCGTACGGTTTGGTTATTATTAGCAAAGGAAAAATATCATCATTGACTTTTGACATCAGTTTTCAGAAGAGAATCGGTATATCAACTTCCTATTATGACAATGATCAGTTAGCAGCACTATTTCAAGAAGAAGGAGGATCTTTTATTTATTATCCCAATGGAGAAGTAGCCATATCCATAACAGAAGGGCGTGTAGGTACTATTGTTTATTATTCTATTGTAGATTTTATTAACTGGTACTGCTGACAACTACAGTATTTTGGTAAAATATTATATTAAAACATTTTTTTATAGGACCGAAACTTGTTGTCTATTCAATGTCAAAAGTGAACAAGTATGGCGATTTTTTGCCATCTCAGCCTATGGCAATTTTTGACAAATTGGGAAATGGTGTTGTCTATGGATACGATGGAGAAATAAGGCATTTTATTTATATATATTTTTTATATTGAGAAGTTAAAATTTTCATGTAAATTTTAGATTGAATTATGACCAAGCCGAAGGAGCTTGGTATGATGCTAATACTCCTCAACCTATACATTGGGTATGGAAAATAAATGAGTATTTAAAACAAAGAAGGGCGGATTTAGATGGCGTGGCACCAGATGCAAACGATGACATTCACATATCCGGAATTTCGGATAAAAGGAAAAGAAGCGGTCGAAGTCTCGTTCGGAGTAACAAAACGGCCAAGGGGCAAAAATCGAGAAAGAACAAAAAGGGCAAGAACAATAGAAAGTCTATTGCAAAAACAACAAGGGCAAACTCAAGGCCAAATTCTGAAGAAGATTCAAGGCAAAAGAAGAGCATACAGAAAATGGAAAAAAAGAAAAGTATTAAACAAGGGTCAATAAAAAAATCTAGAAAAAGTCTTAGGAAAACTATCTCTGCCAAAAGGCACGCCGTAAAGCATAAATCCAGCAATCCGGAATCATCTTCTTTAGAAGAAGAGTCTAAAGGCCGAGGTGTGGGTAGAAAGACTGGCCTTAACAGGAAAGGTGGAAATAAAGGATTTAAAAAAAGAGGTATATACCTTTTTTTTAAATAAATATTTATGTCAGGTGGGCAAGCAGAAAGATAATATACAATCTGCACTAATGATATTGTAAATAAAAATATATAATTATGTTGTAGTACAGTAATAAATAATAAACAGAATATTTCTAGCATATAAATGTAATGCAATTCAAAAACAAACAATATAAAAAAAAAACTCTGATTTTACAATTTTGTACTATTGAAATCATGAGTGTTTTAAAGATTTTGACTTTATGTACAGACTGTATTATTTAATTATGTAAATGCCATTTATTTCAGGAACAATTAGAGATCTTCCACCTTTGAGGGATCCCCCTTTAAAACCTGCACCAATAGTTGAGGTCAAGCCTATTGCTTTAAAAATAACAGATCATGTTAGCATGAGAATAATGGCCCAGACCCACATCCACGTGGACTTTTCCTACTTTCCAAAACACTTTAGGTAGGTTTTTAATCTGTCTTGTGGTATCTATTAAAAAAAAAAAAAAATGTTTAATGTGGGATCAATTTTTCAGGCTGCATGTTGGTATGAACATACACCCGGAAAACTTGCTTAGGATAGACAAAGTCATTGATCCACAGCCAGTCAACAATATTGTCCCCTGTTATTTCGAGTTGATGTTCAAACGGTCTAATAGTTTTTACAATTTACATACAAATTTAATTCAAATGAGAAAGGCTGCATTCAAGAAAAAGAAAATACTGCTGTTGAAAAAATGTCGTCTTATGGGTTACAAATATGATTTGATACGAAGACATCGGTATTCAAGAGGTGCTTCAATGCTGCTGCAAATCTGAATGTAGATTAAATTTTTAATTTTGATTTTTTTTATTACTGAAACTACCAGATTGAACTTACTCCTCCTTCAACTAAACAATAATTGGTTAGGGATGGATTTTTATAAACAATAATTATTAATTAAATTAATAAATAATGTTATATGCATCCTTAAAAAAAAGTACAAACAATTACCATAAAATCTTCAAATTTGGGCAAATTTTGAAAACTGCAAAATAGAGAAATAGAATACAGCCCTGAGAGATATGTATTGATTTGCTACAGGGAGCGATTTTAAGGCCTACATTACTCTCCATGTATACATCCTCTCTAGAAAAAGTAGAAAAAAAAATCAATTCACTGATGATTTGTGATATATACAGATGGAAAAACCGTAGAAGTATAGACACAAAACCTTGAGCAGCTATATAAATTTGAAAAATGTAACACAAGGAGATTCTTATAGTTTTTACATTCTTGGTGAAAATTTTCTCTAGGCCTAAAGATGTAAAAAGTGCAAGTAAAAAAAATTATATTTCTTTCAATTAATTAATCTTTATAAGTTATTGGTTGAAATTAAAAAGTCAGTGTCACGTGCGGGATTTGAACGCACGACCTTCGGCTAGCATTGGGGGTGGGTTCAAATCCTGCTCGTGACACTAACTTTTTCATTTCAACCAATACCTTACATAAAGATTAATTAATTGAAAGAAGTTATTTGGTCAATCGGACCACGAAATATAATGGATTATATTTTCTCTTGGATTGTTTATTCATGGTAAATGTTGGGTCTTGGATATAGTTTTTTCTCCAGCTAAATCCATTTCTTTGGAAAGTAAAACTACAAGTAAATAACGGAATTGAAACGTGATCAGATGAGACATTTGGATAATGTGTAATAAAAATAAGTTAAACAGAATAAAAATTCTTATTCTTCTTTTCTTTGTTATTGTTGTCCTTCATTTTCTTTTATTATACCTTTTTTGTTGAATTTGTAACTTAAATTTTATTTAAAAAACACCAACAAAAAAGGTGTAAAAAAAGAAATTTTAAGTACAAGAAAAATAATTACTATATTAGCAAGCACAGTGCAAATAAAATATGTGAAATAAATAAAAACATTATAGTTTGTCAGCAAGGATTCCATCTGGAAGTACAGAAGCTTTTACGGTTGGCAGTAGGGCTAGGTAAGGCTCCATATTGAGTCCACTCCTATTTGCTTTGTTTTTGAACAACTTTGAGAATGGGTTAAAAACAGAAGTGTCAGTGCAGGCTATATATACATTTAATCCTGTACACTGACTACATACATACATGCAGAATTACTACCCTATGGCATACAGAAGAATATTTCAAGGTTAGAGGTATATTACAAAACATGAAATCTTCATGGAAACTTGGAATTTTCCACAAAAGGATCATGGATCAAGGGAAATGCGGGGTCAAGGTATCGCGATGGTGAGTTGTTTGTATGAGACAAATTGTTCAATAAGTTTCTTTTGTTAGTAAAACAAACAGAGCGACATAAACAAATAAACATAATCGACTGTTTTGTCAAGTATGATCACTTTGTTAGGCTTGTTATGCCAGATGCAATTTGGCATTTTGCAATTTTTGGTAGTGGTTTGAAAATGTTAACTGGAAATGAGCAAACTTGGTACATCGCCTTACAGACCTTAATAAGAAATCTCTCAGTAAATAACTTCAGATTAACCAAAGTTGAATTATGAGAAGACGAGCTACTATGGGCTGAAAAACTCCAATGAAAAACTGGGATTTAAAGAAAGGACTTTTTACTTAAGTTTTTAAAATGAACGGAAAAGCTAGGGCCTGAAGGATACACACGGGAGCCCTTGAAAACCCCTTGTGGCCTGGTAAATAGCTTTAAGCTTAACGAGGAACTCTAGTTAAAAAAATGGAAATGAACAATGTACCAATACTGGTCGCTGTGCTAGGTCATAAAGAAGCTGGCTCCTGTATAGTCTAATCTAATTTACTCTTAGATCAAATTTTCTACTTTTTATTAATTCGTATAGATATAAGAATGTGATAAAAATACAGTCAATCATAAAAATAGAGTTTGTAAGTATTTTCTTTACCAATCAATTTATTTTAAATTAATTAAGTTAAAATTAGAGTTAATTGTATTATCCATGTCTGGTCTACACTTTCCAAGTTTTAGCATGCTTTATTTCAGTTTTGCTTATTAAGACAAGCTGCTTTTTTTAGCCTTTTACATAATAAATTCTGACATCTTTTAATTAATAAATGGGGTATTAATTGATATAATATTTTATATTAGTGTGTTAATTCATTAATTGTTGTTTGAGTAAAATGAGGGGGTACACTGTGCTAGTTCTACAAGCATGAACTGCAGGGCAGCACAAGTAATGTTTTGCTGTCTTTAGTTTTATGTTAGGATTATGTTTGCTACCTTCCTAGCTCTAGTTGTCACCACTTCACCAGTATCAAAAGCTAGTTTTTGATTTTTGATCAAACCGTCTTCTCTTTTGACCATTTTCATGTAGTACAATGAAAAAAGAGAGGACGGGAGATAACGTGCGTCCTTTTAAATTATAAGTATCAAATCCAATATTATTGTTTTTTTTGTTGTTGTTTGTAATTAATTTTTTTTTTAAATTGGATATTTACAGCACACCAAATAGTCAGCCTTACAGGTATCAACTTTCAAAGGAGGAGCATTATAGTAAGTAATGGGATAATTTAAGGGTTAAATTTGTACATTTTTTTTTAAGTTTGCAGAGGCTAGTAAAACTTTTAGGCACAAATAATGGCCAATCTTATTATTAATATTAAAAACGTACCTATATTCTTTTTATTTTTTTTCTGCACAATGGATTGACGACTCGTCGCACAGGTTTATTAATTCATGAATGTATGCTGGCGGTTTTTCTTTTTCCAAATACTAGAAGATCCCTTGATGAAGTAAAAACCTTTGCCAAAATTATTACACATATGTCCATAGATTCTTAAAAACAAAGTTCTAGTTCAATGTTACTAAAGTGTCTTCAGGAGTGTTTTGCCCATCTGCTTCCTGGCCACCTCCATACCGGCGGACCTTGGCCAAATTATTCGTATTTAAAATTTTGAACATGTTTAATCGTATGTAAACCACTTTTCTGGACCTTTTGAGAAGAGTTCATAAAGGAAGAATTATTTGTTATTTTATGTTAAGCTGAGGTATCTCCTTTTCCTGGTTTAATTATTTTCTGTGAAATAGGGAAACAGCCTCCTTATACCTATATGTTTCCTAAGGATCAAATGCAAGATTCCGTTATGACACTCATTTTCACTCATTTTTAGGGGACATTAATTTACTGAATATTACAGCTTGTAAAACTCTCCAACATAAACTTCTTGAAGGCTTTATAAGTGTCATTTTATTTTATTTATTTGCAGTCCAAACAGGTCAGGTACCCAAGAATAGGACAGTCAACAAATCAATCATTAAAGTATAACTTAAAAAAAAATCAACATCATAATAAATAACACAATAACAGGAATAAATAAACCCTCATTTACATTTTAAAGCCTGTTTTATATTGTTTTTAATGATCCGTAGGGACGAGGAGAAGGGGTTCGAACTGATACCGAAATTATTTATGTTATGCACGACTGGAGATTGAAAGTCCAACTCATATTTGATCCTGTGCTGTGAAGTACCCAATAATTCATGGGTCCATAGTTGACGCTGGGGAACTCTAAAGCCAATATCTCCAGGGAGTCAATGAAATTATTTAGGTTCTTCCACAGAAACATAACGGAAGTCAAAACTCTTCTATCTGCCAGAAAATCTAGGCCGACTAGAAGTCTGGCTTCATAGGGACAATGATGGTACTTCCTGGATTGCACATCTTGTGAAACAAGTGTTTTGTGGCCTTTATTTGTACCCTTTCTATCGAGTAAGACCCATCTAAAGAACCTGGTGACCAAACAACGCTGGCAACAGTGATTGATAAAGCACACAATAGGATTTTTAAAGTCTGCTTTAAAGTTTAAAGCTTAAAGTTTGCCTGAGTACGAATCCTAAATTTTTAAACGCTTTATTCCTAATGGCATGGATGTGGTCCTGAAAATCACAATTCCTGTTAAAAACAACCCCAAGATCCGAGATAGTATCTACCTCCTCAATGTGAGAACTTTCAGTACTATAGACGAATTGGTCGTAATTTTGAGTAATCTTTTACTTGGAGAACTTCAAAACCTTACATTTATTTTCATTTAGTTTGAAATTATTATGCGTACACATGACAGAAGTCTCTCAAGTCATGCAATCATTTATCGATTCGACAGGTTTTTTTTTTTCAAATTTTCAAATCGTCTGCTAACAGTGAAAATGAAGAATTAATGAGAGCAGAGGCTACGTCATTAAAAAATAAAATAAATAAAATCGGACTAGAATGAGAGCCTTGAGGAACTCCAGATTTTGTATGAGTCTGTTTAATGATGGTTCCCTTTGAAGAGGATTCTCAAATGCTCTTTTTGTTTCGTGCATCTGAACAACAGAAAGTCTGTTTGACATAACCAATATTGATTTGGCAATTACATATAGCATTTAGGGGACTGTGGTGGCTAAGTGATTAGGGTATCCGATTCATATTTTCCATGCTAGTTGTTCTGGGTTAGAATTCCAGCAGAGCCCATGGCTTTTTTTTTTTAATAGATAATGGTATTAAAAATGAATTATAAAGTGGTTTGACCCCTCATCCATGATACCCAATGGGTAGTTGGGTGTTAAGCCGACCTGATAGAATTTTTTTTAAAAACAGAATGCTGTGCTATTTTAAACCTGTGCAGATTATGGTGGAATGGATCTGTCTTTATTTGGGTCATCTAGTAATTTGGAAGGACCCAAGTTAAAGACTCTTTTTATATATGGGAGATATTTATATGTCAATCTTACTTTTAAGCTATTTTGCCATCTACCTTGCCAATTAATGTTCTTGTTTTTAAGAAGTGTTTCAGAATCGTGTTTCTCATGTGTTTCGAGATTATCTTGTCCACTGTCCAGTCCTTTTTTTTTTGTTGTGTTTTACTTTTGCTCTTAACTCTAAGTCAACTGGTGCTGCTCCTACTGCTACTTGGAGTGCTGGTGTTCATAATTTTTATCCCCTTAGCTGTTCAAAGCTATTTTAATTAATTATACTTTTTATCTAAGATCTTGGTTGAGATGAAATAGTGTCACAAGCAGGATTCAAACCCACTACCTTTGGCTTCCGAGTGAATCGAAGTCACGATATCTCAAGTGGTTGGAGGTTAGAGCAGCAGTGTATCTAGCCAAAGGTCGTGGGTTTGAATCCTGCTTGTGACACTAACTTTTTCAACTTAACTTCTCAACCATGACCTTAGAAAAAAAGTATGATAATTAAAATAGCTAATTCAGTCAATTGTCCACCAAATACATATATGGATTAATGTAATGCCATTCTTTGGATTTCGATGTTTTTGACTTACTATTTAGAGTAGGAAATCAAGCTGCCTCACATGAGGCTATAAGAAAATAAACTTTCTTTATGTATGCTAAAATTTATATTACAAACTCGTAATTTTCTTAAAATTTGATAAGATCAATTTTTTTTTATAGGGTGTGGTTGAATTGACTATAGTCCCTTTGAAAGAAAACCTCCGGATCTTAAAACTAAATGCAAAACAGTGTAGGATTTATAGGGTGTGCATTAATGATACGATTGAAGCTCCATTTCAGTACTTCGATCCATTTTTAGACATTACACATGGCGATGATAAAGAGTGAGTACATTTAATTTAGTTAAATGTTAATTGTTAACTGCTTATATTATAAACTTTTTTAAAGGAGGAGTTTGGAATTTTTTTCTAAATCCCATTTGAATGCTGCACTTCAAATCGATCCTGACAATAATGGAGGGGAACTTGTTATTACTATTCCACCAGAGGCGGCCAATTTGGTTGTCGAAGGTAAAAACTTTAGGCTCGGCGTTGAATTCAGCTTGGAACAACCCCAAGGCGGAGTTCATTTCGTCATACCCGAAGGGGAAGGAACACTAGCAGAAGTAATGCAATATTATTTAATCATTAATTATTCAGAAATCGTGAGATGCAGTCTGGTGTGATGTAGGTTTCAGAAAAACATTTTCTTTATCGTGCCAATGTTTCGATCTTTATTGATTTCTGAAACCTACATCACACCAGACTGCATCTTACAATTTCTGAATAATTATCGATCGATTTAATCATTTGACTCTTCTTAAAATTCATAAATTTCACAGAGAGGTGCTCACATGTTCACCTACTGTTATGAAAATTCGTCGAGGCTTTGGTTCCCATGCGTAGACAGCTTTGCAGAACCTTGCACATGGAGGCTGGAATTCACAGTGGACGAAAACATGACGGCTGTGTCCTGTGGCGATTTGATTGAAGTTGTTTATACACCAGACATGAGAAGGAAGACTTTCTACTACAGCCTCAACGTTCCCGCAGCCGCTCCAAACATCGCTCTCGCCGTTGGGTAAATTGCTAAATGTTTTCTACAATACACGTACATACAATTTTTCTTTTTCTTTACAGACCTTTTGAAATATTCGTTGATCCTTATATGCATGAAGTGACCCACTTTTGTTTGCCCGGATTGATGGAAAATCTGAAAGTTTCCGCACGTTACATGCACGAGGCTTTTGAGTTCTATGAAGAGACTCTTGCCAATCGTTATCCTTATCCTTGCTATAAACAAGTTTTTGTTGATGAAACTGATGTGCCCATTTCTGCTTATACAACTATAAGCATTCTAAGGTATTTCATATTTTCTCATATATAATTAGCGATCAGCTTCACACCATAATTTTATATTAAAAGATGATCAGGAAATAATTAACTTTATCTCTAGCATTAGATTGGGACTCTTATAATTAAAACAATAAGTCATCAATATATTTTTTAAAACTTTAACCTTTCAAACTAATGTCAGTAAAATAAGTTTTAATTACTGACAATTAAAAATGGTTTGTAAATAATAAGACTACTGCCATTGTAATTAATTGTATTTTAAAGTTTTACAAAATCGTATTGCCATTTTTCACTTTAATTTCAGTACAAATCTTCTTCACTCTGCGTCAATTATTGACCAGGCTTATATTACAAGAACGGCAATGGCACAAGCGGTGGCCGAGCAGTTTTTTGGCTGTTTTATCTCAATGCAAAACTGGTCAGATGCTTGGCTCCCAAAGGGAATCTCGACCTACCTTTGCGGTCTTTATTCAAAAAAGTGTTTCGGAAATAACGCATACAGAGAATGGATTCAGAAGGTAATAAATCAATCGTATAATTTTGGCCTGCCTATCTTCTAAGAGTTGGTCTGTCAGACAATTTTCAACATTTTGCCACCTTCAGTGTGCAGTTTTCCATCCCAGTGAGGATGGGCAAACCAAAATAATAGGCTATTAACCAAATTATGTAAATTATTGTTACTTTTCTTTTATATTTATGCTTTGTATATTTGTTTTTAGGATTTACAAGATGTTGTTAAATATGAAGAGGAATTTGGTGGAATAATAATGGATCCTAGTCAACCACCGGCATCATTACCAGTCCCTTCTCCAGCGCCTAGTGTCGCGCCAAAACCAGTCGATCCAGGTTTTCACTTTCCATTCAAAAATCTTTACACGGTTTCACCCTTGTATATGGATGTCATGAGAAAAAAGGCTCAATTGGTTATTAGGATGCTTGAACACAGAATTGGCTATGAGCTTCTTCTTCAGGTAAAATTAAGTCTTTATTATTATTATTATTTTTTTTTTTTAGATAGATATATATTTAAATGTTAATGGCTATATGCTTTTAGGTATTAAATAAACATTTGTCACTGGCATGTAATGCATCAACACAAAAACTATCATCAGGTCAATGGTCGCATATGCTGATCAGCACAAATACATTTGCTAAAGCGATTTTCACAGTTACTGGTAAAGACATGGCTGTTTTTATAGACCAGTGGGTGAGAACAGGCGGCCATGCAAAATTTCATCTACAATTTGTTTTTAATAGAAAAAGGTAATATTGTAAAATTATTTTATTAGCATTTATAATAATTTTATTTCTGTAGAAATACCGTTGAGTTGGAGATCAGGCAAGATGCAATAACGCAAAAAGGAATAAGGAAATATTTAGGCCCTTTACTCGTCACGATCCAAGAGCTTGATGGAACTTTTAGGCACACGCTTCAGATCGAAGGGACTATAGCAAAAGCCGACATCACCTGCCATTCTAAGAGCAGGAGAAACAAAAAGAAAAAAATACCCCTTTGCACTGGGGAAGAGGTCGATATGGATCTATCTGCTATGGAGTGAGATTTTGTTTATTACAATAACTTTACACAAATTTCATTCAATTAAATTAATTACAAATTTTATTTTATTTTTTTTAGCTCAGACTCTCCAGTTTTATGGATTCGACTTGATCCAGACATGACTCTGGTTCGATCGTGCAATATAGATCAACCAGACTATCAATGGCAGTATCAGCTGCGCCATGAGAGAGATGTGACTGCTCAGTTTGAAGCGATAGCAGCTTTGGAAAGGTTTCCAACACCGTCTTCTCGAGTCGCTCTCACAGATACTATAGAAAATGAACAAACTTATGTCAAAGTTAGATGTGCAGCATCACACTGTTTGACTAAAGTAAGCAGATTGCTTTTAACCGAAATAATTTAACAAATACATTAATTTAATTTGAATTAGGATTAAAATTTAATTTTGAATATTTTCCTTCAGGTTGCAAATTCAATGGTAGCAAATTGGGCAGGACCTCCAGCGATGTTGGCCATATTTAGAAAACTTTTTGGCTCATTTTCCTGTCCCCATATTATAAAACAAAACAACTTTCAAAATCTCCAGCATTACTTTTTACAGAAGGTATTATCTATTTTGTGTATTTTTTCTTTATTTTAATAGCTTTTGAGTTTTTTAGACGATACCTATGGCAATGGCAGGATTAAGAAATACGCATGGCATTTGTCCTCCTGAAGTTATTAAGTTTCTTTTAGACCTTTTCAAATACAATGATAACAGTAAAAACAAATTTTCTGACAATTATTACCGAGCAGCTTTAATAACTGCACTCGGTGAGACAGTGACACCAGTGATATCGGTTGTTCAACAAGGGTAAATTAAATTTTTTTAAATTGAATTAACTCCATGTAACTTTTTTTGAAATTTTGCAGTACAGAAATAACTGCAGAATCCTTGTCGCCGGATACCAAACTTGTGCTGGAAGAAATAACAAGGAATTTGAATCTTGAGAAACTTTTACCTTGTTACAAATTGACCGTTACGGTTGCCTGCCTCAAAGCGATCAGGAAACTGCAAAGATTTGGCCATCTTCCAAGCAACCCCAACCTTTTCAGAACTTATGCAGCTTATGGACAATTTGTTGGTAAGTTAACAATTATGAGCTGTTCTATAAAAATAAAAGAGGAAAATTAAACCACCTTTAATTACTTCTAATAATCTCTGTTATTATTTTAAATCAATTAATTCTATAACTTATACAGTGCAGTGTCGAGTTTGATTGATCAATAATATTTTAAATCATTGTTAGGAATTTTTCTCCAAACAGTTTCAATTATTTAATAAAACCAAATTTTGTTTATTATCTGTACCTCATCGATATGTATGTTTTGATTGACACTCGCTTCTTTTACAGAAGTAAGATTGTGTGCATTGGACGCATTGGTCGATTACACAGTTGTCGACGGAAAATGGAACGATCTGGAATTTTTGTTGGAGACGGCCGAAGAGGATCCTGATCCTGGTGTACGGTTTGCCTTGGTGAGAATGCTCTGTGAAAAGCCACCTTTTCGTAAACAACTTTCGAAGCCTCACCTCGACAGGCCTGAGCTTGTACATAGGATTTGGAAACTTTTCAAGTTAGTCTTGTTATTTACGAGAAAGAAGTATGGAATATAAGTTTTTTTTTTCTAGTTGTATGCTGTCTCATGACACAAGAATGCGATGCAGTTTTGTTGATCTGTATTACACTTTATATGGTGTGAAAAAGCCAATATGCCTCCCAGTGTGTGATATACCAGGACTTTCAAAAATCAAAAGTCCCCCTCATGAGGTAGAGAGTTTTATTTTTCTTAATTTTTTCTTCTAAAGTGAATTTATAAATGTAAACTTGTTAAGGAGGCGTCAACATCAATTGCGCCTGGAATAAAACGGAAGGCAGCGTCACCTATGCAAAAAGAGGAACCTGCTGTTGATGATTTGGGAATTGTTACACCACAAGTTCCTGTTAAGGACGATAACAAAAAAATAAAGGTAAAAATTAAACTTTTTAATTACTTTATTAATTTATTTTATACACCATTTTAAATTTACAGACTGAAAAAGGAGCAGGAGGAAAATCTGATTACTTTTCAGACAATTCGGCATCCTTACCTGGCCTGACTGGCGTTAGAGGGCCTACTGGATTTGAACCTGGAATGTTCAAAAAAGAAGATCTAGACAAATCTGAAAATCCATCTAAGGTTTGTCTAAATTCTTGTTAATTAATTGATTGAATGTCAAATAACAGAACATGGATTTTCAGGGCAAGAAGAAGAAAAAAGACAAAAAGAAGCATAAACACAAGCATAAGCATAAACACGAACATAAGCACAAAGAGAAAAAGGACAAAGACAAAGAGAAGGATAAGGACAAGGAAAAAGAAAAGGACAAAGATAAAGAGAAGGATGCTGACAAGAATGTAAAAATAAAAAAAGAAGAAACGTTAAGTTCTGACAGTTCTACAGCTAGTCCAACGCCAACAAACTTCGTCAATGTTGAATTTCCATTTTAAAATAATTAGTTTATTTTCCCCCAATTTTAAATATTATATGTATAGAACTTTTTTTTTTGTAAAATTTATTTTATGCTAAATAAGAAGACGTTTACTATAAGTTGTTTCATTTTTAAAACTTTTTCAACAGATTGACAAAATTAATTTTTTTTAAAAACAAGTATATTCTACGTAAAACAATTTTGTCATACCATTTTATTAATCTCGCAAAAAACTAGGCCTGTAATTGAACAAACGTGCACATCCGACAGCTCCAAAACCTGAAAAAATTATGTATTATAAATAAGTATATTTTCATGACAATGACGAACAGTAAAGCATTGAAGTTATGAAAGTATTTTAATAACTTGATCGTTTACGATCAAACTTGTCTAACTCTTATCCCTGGTTTTATTGGTCAGAGGCTGAACACCATCTTCAGTGGTTTACCTATGGATTATGGAATGTGTCCTTTTTTACAAATTTACAGAAGGGACAAATGGAAAGAAAGAAAGTGGAAAAAAAAGTGGAATCATAACACAATGAAAGCAACAGCAGATTTAGAAACATTTTTATGCCCTGACATCCTTTTGAGAAGTATATGAAACATTGAATAAAACTGTTACAAGTTTTAATAAGTTTGATAAAAAACGGATCGAAACAAGATGAATAAAATGGTATATCGAAGAAACTGGTATCAAATGTTTGATTACTGGCAAGCACATGATTAAAAATGAATAGGAATAAGCTTTAAGTAATCTATTTACGTTTTAGTGGACAATTGAATAATTACTTCTTTCAATTAATTATTATTTTCATGTAATTTTTGGTTGAGATAAAAAAGAAAGTGTTACGAGTGGAATGACAAAAAGAGGGAAAATTCGAACGGTTGTTGGTTGAGATGGAGAGTTGGTATCCGAGAGGATCGAAGTCACAATAACTCAAACGGTATTTAGCCAAAGGTCATGGGTTCGTATCCCGCTCGTGACACTGACTTTTTTTTCTCAACCACAAGATCCTAGATAGAGAGAATAACTTTTAAGTAATGTTTTATTTCTTAAGTTTTTTTATTAAATGAAAGAAATTTGGAGCCGGAATACAATGACATCAATATTAATGTCAAAAATGCTAACTGATGGACCAAAAAACCAACAGAATTGCCACTGTTTCATACATCTAAAGTCTAAACTCAACAGAGCAAACAGTGGAGTACTTAATGGAAGCCGTCTTTGCATTAATTGAACAAAAGCTCATTAGATAGAACGGACAATATTGTCATGAATTGTAATTAGTTCTGAGAAATCATTAACATGATATACAGCAAGTGAAACAATTTTAAAGAAAAGATCAGTAGTTTAGGGAAGTTGGTCATGTGGTTAGGGCGTCCCGACTCATAATTGCTGCGCTACTGGATCTTGGTTTGAATCATGGCAGAGCCCCATAGCTTTTAAACAGATCATAATGTGAAAAATGTATTGTGAAGTGGTTTGACCCCTCTTCCGAAACTCTTATTGGGTAGTTGGACATTAAGAAGTACTTTGATTTTTTTATGGCATTACATCATGCCAATTCTGTAACACAGGTGAACCCACACTTTCTTTGACTGTTTTTTTTCTTCTCTTCTTGCAGAAGAGCAAGCACAAGAAATATTACTGCTTTCTCAACTTCTAACATTGCCCATTGGAAGAGAAGTTGATTCTACACGTTGCCTGGTATGAAACAAGCTAAAAAAAGCCTTCACACAGCAGTCAATTGATTTATGAATCAACCAGACTACTTAGATGACTCAACCAAACCGCCTTGTCTGAAAGAAGCCTTATGTTACTTAAGAAGAAGAAGAAGAATAAAAAAAAAAAAAAAAAAATGCCAGCCTGTCCCCTACTCAATTAGTTTTCTGTACTGTAAAAGACTGTAGAATGATTCAGTGTAAGGCCGGGTTCACACCTGAGCATTAAAATATTTATCGTAGAAACATTAGATACACGTTTTTCATCCTACGATAAATAAGGTTCATACAGAAGCAATAAGACATGAGCCAATGCCCTAACAGTTTGAATTTGCCTTCTTCGCAATACTATATGACACTGACAGAAGAGACAAGCAGGCTGTGTTTCTTAATACACGTATCTTACGATACAAGTCACAATCTTACAGGTGTGAACCAAATTTGTCATGCCTTTATATTTTTTATAGGCCTCAGCATTGCGTATCTTACAAGGCAATTATCATATATTGCTTACAATCTAAAGATGTGTATCTTATCGCTCTGGTGTAAACCCTACCTAAGATGACACGACAATGTCCTCGTCCTTTATTCAGTGTCCCATGAGTACAGATAATGGGTCTTTCATGCCAAATATTTACGAATTCTCGAGATGCTCGTCTTGGCATTTGCCAAATAGTGTGCCTATGTATGTGGGGTTTGTACAACCACCCGGTTTATGTGGAAACAGCGAATGCATATTTGCCAAGTGCCATGTAAGTCTTTAACTTATAATCATGATGGATTACAGTGAAACTGTCATGGTTGAACTGTGGTTAGTGTTTTGTGTAGTGGCTACAAACTGATTCACAAGTCAGTCTCAAAGTACTGTTACCCTACCTTACTTTCGATACGTTTCCATGCAACAAAAACCTCATTTCAAGTTTTTTTTTATTCGGAAGAGATGCGTTCCAAATTATAGGTTCAGCTTGGTACAGATCGAGGAACCCAAGACTGTTATGTTGGACCGTTCTTAACACTATGATGTTCTTTCATTAATACACCTATACTATTTAGGAATCGTTTATTATTGAAAAACAAATAGCAGTGTTGATTGATGATAACAGTTGATCCTGAATGTGTGGATGCTTAAGTTCGGCTACTTCGCGAAATTTGTGCGCTTTGGAGCGGACAAGAGAACCGACAATTAGCGGAGTATGGCGACCACTGAATATTGTTGCTCAGCGAATAACCGAACACCTGTCCCCACTGTCGGCATTTGGTGAATCCCACATGTCTGGAGCCACCTTAAAGCCTAGTATGCGCTGGAATTCTTTGTTCTGACTCTTTGTCGCAGACTCTGGGATACATGGTGCAGACACTTTGCCCCACAACATTGTCGCTCCAGAAATCATGTCAGCATCTAGTTTGAGTCTGAGCCATGTCGAACGAGGTCGCGCTCTCAGGGATTGCAGTAGCACTTTACGTAGATCTACGGAGTAAAAAAAAAGAGCTAACAAAAAGCCACGATCTTCTTGTCACACTGAGATTGGAAGATGGAATGGGATTCCAAAATTTTGTTCAGATGAATCTAGTTGACCATGAATGTCTTTCAGAAACGGTTGGATCACACAAAAAAAGGAGACAAATTTTAGGGTGCCAGTTTCTGCTACCGACAGGCTAACAATCATTCCGTTTCCTCGCACATGGAGAATCTTACGCAAACTTCATGTGCAAGCCTAACTTCATATTTTTGGGCTAACTTAGTCACAGTGTGCTTTCTTTTCCCTGTCTTTATATTCCTCTCAGGAAACGTCCTACAAACATCGCCGTATTTGTAAATCTTCAGTCAAAGTTGCGCGACATTCAGTAAAGAATCCAAAAAATACTAAAACGTAATACACCAGATTCAAGGTTCATTGTCGCGGAGCGTCCGGTATGCAAGAAAATGAATCCCAGACGCAACTCCACAGCAGAGTCCGAACAAAGAATCCCAGGGTATACTAGGCTTAAGACTGATATTTGCCATGCAGTTCGAGATTCAAAACCAAGCACAGTCCATGGTTTTTTAACTGATTGGAATATGAAAAACGCATTGTAATGGTTCGACCTCTCATCCATGATACTCAACGGTAGTTGGATTTATGCCATCTTCTACGACAGGAATTACTTTACATTGATAAGTAGCTAAACTAGTTGTTTTATATAACTTTTAAGCTCAATAGAGCTGGTGGAAAGAAACAACCTATGCCTCTGCACTAATCAAAAGAAATTTAGTGTATGTAAATCAGCAATGTGCAACAATCCAATAATTGAGTATAAATTTCAAGCTCAATGCAAGCAGTAAGTTGAAGGTAACTAGCTATGCTTTTGCACTGATCAAAAGAAATTTGTTGCCAATACATTGATCAGGATTATTGGACGATGAAACTCCAATCCAACAGGCGACACTGGGTCACTATGTCAGTCGGTTTTATGTCCTCTCAGAGATCCGTGCAAAACTCAAAATGTACAAAACGTCCATCAAATCTCTCACCTACTCCCATTATCGTGTAAACCCCTTTACCCCATCCGGGTGTTCTGCGCCCTTCGAAAAGGAAATAACTTCCTATTCCTAGGCCGGCAGCCGAGGAAATTAGCCGGCAGGCGATGCAGTCCTGGGTCGATTCGCTGCCTCCCATCCTACGAGAAACGATCCATAAATTTTGAAAAATTCATCGGCCTGAAGTCAGATGAAGACGGGGATTAATACAATTAATCCGTGTTAAACTATCGATAAACTTATCGATTTGATTTTTTTTTACAAAAAAAAAATTAATGACAAAAGACATAAGATAAACATAAATATCCAACGTTCAACTTAAATATTTAATATAAAATTGAATCAATGAACAATTCATATTAGCCTAGGAATGTTTTTTTTTTGTGTGTAAACCCTAACATAGTCCAAATTAAATAATAAAAAACCATTTATAGAGGAAAAACTTGTGAAAATTAATCAATTATGAACATTATTGTTAACCATTACTTTCGTTAACTGTCAAAAATATTTGAGCAATTTTATAACGTCTAATTATAAGATAATATTTAAAGACTTTAAAGGATTAAATATAAGATAGAGAAGTTCTTTTGATCAGGTCCTTGATCATGGACCAACCATAATTCAAAAGTTTTTCTGCAATGGTACTTTTACATTGACAGCACGTGCGTCCGTAAAGGAAAGTTAAAAAGTGAAAGAAAAAATCGATAATAATAAATTAAATTAGAAAAAAACCAAGGATGAATGAAAAATAAACAAAGTAGTACGATTTATTCGAAATAATTTCGATACAGAAACGAATCATTGACTTAACAAATCAAGCAATCCAGGTTATAACATTGTTATATCATCCGGACAGGTACTCTAGGTGCTGATAGGGAAATTTAAATGTAACTGAATCTCCAGGTACTGCGAGATGGTCCTCACCAAGGAGTACAGGATCTGCATGCCACTTAGCGTGGAGGAGGTAACGCCTTGAATTTTAACCCGTTTTGGGTACATGGCTTATGAAATTCTTTTGAACTGGACTGTTATTTATTCTAGCTTTAGGGCCTTTGTTTTAAAAAGGTCTACCAAGAAGAAGCCATAGGGCCAACTAAGTCTTATTGTAGATAAAATCTTTTCTTATTTTTATAGTTTATGAAATCAATTTTTATCTTTACTAATATTGAACAAATTGTAACTTTTTATACTTAACTCGTACACTGATACCATATCCTACATATGACAGCGGAGTCTTGAGTGTTAAGTTAAACACACATTAATTTTTATTTTCTGCCTTTTGCTTTAATGAAGCCATTTTTGTCATATTATCTTCATTTGGTCGTTAGTATGTTTTATGCTCAAGAAAAGGTTCATTTTTTGTTGAAAGAATATAGATAACGGTGAATATATGTATTGTGTTTGGTATTTAGTTGGAAATGATCTGGCAAGAAATTTATGTTGTGTTTGTGCATTTACTTTTATATTTTATTTTTACTGTTTTCTCCTTTAGCGATGTCTTTTTAAAAAAAACATAATTCGTTATCATTTAGCAGTAGTAGGTATTTCATCAAAGAAAAATTTATTTTATCTCAATGAATATCAAGAAAGCATGAGACCGAGAATGTACCCTTGAAGGAAACCAGCGTTTGTGATAAAGCAGCTGCGAAAAAGGGATTGTGCATGGTATTTAGTCATAAATGAGTCGGCAAGAAATTTATGTTTAGGGATGGTTAGGGATGGATTAGCTTTTTAAAGCATGATTTGTTACCATTTAGCCAGTAATAGGTAATTCATAAAAAAATATATATATATTTTATGTGTAGAGATTAGTGACTGTTAATCGATAGTTATTCAGATATCGTGAGATGCGCTCGGGTGTGATGTAGGTTTCAGAAAAACATTTTCTTTATCGTGCCAACGTTTCGATCTTTTATTGAGATCATCTTCAGGGCTCAAAGTGTTTGTCTTCTGTGTAATTGTGCCATCCATGCGTGTCGTGGCACTCTCAACACGACACGCAAGGATGGCACAATTACACAGAAGACAAACACTTTGAGCCCTGAAGATGATCTCAATAAAAGATCGAAACGTTGGCACGATAAAGAAAATGTTTTTCTGAAACCTACGTCACACCCGACCTCATCTCACGATATCTGAATAACTATATATTTTATGCTCAATAAATTTCTAGAAAGCATAAGACTGAGAATGTACCCTCGAGGGAAACCAGCGTTTATGATAGGGCACACATATAAAGTGATTGCGTTTGATATTTAGGCTGAAATGAATGGTAAGAAATTTATGTTTCATAAAAATAATAGAGGTGGGGTGAGTATGTCGATTCACTTTTTTGCGAAAATCTGTGAGTAGAACTGTCTTCTGCAAAAAGTGATTTTATGTTTCATTATGTGGTACAATGATGTTATTATTATTATTTTTTTGTTTTAATATTAAGAAACAAGTATTTTCTGTCATTTATCGATGTCTTTTTTTGACATGATTTGTTACCATTTAGCGAGTAGTAAGTAAAATTTAGTTTTTGCTCAACTAATATGTTGAAAGCTCATGCTTCTTCATGACCAAGGATGTACCCTTGAGGGAAACCAGCGTATGTGATAAAGCAGACTGTGATAAAGGGATTATGTTTGTTATGTAGGCAGAAATGAGTCAGTGATAAATTTATATTAATTTATTTAATACAATTAATCTATGGTTTTGCTATTAAAACTAATAAATTGGTATTTTTGATAGTATCCTTGATCTGTTTAAAAGCCATCTAGAACAGACCTCATCACACATTAATTTCATAGGGCAAGAATTTAACTTTTTAATTTTATTGAATGATAATAAATTCACTTTTATATTTTATTTTTACTGTCTTCTCCTTTAATTGTACTTGGTATGATTTGCCTCCATTTGGTCAGTAGTATGTATTTCGAGGCAGGATGGAGATTAAAAACTTGAGTGGTTCAAAGCGAGATTCTTGGGGGGTTGCAGTCTTGCACTTTATGACCATTACTTTAACATTTTATAAAAGGGATGGTTTAACATTTTATAAAAGAATAATTCCATATGACTAGATAGGATCAATGTAATTTACCTTGGCTGAAAATAAGCAATTGCTAAGATTTGTATTTTGTATTACCAGGCTGATACTGCTTGTTGATATGCAGGCGCTTTTCATTCATGAAAGCTGACATAAAAAAATCATCAAAATGAGTGTTTCATTAATGCTTGATTCGTTTTTATTGTTTGCAGTATAAAATAGGCCAACTTTATATGATAGCAAGACACAGTTTGGAACAAACTGAGGCAGGGAATGGCGTAGAGATAATAGAAAACAGAGAACATGTCGACCCTGTTCATGGAACAGGCCGTTACACAGAGAAAAGGATCCATTTGAATGGGTTAGTTTTAATTTTTGATTTTTAATCTTTGAAAGTTTGAAGTTTTTGTTTTAAAATTTAGTAGCCTGCCATACTGGCTTCAGGCGATATTGCCAAGAGTGTTCTACATTACTGAAAAAGGTTGGAATTATTATCCATACACTGTAACTGGTAAGGTTTTAGTGAAAGTATTAGCTTATGATGTATGTAGAATTTAAATTAATTATTTAATTTTTCCAAAAAAAAAACAACAAAAAATAAAAAAACTCCAAACTCCAAAAAACGGCAGAATATACAGTAAGTAAAATATGTTTGATATTCACACTAGCAATTAAACTTACTTATATGTTTTTTAAAATATTTTCAGTGTTCATTTGTACCAAAGTTTAATATGACTATTAAAACATCATTTGAAAACAACAACGGTTGCACCGAAAATGTAATAAAAATGGGTTTGTTTTAAATGTTTGATTTTAACGATTTGGCTATTGCAGTGTTTAAACTTGAGCGAAGAGGTTCTCCAAGAAAGAACAGTTGAACATATCGATATTGCGTATGATGAAATAAATCCAAAACATTACAAAGAAGAAGAGGTAAACTTTAAAGCGCAACAGAGTTGAAATTTTTAATGCTAAGTATTATGAAATTTTAGGACTTGAAATTCTTTAAATCCAAAAAGACTGGGCGGGGTCCATTAGCTGAAAACTGGAAGGAATCAACTCATCCGATAATGTGCTCTTATAAAGTCGTTCAGACCTCTTTTGAAGTCTGGGGACTTCAGACTAAATCAGAAGAGTTAATTCAGAAGGTGTGTTAAAATTACAGTGTAAATATAAATAAAGTGTGTCCTTCTCGATATAATATTTTTTTTTTTGTTTGGTTAGATCATGAGGGAAATTTTAGCATTGGGCCATAGGCAGGCATTCGCTTGGATAGATGAATGGTACGACATGACTCTCGAAGATGTCAGGGAGTTTGAAAAGAAGATTCACTCTCAGACAAACGAGAAGATAGTTCAATCCGATCCACCTGCATCACCAGTTTCTCCCCATACACCTACGTCAAAACCATCTACACCACCAATTGCAAAATCCTGGTTTGATTGGGGTTGAGCATTTTCTGTAACAATGAAGTGTTTATTCTAGAAACTTTAATTGTTCAACCATTGAATGTTATTATCCAATTTCTTTTAATTGGAGTGTGTGATTGTCAGTGGTGTGTTGCCGAATTTTTGCAGTATATTATACCAACTTGTTACAATTCTTCTTTTTTTTCCACCACCCTTATTGATTTGAAGGCTTATTTTATTTTGTATAATTTTTATAAGTAAAAGTCATATTTGATACATTCCCATAGTATTAACGTTACACATGTCATACATGTATCTTTGATCTTAAAATATAAAATATATATGATGTATATTTTATTTTTTAATACCTTTCTTCTGTTTGCTTTATTTTGCTTAAAAAAATTCTCCATTACACTTGAACTTTTACCCATACTTCCTGTGGAGTATCGTGATATCAGGCTGGACTACTTTGCCTTGGCAATCATAATAAATAATACTAATTAGGATATTGCATTATGGAACATTACCATTCAAAGTAAAGGACTTAATAATGTAAAACTTCGACAGGTAATGTGGTAATGGTAAGTTGCTGGGACGAAATATATTAGAAATGTGATATTTCAAATGATATTTAAAATATATCGTAGACTTTTATACTTAAAAAAAAAAAAAAAAATAGTTTTTCTCTATAATCTTTATTTTTCAAAAATTGAGTAATTAACTACTGGTTAAAAGTAGCTTCAACATTTGATAGACTTGATCGAGATTTTTTCCTTTGAAAAACTGGTTTAACACTCCAGCCCAATCCATATGATGAACTTCACTTTCAACATATTGAACAAATTTGTTGGTTGCTTTTTGAACAGCTTCTTCCAATTCTTGCTCTGTAACTCCTTCTACATCGAGTCCTGTAAGTTTTACTTGGTTGACTTTGAAATCGTTGTCAAATTTCATATCGGTCACAGTCACAGATTTTGAATCGTAAACTGCTTTGAAGAAGACATCCTGATCAACATCTTCCCAAGACATGCTGAATTGACAAGAAAAGAATCAACTGATGTTTGTTTTTCACATTATTCCTAATTTTTTTATATGTACTTACACAACATCTCCTTTTTGCAAGAAAGGCTTTCCTTTAACACTCCCGGTTAGACTAAGTTGGCCTTTGGTATTGAAATTCTTGAATGAACCCTTTAGAGAAAGATCAAGTTCTGTGTCTGTTAAAGTACTAGATTCCTCATAAGTTGGTAATTCTGAGACATGTCCTTCAAGATCCAACAGCTGAAGGTAAAGTCTGCACATATGTTGTAATTAAACTATAATAAAATCACTGTTTATAATTATAAGAAGTGAACCAAAACTTACTTGGCATCTTTAAGTTCCAGTGGCAGGAGAGGAGATCGACCAAAATGAACACCGTCCTTTTGTAGTTTTTTCAAGTAATTATCAAGTGCTTCCTTTACTAGTTCATCGATCTCATCCTTGGTCACACCTATAAAAAAAAAAATCAAACTAATTGTCAGTTATTAATTAACTAATGAAAAATATATATATAAGAATTCTGCACATGTAGGTGACATCTATGCAGAACTGAGCTTATGGCTAATTGCGACTAGCTGAAAGAATCATCCACCTTGTGTTTTGGCGGACCGGGTCCAACCTTTATCTATTATGTTCAAGGCTAGGTCATTTTAGCCCCCGATGCATAAAGTTTTTAAACCTAGATACACTCTCACTCATTCTTAAATTAATTTTTCTTATTTTACATACTATCCACTGAAGCAGTTTGGTCAGGTATTTGATATGGGTCCATCACAATTTAGACATTTACACATACACCCTGGAAGTCCTTCTGAACCTACCACCGCTACATATCTGTATCGCTAAGGGGAAGCTTAAGGCAAACAGGGTTTTGGGATTGTCTGTTGAGCAAAGTCCCCTAAATTCAGATTTGATAAAAAGTTTCAAATTAAAATACCTGATAGAGCAGACTGGAAATAAACCAAGGGCTATACTTGAGCAATATGCCACTGTCTTCCAAGAGGATTCTGCGGTTATTGAATACTGTGACAAGGAGATTTAAAGGTTAGGTATTGTTAACAGAAGATAAGCCATCTACTCGGACAGCGAGGTGACACTGAAGCTGAAAGGTTGATCAAGGAAAGGGTGATGAAGGCAATAAAACTGCCAAAAACGTGGATCCATTAGAAATGGAATAAAAATAAGTCTTCCATTCAATGGGAATGTAGCCTGTATGCTAACTGGACACTGCAGGCTCTGAAGGCATATGTATAGACACACTTTTATAATGCTAGGAAGAAGAAGAGGTGGTGGAAATGTCCTCTGTTGGTGCAAAAGCTTATGTTGGCTGAGATTCGTACTCCTAGGAGAGGAAAAGCCTAGGCTTGAAGGACACTTGCAAAAGCTTTGGGATCTGGTAAAAGACATAAAAGAGATGCACAACAGATTATTTCCAGTGCACAGGTCTTAAAGATGCCAGTTCTTTTTTAATGTAACCTAATCTACACATACACAACTAAACTGAATGAGAGCTGATGGGGTGTATGATATTCTACCATCAGCCCTCTCACATTAATCTCACACAAATAAATACATTCATCTCTACATACAAAAAAGGAAACACAAAATGAGGTATATATATCAAGAACTATATACAATAAAACAGTCCTGTTGCCTACAATAATTGGAACAGGAGGGTAGCATTCCTTGCTTTCGGTATGGAGCCAAGGAATTAATTTTATAATTAATTATCTTTGATTAAGGGCACACTAAGCAACCTTTCTCTACATGCTGGAAATACACAATGTATTTCTTCTTAACTAATTACAGTCTAAATTAGTTAAACAATACAATCTTGGCATATATTGCTTACCCAATGTTTGTGATGGCAGAACAGCTGCGTTAACAGCTGCTATGACCGCTAAAGTGAAAATTGCCACTTTCATGTTGAATAGTTTGGATCTCAAGGAAATACTAATTTGTTTCTTGCCAAACACAGTATATATATACCAACAGTATCCCACTTGTTATTTATTTTTTGATAACTCTATGAGTGTTTAAAGTATTTGCATTGATTAAAATATGTCAAAGAAGAAAAAAAAACTTCAAGTGTGATGTCATTAATATTGATAGCTGTTGTTCTTATAGGTAACTTTTTATTTTAAAGGCAAGAATCACCAAGGATCATAGTCCCCATGAGATTTCATTAAAAACCTAGACCTTTGCAAGCAGAGAAGAGAAAGCCACAGGCATACCAAAGTCGGGCGCAGGTTGCCAGGCAAGTGGAGAATCAGTGAGGTGGCGACCGATGTTCTGGTCGATTCTTAATATAGTTAAAAAAATTCATATGAATGTTTCTGTGTTAAAATAGTCAGCAATAAGGTAAGGAGGGGGTGTTGGTGGCCGCAACGGTTTAGGCGTTGACACGGTGCTCATCACTGTAAGGTAAAGGTCCCGGGTTTGAATCCAGCGGCCTTGCATTTGAACCCGACATACTTACAAATGGGCTTTTTTCAAAAACACCGGCACCCTGAGGGTTTATATGACCTCTGCTGTTGCGAACCCTTGTTAAAAAAAAGAAAAAAAAGGGTAAGGGCAGTCATTAAGGTGATGATCCCAAATATTAATATGTATTGGGTTGTCCGGAAAATAATGCAGGATTTTAAGTTTTCATTAAAAAAAATCTATATAAAATATTCTGTTTACGTTTACAGGATTACTCATTTGTATGNGGGAAATTATTTTGATTAAAGAACATTGCTTTAAAGTAACTAGTTTCTTTTTTTTTGTTTAATACCAAAATCCTGCATTATTTTCCGGACAACCCAATAGATCCAAAAACAACTGGAAGCAACTTACAAACCACTTGAAATAAAAAATAATTAATTAATATTTAGTAAATGCTTCACCTTACACAAATATTACTTGTATCAATAAAAACAAATAAATGTTGAAATTTATAATAAAATTAAGAAGAAAAAAACCCAAAATATTCACTGAGAAAAATCCATGCTATTTGAGATTATATGATACTTGATCGCTTTAAAAAAAAGAAGAAAATCAAAACCAAAATATTCACTGAGAACAAACCATGCTATGCGATCATTAAAAGTAATATGAGTCTCAGAATGTACCCTTGCGAGATACTCACACCCCATGGACAGTATCATTGCTTTTAATGAGAAAGTTAAAATTTTTTAAATTATATTTTCTTATTTTAACTTAAATTTTAAAAATTATTGGTGTTAGATTTATTTACAACAACACAAGTTCCAAGCTGTACCCGCGTGAGACTCAGTTATAAAGTTGATGAAAAAAACTAATGATTTGAGATTCTAGCATAACTAACAACGATATGATCATTGTAAATTTACAACAAATTCACTTATAATTTGACGAAATTTTAACAAGTACGCTTGTCCATTTGTTTTTCACGACTAAACCAGAGATCTGGTCGAATTAAGCAAAGCAAACTCGTCTGCTCTCGTCCTTGCAAAGTACTAATATCTCATTTTTGTTGTTGTGTAAACATTTTACCACATGCCTGTTAATAGTCTGTTTGCCAACGCCTCATTCTCTCCCTCCGACACTTAACCCAGGCATCTGCCGTTGATAAAGGGAAGAGCAGGTACGGGTAGTCATACGCATCCTGATCATCCTGACGAGATCAACAACACCGAATGCATCGGTACACGATTAAAATCCTGATATCAGTGTAAGTTTTTTTATTACAGCCCTGCCGTCTTAAAAGAACGATGTCTTGCTATAATTTAAAAAAAATCTTATTCAGGCTTGAACATTAAAAACATATAGTGATCACATAACACCTTACTGACTTTTTAGATTACGACTAATTTTCCAATCATTTATGATCATATTTGGTCTATACTTTCATCATTTCTGGGATGGACCATCAAAGAGTTCGTTAATCCACAGTATGATTTAATATCAATAGGTATTAAAAAATCCAGATTAGGTATTTAAAACAACACATAAATTACCGAAAATGGGCGAACCCGGAAAAGTGAAACTGAGTATTAATTAAAAAAATATAAATTTTTACATGTTTTTTTGATTACGATTTTAGAACTTTATATATTAAAAAATGTATGTCTAGCTATTTTTTACCTATTAATTTATGTAAACTTTGATTATTTTGGCTTCTACCGTTACTGAAAAATAAATAATTGCATGTTCAAATTCCTCGATCAATCGTATCGACTACCAACGTCAACAAAATTATCGTGTAATCAGTATTTCAGTATTTCATATAGCAATTAGGGCTTGATTTTTTTTAAAACACATAATAAATTATAAGGATCAAGTGTTGGCCGAACTGGGCATTTTTATTTTGAATAAATAGTTGGTAGTCGTTGGAATAAAGTTACCGACGGTCGATGAAATGGCAGTGAACTATACATGACCGAAACTCGAAACACAACATCGGGTCAGAATAGCCTTAAGGTGGGAAAGTTTCGGGGCCGGCGAGAACAGAATTAGCATAATGCTAAAGTCCCGAAAGTATCTACGGTAAAAAGACATTCGCTCGGAAAAACAGGGAAAAAGAAGCCGAAGTGAAATTGCTCGACTCGCCGTTTCGGGATTGAAGGGCCATCTGAGCTCATGGATTAACCCGAGCAGGTGAAACACCCTTGTCCAGGGAAAGTTCAACTTACAACATCCGGCTAATACAAGAGGAAAAGTGTCGGAAATGTCCCTGGCGAAAGGGGGATTAACCGGGCAAAGGAGATACTATTTATCTAAAGATTTGTGTGAATATAAATCTGTGAGTAGAACCATTATTTACAAATAGTGTGTAATATACATACTCACCCCCACTTTCATCCTTTCTATTAAATATTTCTTCACCTTTTTCGATATATATCATCGTTGTGGGTGCTCACTTACAATTCATGTCGAGAGACGTGTTTGTGACTCCTTCAACCTGATGATGAGCGTTTAATGCTCGAAATCCGGATCGTTGAAATCAATGAACTGTAAGAACTACTTTTAAAGTGATTAAATAACCGATCAAACCAGCTGAATCGAAATGGCTATTCTCTATCTCAAGGAAGGGAATTAGGAGCCTGATAGGCATTCTGACGTGCCACTGCCCACTGAGGAGACACCTCTTCGTAATGGGTATCCTACCAGATCCCTTTTGCCGCTTCTGCGAAATAAAAGAAGAAACGGCAAGGCACTACCTCGCAGAGTGTGATAGGTATGCTAGGTCTAGATTTGAAATCTTTGAAGGAGAGGACATCACCAAATCACTCCCCGAGATAAAATGGTCCAAAATCTTGGGGTTTGTGAACAAGTCCAAGAGGTTTATGCAGGACACTTGAGCCGACCAAGTCCCGGACCTTTTAGGGATGGGGTACGAGTCTACCCAGGCATTTAACCCCTCGGGTCTTGGTCGCCCACCCTGCATAATATATATAAATAACTTACTCTATCTCACTCCACCTTCATCATTTCTATTAATTTATTGTAGAAGTTAAAGCATTTAACAGTTAGTTTTGTTTCGAGGGCCAAAACATATTTCGGTCTTAAAGGTATTCGTAATTGTCCAAGCTTGCTGTTAGGTTGTTGTCTCTTAAGTCTTGTAGGCTGATTCCACATTAGTACAATTTCTAGTATAACTAACTTGGGTGGAACTCGATAGCTCCTTGTTATAGACTTTTTTCAGTGTAAATTTACAATACACTATAAACATTTTCTTCATTCGGTCTTGACCTCTAATTTTTGTCCCAGTATTTGACAAACTCAAGGTGTTCGTGGATGCTGGAGGTTTCTTGGATAGGATTCGGGTAAGAAAACAAAATTGTGGTATCATCCTATAGGCGGTACTGATGGTATGGTATAAAGGCTAGGATTAAGAATGTACCCTTGTGGGACACCGGCCTATATTCCTACGATATATTTTGGATTTTGGTGCAAAATTGTGCAGTTGATGAGCTCGCGCTGTTCTGCTTAGGCCGTTAATAAATGATAATTGGCAGGCACCAAGTTTATAAAATGGTGGCATTTAAATCATAGTTTAGCTACTACAACCTCGAGCATAAGGATCTTCTCGAAGTCTGATGTTACTAACGGTGACGCGTCCGATCCCGTATGCTGCAACATTTGTAAGAAAATCTCAAAATCACAATGCGTTTCTACGGACGTTAAATCATGTAAAATATTTAAATAAAAAAAGACAAATGAGTGATAGAACAAAATTGGCTTTAAAAACATAAAAACACATACAGATAAGCTAGAAAAATTGTCAAGGCCATAAAATGTTTTTAATTATAACATTTAAAATCTTTTTAAAACACGCAGGTCATTTTGTTTGATTTTCTTCTTGAAGAATTGTTCAGCGGTCTTCTGCGGCCTGCACAAAACTGGTAGCAAGTGCGAAACAAGGGTCGATGATCATAACAAAACTGACAAAATCCTCTGCAAAGGGGCTTTCAAGGGTTTTAACGAAAACAATATGATCATAGCCGGGTAAAAAATTGCAGTATTTTCCCCACCTATCGGTTTTAATTGAATGTAATTTGATTTTCAGGAAAAGGTTCAATGCAATAACCCTTTGCCAGCTCCCTGGGCCTGGTTTCGACCCGGCAGTCATCTCTCCCGTGGAACAGCTTCACAGATTTTCATTGATAAAATCCAATATTACCCATTTCACTAGGGATTTTCCCACAGTTAAACATCTCCAGGTTTGTAAACTAGTTATTAACCGTTTTACATTGCAGTAAATCAAGTTAAAATGTGAGGCCTCTTATCTTTATCGCGTTGGCTAAGATTAGACCATTAATTCTTATGTTTGCTTCGAGTTTTATCGTTGCTGTAAATCCTTTAGATCCACAGTCATCCAGATTAAAAACGTATTGTGTGCAATAACAGAAAATTTAACGCGATAACAAATTATTACAATGATTCTTCTTATTTATTCAAGTTCAAAACTTTTAAACATTATTGACCTATGTTGTGTCAAGAATAAGTTAAACTTCTGACCCCTTGTTTTTCTAAGTTAATTTGTTTTATTGAGGCATTTTTGAAAAAAAACCCGGAGACACGTAAACCACGAACCAAAAATTTTTGATCTAACTCTACAAAGGGGCTTAACTATTTCAAATGGCAAGCTACTCATGATGTACATCCTTTGGAAGGTTTTTCGACGTCGAATTCAACGGCGCAAACGTTTTTTAATTTGTAGCAGTCGTTCTTAAGTTATTTGCATAAAATTATTTTTCGGAAGAACTAAACTTTTCCATTTTCTTAAATCAATAACGAATTTATTTAATTATCGTTTGAATTTATAATAAACTAATTGCTCATGGTACGGAAAATATTTAAGAAAGGAAGAGTCTACAGCCACTCGATTCCTAGACTAATTACATTTTGTTGATCTTAAACTTATTTTATTTCCAAAGTCTTTACAAGAGAACTTTGGTACACTCCCCTGTTGGCCTCACACAGATTTCTATTTATTAATTTCTAGTAGATGGAATAATATTCCAGGTATGTAAAATACTTTTGTCTTTAATTTTATGTTTTGTATTTTTATTTTAGTAAAGTATTGTTATTATTATTCTTATATTCGAAATTATATATAATATTATTTATTTATATGATTATTCAGAAATCGTGAGATGCGGTCTGGTGTGATGTAGGTTTCAGAAAAACATTTTCTTTATCGAGCCAACGTTTCAATCTTTATTGAGATCATCTTCAGGGCCTCCGATTTACAAACATTGTTTACATTTAACAAATACATTTAGGATGTGGAAAAGTGAATTTATACAATACAAAATATACATTTTTTTATTTATATGTACACCCACACACGCACGCACGCACATGCGCGCGCGCACCCACACACAACTCACACGAAGAAGTGGATACATAGAACCCACGCTGGATACAGAAAAAAATGAGATAAGTTGCATCACTAAAAAGATGAATAACAAAATGGCAAAAAATAAAACTATGCTGAATAGGAGGAAGGAGAAGGGTGAATGTGTAAGTCACATGAGCAACAGGACAAAAAAAATCTTCCCTACAATATAATCTGGGATAATGCAGAAACCGCAACACCAGTACTCGCTTATAAAGGTGGTAAGGGGCTGGGAATATATACATACATATCGGGAAATCGCATAGGAGGACTACCACAGACATGGGACCATATTTCGTCACCCAAATCAAGAAGTGATACGTGTAAAGATGATAGGAGGTTTAGACCGGAAGGCGGTCGATGATCAGCAAGCCACCAGTGTTTATGAATATGAAGCCCTGTTACACTGCTGTCAACGCAGAGCCGTTGAAGGAAGCTGCACCATGACCTATACGAATGGCAGCAAAGTGGAAAACGGTGTAGGATGTGCTTTGACAATCTATTACCTAGATCATCCCGCTCTAATTCATACCAAGAAAATATAACAGGAGGATGTAGGAAAAATCAAGAGAAGCTGCCGGCAATATGCAAGGAATGTGCGGCTAATCTAACAGTGCGACCTACGATACTCCAAGAATAATAACCTGGATATTAGACCGACGTAACCGTCGATAAAATCAGTTGTCTTCGTGGAATATGCCAGGCATTGGACTGGAGTGGGGATTTACAGGGATGAAAGCACATGCCTGAAATAAGGGTAATGAGGGAGATGAGGTTAGAGTCTTATCCTTTTTAATTTAATGGTGTTACTATCTCATTTATGAAGTCAATAGGCCCTTGATAAGTGGGGGCAGCTTCCGGGTCTCATGCTGAAGCCCACACTTTTTTTTCTCGAAAGCATCAAAGGACGATAAACCAAACAGCTCTCCCATACAAGCTCACATAGGTGATAAGTAGCCAAGAACAAAGCGCTGTCTACTGAAAAAATTCAACCTGAAAGAAAACGACCTTGCGGCAGCAATTAATTTGAGAAAAAAATTGGGAACATTTAGTGTTATTTTACCGGTTTTATGTGGGGATGAGAGAAATGCTCATCGGCAAGGTTCTGTTATCTTTCAAAGAAAAATAATTAATTACATAAACTCATTTGTTTTTAACCTCATGTATGTAAAAATAAAAAAGTAAAATTCAAACACATTTTTAAGAACAAGCTGTACATTTTAATTGAATTGATAATAAACTACAAGTACCTTTTGAATACACCTGTATGGAGTAGATGGAAAATAAACTCCTACTGGAGGGTTACTTTGTGGTACTTATGTATTCATAAGTTGATATAATTTATATAACATGTTTCATTGTTTTATATTTGTTGTTTCAGATTTTAAATATGACGAGACTAATGCTGGAAAATCTGTCTTTAACGCTATTTAGAAATCTCACAGATCTCAGAACTATTGATTTGAGCTATAACCGTCTTACATTTTTCGATTCTACGGTCGTCGAGTGGAATCACCATCTGCAACATATTTATTTAAGAGGTGGTTGAAATTCATTAAAATATTTATTACAATCGGTTGCAGTCGTGAGGATCAGTCAAGAATGTCAAGGTAGTTTAGAAAAACCCATTTTACATTTTTTTAACGATGTTTCGACTTTTATTCGAATCATCTTCAGGGTATAAAGTGTGGTGTCAAATTGGTTTTGTGTGAAAGTGTTGTGATCCACCACACTTTATGCCATGAAGATGAACCGAATAAAGGTCGAAACATCCGCAAAAAAATGAAAAAGGTGTTTTTCGAAACTACTTCATTCTTGACCGCTCCTCACGACTTCAAAATTATGAAACAACAGGTCACTAAGAAACACAGATTTATTACAATCTATTTTTAAGCTTTTACTGTTTTTTCTAAATGTAAAACAACGAAATATTTTAAGGTATGGCTTCAGAGGTAATGTTTTTCTGTATAGGCGGATTTTCCAAAATTTAATAATGACAAGGGGATGGATCTACAATTATCCCAAAAATAAACCATATCCAATTATCCTTTTTAAAAAAAAAAGAAAAAAAGAGTAAATCAGGTAGAAAAATCTAATTTTGGCTTTTACAAAAAACTTAATAAAACAAATGGTCACTGACAATTCCCTTTCTAATAGTAAATTAATTAAATTGACAATTAAAGTTAAATCAAATTGACTTACAATGAACAGTAAAAGCTATTTGGAAATAAATGCATTTGCACGGTCCGTACGTGACGAGTCTTTTTAAATTGTAATTATTATTCTGGCTTTTAACAATTTTAAAACAGCACTGAGAACACATGTACGCATTTTTGAATTGTGTGTAAAAAACGAAGAAAAGACCAGTTCGTTAATTGTTTTTATAAACGAAAAAACATTAGAAAACCACTAATAAACATTGGATAAAGAAAAACGAATATCATCTAAAACTAACGCAAAGTTCTAGTATTTAAAAAAAAATTGGAATATTTAGAGTAGAGTAAATAATATACTAATTGCAGATATTACTTTTTCAGACATAAGGGTTGGAGAGGCTAGCCCTAAATAACCATACACTTTTGATGAATTGTCTTGTTTAAAAATCAATAAACGTATATTGTTACTATATTGATTAACTAATTAGGGTTGTGTTTCTAAAAGGAGAAAACTTTTTTCCTTCTAATGGTTGAACACCTCGGGTTAAATTTAGAAATCAATACTTAAAGGCTCCTTATCCTGGACGTAGCGAAGGGAGAACACAATGTCAAACAAATTACACCCGCTTTTTCTTTAATTAAAAAGAAAAAATAATTAAAAACCCCGATTAAAATGTCAAACAGTCGTTACTTATTATATTATTTGTTAACAGGAAACATTTTTGACTGCGACCTGGATAAATTTAGTTGGACTTTGGACAAAAATAATGGCTCGTTTGCGAGTAAAGTCGTAGACTTGACAGAGATGGAATGCGGAAACGAGAATTATCCCCAAAAGCCTGTCATTAAAGTTATGCGCTACCTCAAAGTAAGCTGAGGTAGTTGTTTTCAGATGTATAAAAAAAATATTTTAAAGATGTTAAAAATTCTTTTCCTGTCTGAAATACTAAGGACTGTAAAGGTTTGTAATCAATTTCAGACCCTGGAAATAGAATGTCCTGTACTTCCTGGAGGGATGTGCAATTGTACTTTGGACAAAGTCGTCCGGTCGCCGAAATCCAAGTATCACATACCGATTATCACGGTAGACTGCAGCTTTAGGGGCATAAAAAACCTTTTCACCAGCATACCACGCAACACAACAACACTTAACTTATCAGGGAACAAGGTTGACTTGAAGAAACAATTTTTGAAAGTCATAAAACATTTTTTTTTAGATTTCAGACTTAAGCCCGTTGGCGATCGGTCAGGCATACTCGTCCGTTTTTGATATCTATCTGGATGACAATCTCATTCGATCCGTTGATGTGCTAGAAGGTGCGAATTGGATTAAGAACTTCAGAGTTTTAAGCCTGAGGGACAACGATATAAAAATGGTATGTAATCAAGTTAAAGGTGTATTTTAATCATAAGGACTTGGGACTTTGTGTTTCAGCTTCCGACCTATGCTTTTGATAACGCTTTTGAAAAAAACAGATACGCTTTGGAGATCTATCTCGGAAATAATCCTTGGATCTGTGACTGCCATTTCACTCCGGGATTTAAGGTTTGTTTATTAAAAAAACGTTTTATCAACGTTCTGGTTAAATATTACATTGTCTAAATAGTAGATTAAAACTTTCTGCAGGACGTTTATGTAAGCATGAAAAATAATGGGCTTTTACTAAAGTAAAAACATTTAAGTTAGTGTTTTTAAAAAGGTTTTTAGATTAATTGGAACGTTTCAAAACCTTACATTTTTATTTGCGTTGATGTTTATTTTCTGTCTTGGTCTCGTCTTTTTAAAAATCACCAGGTTGTTGCTATATTTTCATTAATTCTTAAATGCAAAGCTAATAAAATTACAAAGAAGTATTTTCTGGAGGTTTTTCAACCAAGTTTTTCAAGACCTTAATAAGGTCATATTTTTCTTGCACAAACTTGTAACACGGCGACAAATCTCATAAAGTTTCGAATCTCAGCTGTATGAATCCAATTTTTTTATTTTTTATTTTTTAAATTCAAACGTAGACACCCACTTTGACAAATCGTTGATCTACATATTATCAGTCAAAGTCATGGTAAGGGGGCGTCGGTGGCCGCAACGGTAGGCGTTGACACGGCGCTCAACACTGTAAGGTAAAAGGTCCCGGGTTCGAATCCAGCGGCCCTGCATTCGAACCCGACATACTTGGGTCATGGGACAAAATCTCAATCTTGTAGCCGGAGTATTCACCTATTGTCAAAATTTCAAGGATATTTTTTAAACTGGACTAACAATTACTTGTCCGATCATTAGGTTTACAATGATTAACATATAATGCCAGTTAAATTTAGGATTCACCCACTGGCGTAGGTATTAGTCTAATGCTTATTTATACTCAAACTAAAGTCAAGGTAGATGTGCATTTTATGATCCCCAAAGAGAATATGGTGAACAGTTTCATCTCTCAAGTTTATGCAGTGTCACTGCCGAAGTTTTAGCTATTTCCAAGGCCTTAGAGTACAGTGCGACTTTAGACTACACAGATTTGCATATTCACAGACAGTTTGAGTACAGTCGCCCAGCTTCTGAATTTCAGCATAGGGAATAGTATATATGAATATATTCTGACTGGTAACGCCCAGAAAATTTACACTCTCATAACGGGAGGTAAAGAAATATTTACTTGCTGGGTCAGAGGGCATGCAAGGATTGCACGTAATGAGAAGGTAGATGAGATCGCCAAAGCTGCCACAATAGTAGGAATACAACTGAATGTACTAATACGTAGAGGGGATTTTGAAAATATTTATAACGAAAATTTATGAAAAAATGGCAAGTTTACGACTCAGCGAGGGTTGGCAAATATTACCGTTCCTTGTTCACTAAAGTAAGCAAAAAAGTTTGGTTCGTCGGAGATGGTAACGAACAATCGTTCTCTTCCACTTTTTCAAGATTGAGAACGGAGCATGGCATCTGCGGGTCTTATCTGCATAAGATTGGACTAAGGCCTAATCCGTACTGCAGTGAATGTGGTGTGATTGGGGATATAGGACATATTTTTCTTACTGTGTGGTAATGGTGCAGCCTTGAGAACGTGACAAACTCTCTAAAACACAAGCTGGCTCGTGCTTCCTGGCGCGCGTGGTCACTTTAAGCAACCTCTGCATGCATTTGGACGATAGGACCAAGGAAGCGTATAGCATGCGAGGACGCAAAGACTACGCCTACCTAGTCCTTCGAGAAAAAGACCTAGTTGCTGATTTGAGAGCTGGCCGCGAACGGCGGGTGCTACACCAGAGGAACACGCGGATTAGGGTACCAGATCCTTCTATCTCTCCTTGGTAGAGAAGTGGTGTGTTTCGTTCGTGGCCGTGGACCGTAGTACTTGCGTATGACCTTCGAATTACATCGAAGGAATCGGAAGGATCGGACTGCTGAAGCGTACAGCCATCGAGGAGCTAAGACTACGCTGATGGAGTCCCTCGAATGCGTGAGGAATGGTGGACGGGGGTGGCCGTTTGGGCTGCCTTTACCGAAGGCATGGTCTCCTCTAGGGGGTGGTTAGAGATTCTACTTAAATCGAAACCGCGGCCGGAGCGCATCCGGAGGTTTCGACGCTAGCGGAGCCCCTACGCCCAGGGAGATAGAGTTGTCTTTTCTATCTAGGGAGTGCGTGGGAGACTTGGTCGATGCATTTCGACGACTTTTTGGGTATCCATTTAAGCGCGGCACACGGTTGAGTGCACGATTTTAACCCACCCTCGGTAGGGGCAAGCGGAAGCGGCTGTCTGTAGTTTTGCGGGCTTCTACACCGAACCTCACGGAATAAGCAAATTTTCCGTGCGCGAAGGTGAGTCGCTCCTAACTTGAGAATCTAAACATGTGATAAGGCCTATGTGCCAGGTACGCACGATAAAGTACTTCAATGTTAAATGACATTGCGACACCAGTGGGAAACATATACTGTACAAAATAACAGTAGTCAAAGAGTGTCTTTTGGATTCCCTTTCATTCAGTCAAGAGCAACGTCCTACAAACGTCTTTTTAAATTTTTGGACGTGTGTAAGTGGGAAATTTAGCAGTTGGGCAGGGTGCTGGGGATGATTGGGGCCCGTCGTTTTTAACTGTGAAGCCTTCATGCCAGATTTTATCAAGGCTTGATATAAGTCCAGAAAGACAAAGATGTATTTCTTCTAATTGCAAGAGATGATTAGAGATATTGAAAGTGAGGTTTACGCGACAGTCAAATAAGTATATATTTGAAAGAAAGATTTTTGACCAAAAACTCTGTTATATTGTCATCATATAAAATTAGTAAATATCAGGAAGGTCATGGGGATTTAAACTATTCATATTATCTATGAGTGGTTGCCTTGTAAAAAAAAAACAATTTATAAGATTTATAAAGGCAAATTCACGTGTTCGTTTTTACCAATTAAAAATAGCTTATCCAATTATGGCGTTATTTAAATAAAAACAAAAGGTTAGGTATTTATTGTTATATTTTTTATTGCAGGAACTTCTTTTAAAGTATAGAACGCTTATCCGAGATATAAACGACATACGTTGTGCGGAACAAGAAAATGACCAGAATTCTTTGAAACTGGTAAGAAAAACATTTATATTATTTTTATTATAATTTAAATTCTCCAAATTGTCTTTTGAGTTCTGTTTTTTTTTTGCCGCCTGTTAAAAATAATTTAATCGCTAAAACTCCATCTTACACATAAATAACAGAACAAGTTTCCGATTCTGTCAGTCAATTTTGCTCGGAACGTTTTAGAAATTATTACTTTTGTCGAGGGGCTGGATGGGGAAAGTGTTCCGACTTTTTATACCAAGCGCCTCTGGTTATAGCCGACGCTCGCTATACCGAAAACACTTCAACAATAAACACGCTCGACTGGAGTTTTTAGAGGAGTTTATAGCAGTTCAAATCGCTTTGATTACTTCCTCTGATATCCAGACAAATTCCGATTTGAAACAAACCGATTTTAATAAATCCAATACCTACTTCAATGTTCAACAAAACGCACGTGTAATATATTGGCAATTTAGAAATAAAATCATTGCTTTTTTAATAAACGTTCTTTTGATATTTTTGAAATTGAATTTTTTTTCTGTCTAGATTAGGGATCTTTCGCTAAATTCTATATGCAGGGAGCCAAGGACGTTGCTGATGTCTCCTGTGGATTCAATCAACCTAATTTTATTTCTGCTAATTCTATTTATAATTATTAAACTGATGTATGATTATTGGATATACAAGGCAACTGGAAAATTACCCTGGATAGCGACAAAATTACCTTAAATAAATTTTGACTTCATTTATTTGTATCTACAACTGCACATGTACTTTCGTGTCCATATGTAGTTGAAATTTGTTCATAGAATCCCATGTTCTTCGTTCTTCTCGTGTAGAAATCTGTGGTGGGTAGTGACCACGAGGGGGGGCACTCTCAACACGACACGCAAGAATGGCACAATTACACAGAAGACAAACACTTTGAGGCCTGAAGATGATATCAATAAAGATCGAAACGTTGACACGATAAAGAAAATGTTTTTCTGAAACCTACATCACACCAGACCGCATCTCACGATTTCTGAATAATTGTACATATAATATATACAACCAGCCGACTGGATAATTTATGTTTGTGGCATTACGGGAAGCCACCTTAGAGAAATTATTGCCTATTGGCAGCCGCTCTGGCTTAATAAAATGATAGTCATTTAAGAGGTCTATTCTCAATTTCAGATATTTAGATGTGGGGCAATCGTATTTGTGTGTTAAGTTTGATTTTGTAATTTACTAAGGAAACCTCTGTAATATGCTTTGATGGATGAAAAAATTGTTGGCATGTGATGATTTCTGTGAAGTGTTTTTTTTTTCGAGGGTTCGCATCGCAACAGCAGAGGTTATATCAATCCTCGGGGTGCCGGTGTTTTTGAAAAAAGCCCATTTGTAAGTATGCCGCAACGGTTTAGGCGTTGACACGGCGCTCATCAATGTATCAAGGTAAAGGTCCCGGGTTCGAGTCCAGCAGCCTTGAATTCTAACCGTTCTTACAGTTTATGAATCGGCCAATTCCAATATTCAAAGGTTACAAAGGACGACGGTGGCCACAACGGTTTAGGCGTGGACACCGTGCTCATCACTGTAAGGTAACGGTTCAGGGTTAGAATTCAAGGTCGTTGGATTCGAACCCGGGACCTTTACCTTGATACAGTAATGAACGCCGTGTCAACGCCTAAACAGTTGCGGCCACCGACTCCCTTTGTAATCTTTGAATATTGGAATTGGCCGATTCATAAGCTTGTCACCCTTACATCCAAATAACTTTGAGTAGGTATGTGTGTGTCGAAAGTTTTGGTTTTAATGGTAATTTTGATTGTCGGTTGAGTAGGTAATAAAGCATTTTAAATCGTTTGTTGAGTATCTGTTTGTTTAAATCGTGTGTGTGGATTTCAAGTTAGTCTTCTATCAAATATAAGTTCTAAATAGTTAACTTTGTTGGATTGAGGAACAGGCTCATAGTACAAGTATATACTGGGACAAGTATCACGACGGAGTGTAAAGGTGATATGTTGTCATTTCGAGGGGTTAAACTTTATTTTCTAAAGATTGCTCCATTTTTCAATTGTTGATATGTGGTTTTGTAACATAAGTGAAGCCAGTGTAGAAGAGGGATGACTTGTTAATACGGCTGTGTAATCTTCGTATGTGGCGGTAAGCAGAAGTAAAAATTGTATACAACAGTGGAGCGAGTATTGACCCTTGTAGCACACCTGCAAGCACTTCTTCCATCCCAGAAATCTCCCTATACTGGTTTACTGCAAAAAATCTCTCCTTAAGGTATGATTGCATAATCAGATAATAGGCGTAGAGTAAAAATAATTTTAATTTAATTTTAATTTTAATAATCCTTCATTCCATATTTTGTCGAAGGCCTGAGAAACATCTAGAAACACTCCTGTCGCGTACAGTTTCTGTTTGAAACATGAAGTAATGAAATCTGTAATCTTGTGAAGTTGATGTGTGGTAGAACGATGGGTTCGAATGTCTAATTGATGGTAAGATGTTTGAAATAGCAAAAGTGATAATTCTTTTGTAAATTAATTTTTCCAATAATTTAGAAGGCGCGGGTAACAAACTAATAGGACGATAAGATGATGGGGATCTTAAATTTTTATGTGGCTTTGGGATCATTTTAATGTAAGAAAGTTTCCATTGTATGGGAAAGTGTGCAATTCTCAAAATTGCGGTTAATAAGGAAGTCAGAAAGACGACGTCTTTTTTTAATGTTCTTGAAGAACTTCAGCCGTTATCAAATCATGTTTTATGTTAATTTTTAAAATTAAAACAGAATTGTTTGCAGTTTTAAAAAAATCCTTTTTAATCATTTCTATAATAATTTCTATTGTTTGCAGTTTGCTCTCAGAGGATAGATAGTTGTGAGTGTGAGGATAGAGTGTGTGTGTGAGGGAGAGAGAGAGAGAGAGAGAGAGAGAGAGAGAGAGAGAGAGAGGGGGAGAGAGAGTGGGAGAGGGAGAGAGAGAGAGTGTGAGAGGGAGAGAGAGGAGAGAGAGAGGGAAATTATTGAGTGATTGAGTGGAAAATACACACCGTAATAAATAAATTGTGTTTATACAGCTAACGTATGTAAGCTGAATAAACATCCTAACTTTTATTTTTTGTATAATTTTGTCGTGACTTTAAATGTTATGTATTTCAAATTATTACACGCTTTATGTTGAACTACTTGTTACTCGCGACTGAGTCCACTCCAGACTCTGCATTATTGTACCTAAATGTTACTAAACATTTTGAAATAATATTAAAAACACTAATTACCACGCCACCTTTGTTTTATAGACCAAGGTGTAAAAATTAAAGTAAAGACTGCTTTGTTAAATTTTTAATTAATGATTACGAATCCTTTAAAATATCTTTTATTTAGGTAAAAATGCAATACGAAAAACCTTCTCGTTAAGGTTGAAATTAGTTTAAATAAACGTTTGGGGCAGAGGAAAAAGAAAAAGATCGCATTGATCATTTACACAGACGACATTATTTTTTTGGAGGACGATGGCAACATAAAACTGTTTTGAAAACACCACCACCAATAAAACCGTAACTTTCTTTTTTTATTCTTACATTTCGTATTAACCACAGGATATACACAGATTTTACTACGATTTTTGTTATATAAAGTTATGAAATCGACCCGAAATATAACAGGCCACCAATCTGGGAAAGGCGGTCCTGCCATTCAACTACTTACTAATCTATACTCTTAAAAATATACGTGACAATATTCCCAGAGAGGTTGATAAAAACCACTTATCTCGAAATAACAATGACGAGAATTTTTTTGTTTTTGTTTGGAGCACAATGACAATAGAAAACTTTTTGAAAACACCACCATCAATAAAATTGCAGCTGGATCAATTATGCACCGTGCTGTAAATAGTTAAACGAAACTTGACAAAAAATTGACCTTTTCGTTAGTAAAATTGAACATCTGTGGGTTGATTTTTTATATATTACACTATTTTTTTGATATTTTGCATTAAATTTTATACACTGTAGGCCTTGAATTTTTATTTTTCGTCCATCATCTATTGATCGATGTTATCTACATTGTTAATAAGTTAATACTAACAATACGCAGTGGATAAATTATGTAACTATAGATTTTTAAAAAAAATAATTTAAAGGCTGAAACCTTATTGGTCATTAAGCCTTGAGTCTGTGCAAGTCAACGGCGCAGCCCGGCCCCCTCAGAACGAGGCCCCCGCAGACCCCGGCGCAGTGGCAGCCCCAGGCCTAGAAAGAACGGAACCCCACGGATCTCTCGCAACTGATGCTTTTAGTCTTAATATTGCGCGCAGGACTTTATCGAGGAGGGGTCGGTGTCTAGTCACCATCGACACCTCCTCTAAGCTCGCTGGAGATTCCTTGACCTCAGAGTCCGGGGAGGCACCCCTCAATCCAGCCCAGGACCGACCAGCACCCGAGGCCCCGCACGGGCGTCGCCAGACGTCAGCCGCACCACACCGCCAACATGGGGAACCAGCAAAGGAAACAAGAGTTCAAGGGATGGGATATCAGATTTTATCAATTAGTTGGATGTCTGTTAAGAAGTTAAAAATTTTGTTTATTGATGGTGAGTTGTTGCTTAGTATGGATTGGAGGTCTTTGGGAATCTGATGGAGGGTTCTTTTAGAAGTGTATAAAGGTCAATCTATTAGGATGTGGGATATTGTGATGGTAGTTTTACAGAGCGGACATATAGGTTTAAGAGTTCTTTCAAGGAGGAATCTATGGGTGAGTCGGGAGTGGCCAATTCGAAGCCGGGTTAGGAGGGTTTCTTCTTTTCGGGAGGGTCTGGAAGAGGATTCCCATTTCTTTACATCTTTCTTTATTGCGAGGAGCTTGTTTCCTGTGCAGGCACCCCATTCACACTTCCATGCCCCCCAGATGAGCCGCCTAAATTGACAGCAGAGGTCACTGAAGGGGACCCCTCCGTGAGGAATACCATTCAAGGTACTCTCTCGCCATACGGTCCGCCTTCTCATTTTCAGTTATTCCAGCATGGCCTGGGATCCATTTGAATAATACTTCTACACCTATGTCTTGATATTGCTTTAACTTTGCAAGAACAACTATAGATTATGTATGAATTATATAAATATGTTTTATATACACTCAAAAAAAAAAGTTTTAATACAAAATATTTAATTATGGTAGTTCGAAAGAAAATTTATTAAAACATCGGAAAATAATTTAGTGATAGATTAATATTTACTAACACTTTATTTGATCACTAAATGATTTTCCAATGTTTTGATGATTTGTTTCAAACGATCATAATTAAATAATTTTTATTAAAACTCATGAATTTTTGATCTCGTTTAATTTGGTTTAAATTAAAATAAGTATGTTGTAATTAGTATAACCATCAAAATACATGTACGTTGAAATCAACAATGGTATTATTAGCTCCGAGGACGGATCCACTGTCAGAATGACCGTGTCATTAGAAGACTATTTGATTAAAAGAAGAAAATTTTCAGGAAGAATAATTTGTTTTAAAAGAATTGTTTATCACAAAAATAAGTTTTAATTTTGAGAGTGGTAGCTGCTACGGGGAAAAAACCCCTCGTAGAAGCCCTTTGGGGAAGTTTGCAAAAGGCGGCTGGTGCTACCACCCGGTTCAGGTGAGTGCATTTGACTCTGATTAATTCATCTCGAGTCAGTTTATTATATACAATTAGTCACTGGTCAGTACCCAGTGATGAGTTTGAAGTTGGATGAACTGTGTTGGTTGC